AGTGTGCTGCCAAAAGCACGTACTCGTATGGCATTCGCCTGGGGGCCTCCAGCACTTCCCCCCAAGGCTGAACGAAAGCCTTGTGGCAGCCCTTTTTGTGGAGACACAGCGGTCGTCGGTTGCCAAGCATTCTGTTGGTAAGGCCATGCCGTAACCCACTAGAAACTCAAGACACACATCAACCCATATCAGTGAGCCCCATTATCTTATCTCCCGGGGGTCGATGGAGGATGCCATTTGTGGGGCAAAAGGTGGGGCCAGAAGGAGTGTGCTGCGAGTTCTGGGGCTCGGGGGTTGCAAGATGGCTGGCCCTTGGCGTGCCTTGATCGTCAACGGTGGCTGGCCCAGCTCCGCCAAGCCGTCTCTTTCTGTGTAGGTCCAGGGCGGTCAGTCAGTCGTGTCGTTTGGCGTTGTCCCCCCTGCGATATTTCCCATATCAGTAGCCAATCAGCGCTGTCCCCAAATCTGTTTCTCCCCAGTGGGGTGCAAAAGACCCAACTCCTGATGTTGACTGTCCGTCCAATTGTCAAGTCGAACATGCTTTCAACCCCTTGAGCTCATCCTTATCCCGTTTTGATATCCTTCTTATTTTATTCTTCTGTCGCGGAGCGAGCAATCGAGCGACAATGCTGCAGCAGAAAGCAAGAGACCGAGACGGGGGACTGTAGCTCGTCTTGGCTTCTCCCCACCCTTATCAGAAGAGCATGTGTCCTGCAGCCCAAGGTCGAGAAAGATAAGGGATCTCGTTTCGTGCCGTCGGTGGGGGAAGGGCAAAATGGATTTCGATACTCCGTAATCTTTGGGCGTCGTCAGACGGCTCGGGCAATGTCGGGTGGCCAGTTTCCTTTTCCGGGTGCGTCGATATGCAGAGGTGGAAAGATGGGCGACGTGGACGACAACACAACGACGTTGTTGATGTTGATCGTAAAGGCCTGTTTCCATATCACTCGACAGGAAGTCAACCTCCAAAACCAATATGGCCATATCAGGTAGCATCAGTCGACGGTGAGGGAAGGTGCGAAGGTGCGAAAGTAGGCTGGCGACACACTATTGTGGTCACGTGATATATTCGTTGTAAGTTGAACGGCATGTTACTTCGATGAAAAGAAAAGGGTAGGTTGGGTGACTATGTCGAAGGAAAGTATACTAAGGAGAGGGAAACAGAAGTAAAAGAGAAAAGAGGAGCGTCGACGAGTTGGGAGTCTGGGGAGAGGGTCTTGATATAAAGGAGTGTAAGGCTGGCTTGGGGCAATGGCAGAGGCCTTTGTTTAATGCACGTCTTTTGTGTTTCTGATGTTGTCTTGTCTGGCTTGAGCTTCTTCCACGGGGTTCGTGTTTTGTTTCTTTCTTTTCTTACTCTTATCTTTCGTGCGAGGGATGAGTCGGCATGTGCAGTTCCAGGTTTGCCGGAATCAAGGGAGAGCGAGCATCCAGAAGAAGAAAAAAGAGAGAGAAAAGAAAAACGGAAGATCTGGGAATCATGATGGTTAATAAGCGCATGACTGTCTAGATAGAGGGAGGAGATGACGTGAAAACTCTTCACGGACGTGCATGTGCCAGCTGTACTGATATCGCGCTTCGAGGACTGTTTAAGTTGCTTTGATGTACAATTATCAGACCTGAGCCGATCGCCTAGCACGCCTTCACCGTTCTACTTGCCATGCTTTTAATTCAACGGAATACGCAATTCAGGAGCGTATTTCCCTTCCTGTACGTTCGTTATCCAGATAGCTATTCCAGGACGGGCGCCAAACACCAATCGCGTAAGAAAGCGCAGTTGGTCTCTCAAACGAGAGGAAACCACAGGCCACGGCGCTTTGAGCAGTTGGTGGCTTTGAAACAACATTGGACAGTGCAAAATGACGTTCGGTGCTCGGATTCGCTGTTGGAACTGATAGGAGCTTGCCGGAGAAATGGCACTCAGGCTCAACGGGGTTCCGAAAAGGGCATATCACTAGGCTGTGGTACGACTGCACAGATACACTCACAGTGTCTGATCGAGTCGACCCATGTGCATGGCTTCACATAGTACGGTGCGCAACGAATTAAAGCAAACAACAACAGATACAGTGGGAACGGGTGAAAATACGTACTCTGGTCCGTAAGCCCCCTTTTTCCCCCTTTTATGCTGCCTCTTGTAATGCGGAATAAGGGGGTGCGGTCCTCATAAAACGGGGGTTGTTTTGGTGTCGATAACATGGAGTGAAAGATAAGGCTACGGAGACGAGACGGGACGCAGTCCTTACGAGAGCTATTTCCACATCACGCCACAATCTGTCACACTGGATAAGAGCATACTGCCCTCAAGGGCTATTCCAAGTGGAAAAAGATGAAGTAAAACGCAAAAGTAAGAAGAGTACAACATACAGCATACACAGTTCTTCATATCTCGTTTGCCCGACCTAGGAAAATTGTGGCAGGCAGCAAACCTTCCCTGTCGGATTACTATCTTATCATATGCCACCTCGAAGTCCTTGTCTCGCTGGCAGTTTGCCTTACTTCGGGACTCATTTCCTCAGCTGCCCTTTTTGGTCGTCAATCTTCGTGTTGCCTTACTGAACAATGCTATCACACAGAGAGCCCTTGCATTGCCAATGTCGTCCTGCCCAGCGAGGCTTATCTGACTGGATTCCTGGCCACTCGGAGAAGCAGGATCTACTGCCAGTCTTCATACCTTTGCAGTTCATGTGCCAAGTAGGCCGTGTGTCGTGCCTGTAACGTAATTGCAACTTCAATGATGTCTTGTTTCCTTGAGCCAATAGACTAGGGACATGCAAAAAGCTTCATCGATCGCCACTTCTGTCTTACCTGATATCGGAGCTCGGCAGCCCTGATACCTGATATTCAGAACCATTGAGAATCACAATGTCCACGAACACCACCAAACGGGCAAGAGGATTGGTTCGAAGAATACTTGACAATCGATAACATAGCCACTGAGATTGCGTTGGTATCACGGAGGTCCTATGATACGTCTTTTGATACTTTCTTGTATCCCGGGTTTTGATTTCGTATCTTTCCAGTTGTCAGTATCCGCCTCCTCTTGTCTATCTTTCCTCATTTTGCTTTGCTTCTATTTACCACATGACATTTCCTATCAGACAGCTCAAAGCCGGATGCTCTGATCACCAGCACTCTTTTCGGTTCCTCTACCTCAGATAGGAAGTTCAATCCACACAGGACAAAAGTAGAAATCGAAAACGGGTTACATGAAACCCGGGGAAACCGGGGCGGATCTTTTCTCGATTTCCTCTGTCCTTTTTCTATCTTACGTTGACGCCTTGTGTTTTTTCTCCATACGATATGAAAAGAGCATCTTTGACCCAACAAATCACTAACACGCTGCTCCATGTTATCTTCAACAATGATGCAACGTGTGTTGAGCATGGCAGCAGGCGGCGCTCGCTCTTGACCGATCAGGACAATGCTCGTTATCTCGCTGTCATGATGAGGTCGAGAGACAATTCAGGAGAACAAGATGGAAGGGGCAAAGAGACGGGGTTGGGCCACTGATTGGCTTCAATAAACTGCTCGTTGTTATCTTTGTCAATTTCCCATCTACAAAAAATGCGGATCCCAAAGACAGATACCAACTTTGCATTGCATTCGGACGCTCCCAAGGAATATTCTCATGTCCTATACAGAAGCTGGCTCTCGAGGCCTCTTCCCTTTGACTCGACGACAAACGCCTCAAAACCTGTCCTCGGCTGGAACTCGATATTCGACCTTGTCGCTTCAAAAGTCAAAATCTAATTTTGTGAACAAGACTCGAAACAAAGCCTCACGTTAACCCAACTCTACTCGACCTAACACCTATTCTTACACTCGACAATTCCTTCCCTTCTTACATCCTTCAACAACCTAGACTACACTACACCTACCTACATTTTCTCAGTACGCATATCCCACAGTGGCCATTCATTGGACACTTCATCTTGATCCCAACCCCCTTCCAGTCGCTCCAGACGTATTTCGGATGTGATGTGAGCTTGGTAAACCAGATATCTCGTACAGCAAACCGTCCTTTTGTATGGTGAGCAGAGTACTGGTACACCTGTAAAGCCTGTTTGGAAGCCAGCCCATGAATCAAGGTAAAGCACGTAGTTTCTACGTGCAAGTCAGTAAAGGCGGTGCATGTGAGGGACAAAGTTGGTAGACGCATCTCACCCTTTGTGTTGTTTCTGTATCTCACCCGTGTCGGCCTCCAAGTCGAACTGGTTTGTCCACTTGTCGGAAGAGATTTAAATGTCCCTGGTCATATATATAAGTACAAGTATGGTAGTAAAGAGTCACAGCTCTTGGATTTTCGCCTTACCAAAGTCTTCCCTTCGGCGACGCATCGTTGTACATCGTTCCATTACAATCCAAACTCTACGGCTTGTGCAGATCCTCAACATTCTATCACCTCGACTTGGAGCGTTTGTCCCCAGTAAAGGCAGCCCCATATCAAGATGTGACGGGTGTGATGTCTAAGTGAAAGATCACAAGGACATGTTTGATTATTCGTCGTTCAGAGTATTGTTCGCTTAAAATTGTCTCTTTAATGTTCTTTCTAACACATACACAAATAAAGAAAAACAATACCAAAATCATCAAAAATGTAAATTTGTTTTATTACTTAAAAAAGGGAATTCCAAAGGGACAAAACCAATCAAAGAACAAACCTGCCTTTCCGTTAAATAGCAAAAGTAAGAACCTTTTCAGCCTTGCTCGTGTAAGAGTAGTAATTTTGGAAATGTGAGTGGCCGTAGTCTTATCGGGGCTAGTTTTCTTATCGTCTGCACGTCAGCTACTTTTTTTCTGGGCCTGCTTCTGCCAAACCCTGAGGCTCGCGGACCCCTGCAAATATAGTGGCGAACCGCGCATGAGTGCCCCAAGTGACGTCTTGTCGCGATTTGTAGGTCAAAAAAGTCAAAAAGTGATGATGCAACGCACCTGAGCTTTTCCTTTTGTCTTTCCGCTTGGCCTTCCAAGCTTTTTCTCCCACATCTACCGGCCTCATGCTCTTCGCTCGTAGTTCTCGACACGTCCTGCAACGGCCACGGCCGCAGAGCTCGGGCCTGCTCAGCCTGAGCTTGCCTTCGTCGTCAACATCGTCCTCAATCACGTCGCCCTCATCTTCCTCCACCCCCACACAGACCCGCCGCTCCTTTGTCTCGGATGCCGATGTCGACAAGGCACGAACGTACTGTGTAAACCAGCTGCGGTCCGGCGACTACGATGCCCACCTCGTGCACCATTTCCTGCCCCGCGGCGTGCGTGACGCCTATTTGGCCCTGCGCGCGCTCAACCTCGAGCTGGCCCGCCTGCCGGAGACGGTGTCCAACCCGACGATTGGCGCCATGCGCATGCAGTTCTGGAAGGACGCGGTGAACAATACCTTTGAGGGCCAGCCGCCGCGCGAGCCGGTGTCGATGCTGCTGTACGCGGCGCTCGCTGGGCTGGCGGCGCGTGAGGGCGGTGCGGGGAGCAGTTTCAGTTCCATCCGGTTCTGGCTGCAGCGGTTCATCTCGACGCGGCAGCAGTACATGGACAACCGGCCCTTTGCGAACATGGCGGCCCTCGAGGAGTACGCCGAGAGCACGTACGCGACGCTCATGTACGTGACGCTGGCGATGCTGCCGCTGCGGTCCATGCACGTCGACCACCTGGCGAGCCACATTGGCAAGGCCTGTGGCATTGCCGCGATCCTGCGGGGCATTCCCGTGCTCGCATCGCCCCAACCGACACCCGCGGGTGCTGCACCGTACTCGCTGCCGCCCCGCAACCCGGTCCTGCTCTTGCCCCTGGATGTCCTGGCCGACGTGGGCGTGCGCGAAGAGTACGTCTACCGCCAGGGCCCTGCCGCGCCAGGTCTGTCCGAAGCCGTTTTCCAGGTGGCGACACGGGCCAACGACCACTTGATCACGGCACGCGAGATGCTCAAGAACATGCGAGCTGGCCAGGACCCGGGCCACGACTACGAGCACGAAGGCGAGACGGGCCACACCTACGCTGCCGAGGATGGAGAGGGCGGGCGAGACGAGCTACGGGCGCTGCAGCGGGGATTCAATGTGCTGCTCGAGGCCATTCCTGCACAAGACTACCTGACGCGTCTGGAGACGGCGGACTTTGACGCGTTCCGTGTCAAGAGTGGATGGAAGCTGCCGTGGTCGCTCTACCGTGCGCAGTCGACACAGAAGATATGATGCAGCAGTCGACGGCCGCTAGATACGATCAAAAAGAAACGGACGGGGGTAATAGGAAGGAAAACGGCGACTCTACACGACGAAGAACGCGTGTTTGATTCTTGGCGTCTAGTAGTAGAGGGTAGATGAACAGTTGAAAGGCGCTCACAGCGCATCAATGAAAATAGACAATGGGGACGAGGACTCAAAAAAAGCAAGATACCATGGCGAGGCATTGTACGATATTCACGAAAGTCGAAGACGTTTCCTCAGCGACGATGACAGGCTAGAATAATGACACACCACACGCAATCACGCCCCTGCGTTTTCACACACAGATGGGCAAAATAGGAAACCATGAGGTAGATGAGGCAAAGGAAGGTGCACGCAAGACAATGAAAAGGGAAGGAGCGGCCGGCAGAACGACGAGGGAAGAGCACAAATATACTAAGACGATCATTCACTACTGCATTGTTCTTTGCCAAAAGTACAAGCTGAAAGCATCCATACAGCTTAGAATATAAAGCACCCAATTCCGTTTGAATTTTAGGTGCTCTCTTTTCAGTTGTTTCTGCAAAAGAGGAAGTCGCGATGGAGGTAAAGCGAGGACAGTCGCAAGTTTTTGGTCACGCGGCCGTCTACGCAGCACCCGCACCTTCCTCGCACTCTCTCAGAGCTACCTCATCACGTATGGTGAGTTGCCACTGCTTCGTGGCTTCCTATTTTGTCAAGAAACTCCCATTGCTCCTTCCCTGTATTCTGGTATTGTTGCTTCTGTTTCTGGCTGATTTGCCCACTTCCATTGCTGTATTTATTCTCCCCCTTTCCGTGGACTTCATCTTCCTTCCCTTCCTTTTTCTTTCCTCCTCCTTCTCTCTCTGTGCTCTTCGGTCACTTTTTACTTCACTTCCTCTTCGTCACCAATTGGTTCTTCCATCCCAGCTTCATCAAGGACAAAAACATCGTCGACGACAACATCATCATACTTCCATATTGTCACATATTTGACATTATTGCACACTTCTCACTTCTGGCTATACTTCTTTCAACCAACGCCATGACTTCGCAGAATCCCACCGAGCCGCTCGAGAAAACCGCCGACAACATCGTTGTTGACGGCCAGGAGTTCCACTTGGTCACTCGCACAAAGGCGGCCACTCGGGGCCCGACTAACCTTGGAGCTGCCGGACCTCGCGAACCGGTCGCCGAGGAGAACCGTGTTCCTCAGGACAACGGGGCCCCCGTTTCATTTGTCTCGTCGACCAACACCTTGAAGAGTAAGCAATCGTCCATGGCCATTCATCAAATGCAATTTCCATTTCATCTCGTCACATCAGACCGACGCAAGCTGACGATTTCACTTTGCGTCACGCCACAGGACAGAAGACGGGGTTTGAGGCCGTGCCCTCGCAGCCCTCGTCCTATGTGGCCATGCCAATGAAGACGACGGGCATCACCAGCGGCCCTCCCCCGGCCCCGCCCTCGACCCCGAACGTCAAGCAGTCGGGATTTGCCGAGGACAAACGCAAATGCCCGGTCGTCCCCATCGAGCCAACGGTCATTGCGAAGCCAAGTGCCATTCGGGAATCGCTGCGTACCCATTTCCGCGCTCCTTTTGATGGAAGCATGTTCAAGACCTACGCCGAGATGCGCGGTGGCGCCGGCGATATCGACGACAACGACAATGCCAATGCCAACACCAACGGCAACAACGAAAAACGTGAACGCGAGTTCGTGCGGGCCCCATCGTCGGCCCCGCAGACGAGTACCGGTGCGTCGCCAATGCCTTGCAATGAAACTGAAGATGACGAAGGTTGGATGTTTGTGACGGGAGGCAAGTCTCCAATTGCAACGAGCCACTTGGGCTAAACAATGTTTTCTCTCTTTTTCTTTTCGTTTTCTTTTCGAATCAAATTTAGATGCTCTAGCCGACGACAATCAAGAGCTTCCTTGGCCCAAAGGCACGCTTTGGGACCACAGTGTGTCATACCAGACGACGCGGGAGGAGACGGAAGCGCGTGAGATGGGGGAGGCAAGCGAAAAGCTCGCAGAGCTCGAGCGTACCATGGCCAAAGAAATCCAGGCGATCAAGGAGCTCAAGGAGCTCAAGGCACTCACAATCAAGGAGCTCGAGGCTCTCAAAACCCAGGAGCTCGAGGTACCCATCGCGAAGAAGCTCGACGGATGAGATTGCGTGGAAGAAGGAGGATTGTGAGTGTTGCAGCAGCTTTCTGGTACGCGGGCGAGGTGGAAGAACGGTTGCTTTCTTTGCACATTTCTGTTTATGTTCATATCATGTAGGCCCAGACGGCCGTCATCTGATCGGATACGTGGATATCACGACTCCATTTCAATCTGTGTTTGCTGCTTAGGATTCAAAGGTGGACTTACTCTCTACAGAGGAAACTTGTCATTTGTTTCTATTTCTGCTTTTAGTTTCAGTTTATGGCTTCTGTCCAATGGGCAGGGGGTTATATCCGAAGTTATAGGCCAATTTCAACTCAACGTACTTTAGTTATGCACAATAGCAACGCAATGGAGGCACACATTTTACAAATGTATATTCTCTACGCAGCGGGCAAGAAGCGAGAAGGCGAGGATGACAGTTGAATCTTCAAGTGGCTGTGGTCTGAGATGGAGGCCTTCAGGTGACTATCAGCAAGGAAACGTGTGCTCAACAAGAACATTTGCGTACACGCGCCTCGAAGACTCGCTGTCGACGACTGCTCAACATGATTGTTCTCAGTGCTCTTGAGATCGCCATTATTGTCAGAATGGGGGACAACCGCACTCACGGCCATGAAGTCCCCCAGAAACCTAGCTCAATAGGGACTCATACTATCAAATAGACCCTGCACTGCCCCTATAGCCCTGTAACGCCCCCCGAGATCGCTTTGCCTTTGCGACCCCAGACTACCTTTACTGGGCAACGCTTTCCCCTTTCCCTTTTCCCTCTTCACACTCCATCACCCACCGTCCCGCTGCGTCCTGTCGCTCTTCGGTCATTTGGTGTCGGCACGATGGACGCATACGTTGAGTACGACTACGACCTTCTCCACACGTCGTTGTCGTCGTGGTTGCCGTCACTTCTCCCAACGGTATGAGAATCTGGTGGTAGACGACGAGACGTATGATTGAAAACAACAGTAGCAGCCACCACCATCAACACCACACAAGAACAATCATGGCTGAACTCGACCAGATCCTTGCCAGGTACACCCACCCGAACACCAGCAGCCTCCACGGGGCATCCTTTGTCGCGGTCGACCGCGATGGCCCACGACCTGTACCGCGACGCTTTTGGCCGCATCAAAGTCGACCCCAACAACCCAGACGGCAGCACCGTGACCTGGGTCGCCAGTCAGAGCAAGCAGCCAGAGCAAGCTGACCACGTCTGTGGCTGTGATGCAAGCCGTCGAGCAGGGCTTGATTGGGCTCGACGACGATGTGCGCAAGGACGTGCCGGCCTTGCGTGGCATGCAGGTCCTCATGGGCTTTGACGACCAGGGCCAGCCCACCCTGGAAGAAGTGGCTGAACTGCTGACGCTTTGCCACTTGGTGTCCCATACGTCGGGGTTTGCCTACGATGCTCGTCATCTGCTGCTTGTCAAGTACGCCCAGTGGGCCGGCCGAACAGCCAACATGTTTGGACACCATGGACGGGCAGACGCATCCCCTCACCTTCCAGCTGGACATGTGGTTGAGAGACTAACGGGTGACACCCTTGACGCGTTCCTGTAGAAGAACATTTGGAGCCCTGGCGCGACCAGCACGACATTCTTTCCGGCGAAACGCGGCCTGACTCTCGCAATGGGACAGCTACTCGGAAGTCCGCCAGTGCCCTGTGCGGACTAGTGAACAGGGACGACGTCGTGGGCCGCGAGAGTGTCCGCCGGCGCAGCAAAGGCACCATCAGCCGGGACGGTCTTCCTAACCTGCTGTGGTTCGTCGACCGCACGAGCAGTATGGCGGCCACCTTTTTCACACAGAACATGCCCATGGATGACGCCGAGGCGCGGAAGCTGTGCACCAAGCCGGAGGAGGCGCTGTACCGGTTGGTGACGGCCAAGGCCAAGGAGACGAAGTAGAGGGGTCTTGGATGTGTATTTGGACAAATTCCACAAGTTTGCAACAAAGTTTTGCCATTACCGACTGTCTTCCGGACGAGGGAGACTGGCTAGGTAGGTCACGTAGAGTCTCGGGTTTCAAGCACCTCCTCGCATTGTCAAGCCGTTTTGGTTGGGGCCAGCAGGGAGCGCAGAATTCACTCTTTCCGGACAGGCTCTGTGACGTGATTCTTCGCTCATTTTTTATTTCACTTTTTTAATTATATTTTCCGTAACATTTCTTTCCCCCCAAGTAAAGAAAGTCGAGCGAGGAAAGCACAACTGGCACAAACCCACCGCTCATTGGCTAGCTCAGTCCGTTATTGCCTAAACAGGAAATTTCTTAATTGACCTGTGTTACAGTGGACATCAGCGCTACACGCTCCTGCCAGCCAACTGAACGAAGGCCTCGTTCGTACTTGTTTTCACAATACACTACCTCCCGCCTTGTTTTCGTCTGCTGTCACCCTGTTTCTTGTTTTGCCTTGGCTTCCTCCTCTTCCACCCACGTCGGATAGTCCACATAACCGTGCTCACGCACGCCGTCCCAGCTGCCATACAACCGGCTGCGGTCAACCGCCGCCAACGGTTTGCCGAGTCGCAGCCGTTCAGGCAGGTCGGGGTTGCTCACAAACATGCGAGCAAAGGCCACAGCGTCCCATTTCCTCGAGCTGAGTGTCGTGCTCTCGACGTCTTGAGACGACGTCCACCCGCCGCCACAGACTATACAGGGGATGCCGGCGGCGGCGAGGATGGCGCGGAACGGCTCGTTCGAGATGGGCAGGCCGGGCTGCGTGCTGCTCCACGACGTGCGGAACGCTGCGGCCGTGGCGGCATCGGCATCAATGCGGTCGAACCGCGGCTCGATAAAGTGGACATACGACAACGTCTCGCCGGGGGCAGCCTTTCCGTACCGCTCTGCCAGTTGGTCACAGAGATACGACCACGTCTCGACCCGCTCGTCGCCCCTCGTGCCTTGGTACAGCCCCGCGGGCTCGAGCCGGACACCGACGTTGCCAGCGCCGGCGGCGGCCTCGACCACGGCACCAATGAGGTCGAGCGGGAATTTGCAGCGTTTCATCAAGGACCCGCCGTAGGCGTCCTCTCTCAGGTTCAGGTTGGAGTGCAAAAACTGGTCCAGCAGGTTGCCGTTGCCGCCGTTGATCTCGACCCCATCGAACCCGAGCGCCAGGGCGGTGCGTGCCGCTCGTACAAAATCGGCCGTCGTCTGTGCAATGTGGGCGTCTGTCATGGCCGTCGAGGGGAAGTCGGAGTATTTCACCTTTTCTTTCTTTGCGTCCCTCGTTCGGAAGGGGTAGGTCGCCTCAGGATCGTCCCACGGCACCGAGCTTGCCGACACATGCGTGCCCGGCCCGCCCGTAAAGTGCGGAATGGTGGCGCGGCCGGCGTGCCACAATTGGGCATAGACAAAGCCGCCACGGGCGTGCACAGCATCCACGACAGCCTTCCAGCCGGCATGCTGTGCGTCGTCGAAGAGACCGGGGACTTGGGGCATCCCCGAGGCTTCAAGAGACGGCGGGATGCCTTCAGTGATGAGCAGACCACCCGGAGATGCGCGCTGGATGTAATACTGTGCAACAACGTCGTCGGCGAGCCACACGTCTCCGGCCGTTTCTTTTGTCTGCTCGAACAATAAACCCCGATTGCGTGTCATGGGCGCCATGACAACGCGGTGGCGGAGTTGGATGCGGCCATTGGCGATGGCGAGCGGGGAAAAGAGTGTGGACATTGCAGGCGACGGCTGTCGTCAAATGTTGCGGTCCAAAATATAAGCACCTGTTGAATTCTAACAGAGAAACTGACTTAAATTATTTTCTACGTCCAAGTTCGTTCGCGACGTCACTCCTCAAACAAACACGGATCAACTTATTGAACCAAGCGCTAACTGCATGCATAGTCAAGAGTCTCCTGCCAGATCTTGCGTGCTTCTGGCCAAACATGGCGAAACCGATACCGGCCAACGCTGCAACGAAAAAGCACTTAAGTGTGCTGGAAAGGTTGCGAACAGAATCTGTTGCTCCGCACGGAGGAAAACACGCGAGTTTACAAGCTAGAATTCGATAATGAAGGAAGTGACAATGCAGCCGACGTCAATTTAAACTCTTCCTTCTGTGGCAGATGAGGCAGAAGGCGCTTGTGCGTGGCCAAAGTTGGTTGCACCGACTGGCTATCCTTTGGCACCGACGGCGATGACATATTGACAAGGCCAGCGACTTGACAAGGCTCGTGGTTGGCCAACTTTGAAGCTGTCAATTCTGAGGAGACTCTGTCCCCCCTTATGGGTCATTTTCTATAGTTCTAGACATTCTATGTTTTACTGGAGCCGTTAAAGACAATGAATAGAGGGTGCCTTCGCAGTCATCATACCTAATGAAAACCGAGTCCACTCACGTCCGCACTCAGAGGCCGACCCTGCACCATCTCTGCCAGAACCATACCCGTACCGGGACCCATGCTGATGCCCCAGGGCCCGTGACCTGCCGACGCAAACACGCCACCGTTGCCACCGGTCCTGCTGTCCTCCACTGTCGTTTCTTTCAGTTCTTCATCGAGCAACCGCAGCACCAGTGGTGCCCCCCACGGCGTCGCCGGGCGGTGGCACAGCCCTGTTCGCAGCACTTCCACGTCGTCCTCGCCCAAGATGCGCTTGCACGTCGCCAACAGGTCATCCAGCTGGTCCTGCGACGGGACGGAGTCTGTGGCTGTTGCGGGCAGCGGGATTGTCGACGAGTTGAGGCCGGCCAGGTACAGCGTGCCGTTGGCACGACCAAAGATTTCGGGGCAGTACTGCATGGGACCGCCGGCTGCGAACAGGGCGAAGCAGGGCATTGCGCCGGTGTGGTCCTTGGCTTGTGGCTGCACCACCAACGAGTGCCCGGCGTAGTTGTGGACCGGCAGCGGCCGCCGGGCCGCGTCGTCGGGGAACAGCTCGGCAAACACGTGCGGTGTCCAGCAGCCCGCCGTAAGCACGAGGCGCGTGCAGGCCAGCACCGTCTCCTGTCCGTCCTGCTCGATCGTCACCGACGCCAGCTTGCCGGCGTCGTCCTTGCCCACGCGCACAGCACGCGCCGGCTGGTGCAGCTGCACGCCGCGCCGCAGGCCCTGCTCCAAGAGGCACTCGCAAAACAGCTTCGGCTCCACTTGGCCGGCCGTGCCGTCGTCGGCCAGCACCTCGACATGGTCGCCCGCCTGCCGGCGCAGCCAGCCCGGCACACTCTTGTCTGCGCCCGCCAGCGCCGGCGCGGCCGTCGACCGACTCGTCCCTTGCCGCAGCCAGTCCTCGCCGCGTCGCCCGCCACTCGCGCCACCAGGAAGACGATAGCTCAACGCAGTCGACAGGGCATACCCCCACCGTGCGGCGCCGTTGTGCTGTGCGGCCAGTGCGGCGTGCTGGTCAAACGAGAGGGCGGCCAGACTGGCTGCATCGGAGGCCATCCAGTCGCGGGCCAGAAAGCCGCCGGCGAAGCCCGACGCGGACGCGAACAAGGTGTCTGCGGTCTCGACGAGGTGGATGCCGCCGTTGCTGGTGTCGTGCTCGGCCAAATAGTACGCCGTCGACACTCCGACGATGCCAGCGCCGATGATAACCGTCGCCATCCGTGCTGTGTTTATTCGATGCGTATTTTGACCTGCCTTGGCAATACACGAGTCGGGTGGGAAGACAACGGGGAAAGCGACTCGGGTGGGAAATGGTAGTTGACAAACAACCTGGCAAAGAATGTGAAGGATTCGACAAGGCCGACGAAAGAGTCGGGATACAGGATATGCAGGCACAAGTAAGACGGCGAGGGTAGGGCGAAAAAAGTACTTATAAAAAGAAAAGGAGCTACGCCGACGCCGCTTTCTCACGCCTCTTTCAACCCCACACTCTATCGAAGCGTTCAGAAACGAGCTTCGACCTCCGAAATTTGACTCGCGACCAAGACAACCGAAACTACAACCAAAACTACAACCGGGAATTGACAGTCAGGAATTGACAACCCGCACAATCCCACCTCACGATACACCGCGTACAGCAGTACAGAATACCACGACAACCGCCATGAGCAAGGTCGTCCTCGTCACCGGCGCCAGCCGCGGCATTGGTCTCGCCGTGGCCCACCACCTGCTGGCCCATGCGCACAAGGTCGTGCTCGTGGCCCGCGCGGCGGAGCCCATGGCCGCGCTCCAAAAGGCGTTTCCGGACCAGGTGGCCTACAAGGCGACCGACGCCACCGACTACGCGGCGCTGGCCAGCACGGTCGACCTGGCCGTGTCGACCTGGGGCCGGCTCGACGGCGTTGTCATCAACCACGGCGCGCTGACGCCCGTGCAGCGGCTGGCCGATGCCGATCTGGATGCGTGGAAGCGTCTCTACGACATTAACGTGTTCAGCGCCTTGGCCTTGGTAGGTGGCCCTTTTTTTTGTGGCGCGCGAACACTCATGCTCATCTCATGCTCATCTCATGCTCATCTCATGCTCATCTCATGCTACGCAGGCCAAGGCTGCACTGCCCGCCCTCCGCGCCGCCAAGGGCCGCATCGTGCTCGTCTCCACCGGCGCCAGCAAAAAGGGCTACGCCTCGTGGGGCGCCTACGGCAGCTCCAAAGCCGCGGCCAACGCACTCGTACAGCACCTGGCCGTCGAGGAGCCCGAGATTGTGTCGGTGGCCGTGGCGCCGGGCCGCGTCGACACGGACATGCAGAAGCAGATTCGCGACGAGGGTGCCCGCGGCGGCATGGACGCCAAGGTGCTGTCGACGTTTGTCGATGCCTACGCGGACGGCAGCCTCAGCCCACCCGAGAAGCCGGCCGAGGTGCTGGCGAAGCTGGCGCTCGAGGCGGCGCCCGAGCTGTCCGGCACATACTTCAAGTGCGTTCTCCCGTCTTACCCTCCCCCCCTCTCCGCAATTATTCTACAATGCCCCCTCTACGATGCTAACAGAATAGCTGGAACGATTCGCACATGGGGACGTATCACTGGTCGTAGACGGTACGGAGGAATGCTACAAGCTGCGAGGACCGGCCGGGGACGGCGAAGACGACAAAGACTGCTGAGGACCTAGACGTTCTGACCGTGTTAGCATTGGTCTTTTGTCATGTTGCGAATTTTTATACGATAGGAACAGACACAACAACAAGGCAAAGAAGCGCATCAGTCGAAAGATGAAAAGCTCATTGATAGGTATCCACATGTAGTTTCGGTATTAGCATGGAATATCAAAGTGTTACATCACGCGCGCTCCGTTGCCCTGTTGTCGAGGTATGTGTGCTTTGTGTGTATCATGTTGAAAGTCTTACATTTGACGTTGTCGAAGATTCGTGTCAGGTTTGTTGCCAAAGGTAGTAGAGTTGACTGAAGAGTAAATCTTGGTACAAAGTTAGCGTTGGCAAGCACCAAATGCAAACTAAACCAAGGCGAGGGAGTAGCCCCAAAAGCAGAAAGGCAGCAAGATCAGGAACAAAGGGTTTTCTCCGTCATGAAATGTCGGTATTTGATAGTACATAGTTCGAGCATCATGTAGACTGCGAGGCGATGGAATACGAGGAAGGAAAAGAGCATACCACATGAACGTCTGCAAACGTCGAGAAACGCAAAAGGGTCTAAAATGTATTTCCAGGCATGGCACCTTTTCGAAAGTTAGCAACAACGCTCGACTAAGGCTGGAGAGAGGCACGTCGACAAGAGAAGAGCCGAGGACAAGGAAATGGAAATGGCCAGTATCAGAGACGTCCGTTTGGAAAGACAGTGTCAATCACCATGGTTTAGTATGCCTGGGGCGACGAAAAGCTCATCATGTTAAGGGCCAGTGGAGCGGACAGGAGAGGGAAGCGAGGATGAGCGAAGCGAGAGAGAAAGGAGCGGGAGCGCATACTAACCAGATAAAAAGAGTATTCACAAAAAGGAGTTCCAAATATCGCGAGATGGCGGAATCGCGAGAAACAGAAAAGTAAAAAGCAGACGAGGCAGCATTGCAACGCTTGTTCCAATGTCAGGCGTCCGAAAAGAACACAGTAATAAGAAACGCGTAGAAGCGACAAGGACGCGGAGAGAAGATCGACTGTGCTCAAAAATGTGAGAGAAGAAGGAAATACAGAGAGAAGAGAATTTGGCTGCAAAAGCCTTTTGTAGCTGGCGAGAAAAAAAAGAATCCCATAAATTAAAGTGGGTCGTCTCAGGGCGGTGAAGCTATTGTCCTAAGAACTCCACTGCCTTACATAAGGATCGCGCTTTGCTGTTTATTTTCTGCCCCTCCCATTGCCTAAGAGAGCTTTGGCTATTTAAGTCCTCCAGGGTCAAGCATATGAAAAGGCAGAGGGCCCGCCGCCCCTCGCCCACCTTCTACTTGCTGCAGACGTCGAGACGTTCCGAGGACAGCCAACACCAGCAATCACTTTAGCGTCGCAGCTCCAATTCCATGTACAAAACAACACGCCCAACATCCACATCAAAGAGACGCATCATACGCTAAATCCTCCACGCATTAACGACATCTCTGTCGACGCGCTTTGTCACTCAACGTCCGTCTGGTCAATTAAGAGAAGGACAAAGTATTATTTCAGAAAACAACGTACCGGCAAAGAGACCTCGCTCTCATTATCCCATCGCCAACGTTTGCGAGACGAAGCCTTCGAGCTGTCCACGACATACAATCAACGCGTTCTGTCCACGCTTCGAGAGCAACAGCTGCAGCCAACTCTGCACATTTCCGTTTCTGTCGACGTTACAGTCACACAACCATCACCGCACAATGTCTGACCACGAAGGCGATTTCGGTGGTACGTCCTCCCATATATATGCTTCCTCCCACTTGCTGTCCTTTTTTTTTTTTTTTTTTTTTTTAACCTACCCCCCTGTTCACGCTCTGACAGTCGGCAGGCAACGACGACCTCTCCCTCCCCAAGGCCACCGTCCAGAAAATCGTCACCGAAATCTTGCCGCCCAGCATGGGCGTCGCCTTTTCGCGCGACGCCCGCGACCTGCTGATCGAGTGCTGCGTCGAGTTCATCACGCTCATCTCGTCCGAGGCCAACGAGATCTCGGAAAAGGAGGCCAAGAAGACGATTGCCTGCGACCACGTGACGCGCGCGCTGGAGCACCTGGGCTTTGCCGAGTACGTCGGCGCGGTGCTGGAGGCGGCGCAGGAGCACAAGGAGGTGCAAAAGGGCCGCGAGCGGAAAGCGGACAAGTTTACGCAGAGCGGCATGACGCTCGAGGAGCTGGAGCGGCTGCAGCAGGAGCAGTTTGCAGAGGCGGCGATGCGGCACGGATAGGCGACGGCGTTGTGTGTTTGGTAAATTTGTTTTGTCTTGTCAGCATCGTTCTGTACTTTGGCGTTTGCGTAATGGCGTTTCGGCTGGGCGGCAACCGGTGGTGTTGCCCGACTCTCGGGACTTTGTGACTCGTTTACTGCGTTCATCTACGAGCACGATTCACTCTTCGTCACTCACTTCTCAACCTTCACAGCGTATGAAGACTTGGTATTACAAAAACGGAAATATATTGGCGGTATACAACTAAGGAAAGCAAAAAGTAAAGTAAATCAGGGAGTGTACACGTGCATTCTCGTCTGAAAAACTGCAGCAATCCAAAGAAGCGTGTGTTCAAAGGACAGGATAAAAATATGGAAATGGGGTAGTCGAGAAGGGCAATAATAAAATAAACACCAAATCTTAACTGCAAAGGGACAAGATACAAAAAGAAAGAGAAAACCAGAAAGAAAGCGGGCAGACGCAATGAGATAGGAAATATAAAATACGCATGTGTGTGTTTGTGTGATGTGTTGAGCGGGGCAGCTGTGCAGTGTTGCATAAACAAAAAGGCGTTCAGTCTGCTATCGTATCCATCAAGATCCAAAAGGAAAAGAGGCAAAGACTCTCCTTTTCAAGCAGAGTTCGACTTTGCGTCGTCGTCCTCGTACGGTGGCAGCTCCTCGATCGACGGCGCAGCCATCAGGCCAGCCTTCTCCTCGTCGACGGCCGCCTCATCGCCGTGGCGGTCAACGGCAGCCGCAGCAGTCTTCTTGCTCTTGCAGCAGCGGCGGGTGTGACCGACAGCCTTGCGACGGAACAGCACACGCCACGCGCCAGCCACAAAGGTGCCGACAGCGACACCAATGACGCTAACGGCAATGCCGGTAGCGACGCCGAACAGGATAGGCAAGAGAATGTGCGACACGAACTTGCGGGCCAGCTTCGCCCAGCTATGGTGGCGCATCAGCTTGTGGTGGCGGTGGGGCTTGTCCTCGTGGGTGTCGTTCTCGTCGTCCTCGTCGTGGTGGTGATGGTGGTGGTGGTGGTGGTGGTGACGGTGCGGCTTGTCCTCGTCGTCGCCGTCGCCCTTGCCGCCAAATGCCTTGGCCATGGCCTTGCCGGCGCAGCCGCCACGGTGCGCCTTGATGCCGGACTTGATCAGGACCTTCCAGCGGCAGAGGAAGTTGGAGCACGCGTCGAGCTGCTCCTTGAGCTCGGCCATGCGGTCCTCGGCCGGGGGGGCGGCGACCTCGCCGTCGCCCTCAATGTCCACGCGCGCAATCATCAGGCCGCTCTCGGGCGTGCGGATCAGATGAATGTTGACGGCCGGAATGCCCCGGATGAACTCGCCATTGACCTGGATGATCTCGAGCGACAGCGCGACAGCCTCCATGCCGTTGCTCTCGTCCTTGCCGACGGCCTTGGTCTGCATGGCGTAGCCCAGAGGCACCTTGACGAGGTGCTTGCCGTGCTTGCCGTGGTGCTTCTTGAGGTGGAAGTCCTTGCCGTCCTTGAACTCCTTGTGCTTCCAGTGCTTGGCCTCGAAGCCCTCGTCGTCGGCGTGATGCTTCCGGTGGCGCTTCTTCAGCTCCTCGCCGTGGTCATCGTGCTCGTGCTCGTGCTCATGCTCGTGATCATGCTCGTGTTCGTGCTCCTCATGATGCTTGCCCTTGTGGTGCTTTCCCTTGTGGTGCTTTCCCTTGTGGTGGAAGTGGTCCGGCGCCTGCGTGGCCATCAGACCGTCGCCGTTGATGTCCACGTTGGGGTACACCTCAAAGTGGTTGACCAGCAGGTGGTCGCCGTCGGCCTGGTGGTCGATCTTGAGGAAGAGGTTGATGTGGTTGTCGACGTTGGTCAGCGTCACAATCTGGCCTTCTTCCGTCGTCTCGCTATTGTCGTCGTTATCCTCCTCGTGGCCATGGCCATGCTTGCGGATCTGCATGGAGCAGCCCGGGCAGGGCACCTTGACCTTGGTGAACTCGTGGTAGAACGGGCCGGCCATGGCCGCCGGGACGACGGTCCCAATCTTCATCGCGGCCGGCGCGTCCGCCATCGCCTCGCCGTTCTTGCCGCCGCGCTGCGACTGGCGCTCAAACTCGACATCGATGGGCGGCGGGAGCAACAAGGCAGACGCCGTCGACGACGCCAGCGCCGCGGCGAGCAGTGCCTTGGGCAACATGGTGGTCGGGTGGCCGGTGTTCGGTGATCGGTGTTGTGAGATGTGGCAGGTGGTTACAGTCGATGCCACCAGCCAAGACTTTTTCAATGTCTTAGACGGGATGCAGGGGCGATCTTCAACGATGGAAAATGGAGTCGTTCGATACCGACATCGAAATCGGATCGGGCGTTGTGGGCTGGGCGAAATCCGAGAGACGAAAATAAAAAAAATCGAAATCGTATGGCGATGCCAAAAATAAAAGAAAAGGGAGAAAATTGAAAGACGCAAAGGAATGCAAAAGAGTCCGAAAACATACGAGACAAGAGGGTGTGAAAGGGTGGCGAATACAAATACGGGGGTACCATTACAAGGCAACCGGGTTTGGATATGGGACATGCCACTGGAAATTGGGACATGACGAAGCCCATCCTCCACTGTTTGCGCATTAAACTGGAGCCTACGCCAGGGCATGGACAGCCCTGCGGCATGGTCGGAACGCCCATACAGTGACCCCACCAGCCAGGGATCCTGACGTGGCTTTGGGTGTTACGGAATTGCGTGGCATGGGCCCACAAAAATGCCAGGCGCTTACCTAAAACAGGCCGCACTAGTCTTGTTTCGGGCTTCTCACTCTGCCTTTGTCATCCATTCAGCCCCTCTGATTCGCCCGGTGCCAAGAAATTGCTGTTCTGTTCGGCGGGGAGGCATACGTAATCGATGCCTCAGGCCAAAAATGCACATAACGCTCTGACCGATGGTTGCTTTGGGGTGTATGAGTTGCACGTGCAGTGTCACGAGCTCAGCTTTTGTTTACTTTCTCCCGTTCTGCCCCATTCCAAAGCCAACGCTCCTCCTGCCCTGTCGCATTTGCTCTTTAAGGTTTTGTTTTTCCCGGTTGTGACGGCATACCAATAATGCATGGCCAATAATATAAGCACCAGGTTTCCCAGCAAATATATTAACGAAACACAAAGTGCTACTCCTTGCATTGTCCATGTGCGCATCGTAAATTGCCTTGGATGCACGTAACCGTCCCATCTGCCCGCTTCGGTTGCCGGGCGATTTTCTAGAGGGCCGAGAGGCTCAACGAAACAATAAATTGAATTCCATAAATAATCAGTTCGTGTTTGTGATGTCACGTGCATTGAAACCACTCAGGTGCAAGAGACCAGGTTGCTTCACGCTTCATTTCACATTGCAATACAAGTGTCGGCATAGAAAGTCACTGCTGAGGAAAGTAAAGAGACTTGGAAAATTGAATGTGAAATGAAGTCAAAAGAAAAAAGTTGCCCAAAAGCCCGTCTAAGTCTGTGGCGTCGTGCCTTTGCGCTCCAACATTGTGAGATCCAGTGTAACATGTCTGCTTCCCTTTTCTTTGTGACTTTTTGGCGGCTTTGCGCCGTGCCTCCTCTTCCTTTGTGAACCCAAAAATGTGGTTTTTTTTTGCCCAGCCCAAAACTGATAAAATATCAAATGACACAATGTCGATCCAGAAACAAACAAAAAAGTCCAAGTCATGACAAAATCGTAACGCAAATGAAACAAAAATATTAACAAATGAAAGTAGCGCTCCACTGCGCAATCCGCTCAGAGGATCACACACCGGTGCCCCGTCTCTCGTCGACGCCGCCGGACCCGGCGACTTGACGACGGCTGGTGCTGTGCCATCTTGTCCTCGACCTCAAACGCCGGGTCTGTGTCTTCGCGCCGCAGCATCTGACGACAAAGGTCGACAAACACCTCGTCGACGTTTGTCCGCGTCCGCGCACTCGCTTCGTAGTAAGGGGCATTCCATCGCTGTGAGAGTGTAAAGGCTTTGCTCCGGCTGACGCCGCGCTGGTCCTCGAGATCGGCCTTGTTGCCCACAATGACAATCGGTGTGTTTTCGTCATCCTTGACCCGGATGATCTCGTCTCGGAGCATTGTCAGTTCGGAGAGCGACGATGGTGACGTGATACTGAAGACAAGTAAAAAACCTTGCCCTGTCTTCATGTAAAGATCCCGCATAGCCACTACTTGTTGTTAGTATTTTTTTATTTCTCGATCAAAGGGCCAACGTTTGCCACAGGTACATAATTTGTGCGTGGTCTTCACTCAAAGACACTCGGTGCAACATGGTCTCAAAGCTCGTGCCAACGGAACGGGGCGTGAGGTACGCGGCATCACGCATCACTGCAAAAGCGTATCGGGTAAGGTTTGAGGGCCGTAGTCAGGACGTACCAAATTGCTCGGTCCCTGCGGTATCCAAACTAAAACACATAGGTCAGTGATTCTGTTGACGGTACACAACGCCCGAATGCAGAATGACGGGCAGGAGGGCACTACTCACATCTCCAAGACAATTTGTCGTCCCTATACGTGTGCCATGAGAAGTGGTTAGTGTCTTCGGCTGTCTCGTGCTGGGACTTGTTTCTTGCCACGGTAGCTCGCAGCTCGCAGTCTGCAACTCGTAATTGAGAACGACTCACATCAACGGAGACCTGTGTCCGATACGAGTCCTCGATTGTCGGGTCGTAGCTCTCAATCCATTGGTTGTGGACAAACTGGGCTGATGTCGGACAACACACTTGTTAGTACGGCTGAAATTGGCAGGGGCGACGAAACGACAAGACATCCACGTCTTTTGGGCACATGCAAACACGCCTGCGCGAGCACATGGTGCACATGTCCAAGCTTTCGGTCATTCTGTCTTGAGAATATCCCGCCAGCAATGGGCCAATTCTTCTTCGCAGGCCAAGCCGAAGATGCCCACCGGATGCAAGTGCGCCGTGAAAGGCACAAAATGACACGCGAAAAAGGCCAAACTCACCTGTCAGACAACTCTTTCCGACGCCACCTAATGTTGAAGTCAGCGCTTAGGCCTCGAGGAACACACGAATCGGGTGAATAGGTGGCGAGATCAGCCCAGGTTGCCTGAAAGCACAGAAGAAGACGATGACGGGCCGTAGGTGAGTGAGCGCAAAGTGGGAGAAAGTGCATATGTGGGCAAGCGTACCTGCGCCAAGAACAACAATATGACATTCTCGACTAAATGTTCATAGCCATTGGGCATCAGCAAATGTGTTTCAAAAGTGGCTTGCATGTAGGGCCCGAGTGTACAGATGTGAATGGAAAATTCAAAAGACAGCGTGTCTCTGATGCCTCTTACCTGGGTTGGTATCGAGGAGCCATGGCTGGAGATGTGATGTGAGGTAGTTTCAAGAGCCGTTCCTCTGATTTACTTTTCGTTTTCGAGTAACCCCCACGCCAGTTCAGGCCGTGGGTCGCTTTCGTTTGCGGGTGCCCAACTGGTCAATGCGCAAAACCGTTGTAATCAAGGGTGAAGAACGGCAGAGTCGAGCTCCAAGAAAGACAATTAACAAAACGTTAGGTAGAGGGTGGATGCCAACAAGGATATTCAAATTTTTCTGCGATTTGCAAAAAGACGCATAAGATACGTCGAGGCGTGATACACGCGTCGTCAGTGGTGCCGTGAGAATGCGACTGAGGTTGGTATCGCTGCCGTTCGATTTTTCCCAGAATATGGAATGAGATCAAATATAAATAAACGTAATGTGGAGGATTGTCGAAGCAGGGTACGGAGCTGGCCGAGAAGGTGGTGTGGGGTGTGAGTGGTAATGGAAGACAAAAAGGTACAGAGTACAGAATAGAGGAGAGATATGAAAGGATCAGTCGAAAAGGGGACCGAGAAAAGAGAGAGGGTCCAAGAGAAAGAATTGGGAGAGGGAGAAGAAAGCAGCCGTTTGAGGCCTTTAATAGTGTCCCAAGGATTGTTGTCGACACAATGGCGAGAATGGGTGCCGTTGCGTGTGAGATGCAAACTGGTGTGTATGCATGAGTATGAGAGACTGATGGAAAGTCGGCGTTGAGGCGCGTGTCAGATTTATTGCGTTCCGGGAGTGCAGGGCAAAGCCAGGGCGTACGTTCAGAGTCGGGTCTCAAAGAGGAGCTACTTGTAATAAGTTTGGCGGAGGTTTTGAGGCAGACCAGTGCAAGGCGGAGGAATGAATTGCAACGAACGAGACCGAAACTGGCTCAGTTCGCGAGAGCGAAGCAAGTAAAATGGCAGAAGAGCGTGTGTCACGGCTGAGAACGCGGATGACTGGAGATGAACAGAAATGAAAAGAAGGAGAAAAAGGAAGACAGATATATCTCAGCAAGGTAAGGGCGCTGAGTCGGTCTCAAGCTTGGTCGGCCTCTGTTGGTCGTAAAGTTCCGACTTGTTGTGATGACATGTGCTGTATTTTAGCTGGCTGAGGCGAGGCGGCAAGAGAAATTAAGTCATGAAACTCAGGAAGGAGAAAAAAAGAAAAAAGAGATACACTCTTATTTCTCTCTAAGACAGGCCCAGACAGCTAGTAGGAACAGGGGTCCAGTGATCGGCCCCGAAAGACTGGTGACTGGAAGCGTGAGGCGTAAGTGGAGAAGCAGAGCTAAACGGCTGAGACGGGCGAGACAGGCGGGTGGAAGGGCGGCGCGCGGCGCGTGTGGGCACACAGCGAGTGTATGAACAAATCAGTCGATGGTATGCGGAGCGAGAGTGTGGGTGTGAGACTCGGATACCGTTTGGTGAGCTTCCAAGTCGCAGGCCCAGCGCTGTTTCAGGACTATACGGATGAGTGGCCTCGCTGGAGTTGGAGTGGGAGCCTGGAGCCAGGCAGGGAGCTGGTCTTGTTTTGTTGACTGTTCTGGGTGTCTTGTTTGTGCTTCTGTCGTACGTGGTGTTTCTCGACGCTTGTCGTCGGGTTGGCGGTGCAATTTTGTCTTGATTTTGAAGGCAGAGCTCTCGTTATTGTTGGTATTGCTGGCTCGATCGGTGCCAACGGGAGAGTGAGTGAGCTTTTAATATTACCCGTACCATACCAGGCAATTATAAAAGGGTTGGTTAGTATGGTCCGGAGTCTGACGAGGCGCGATGCGTAGTCTTTGCACACACGGAGAATGTGATGGACGAGACATAAAAAGCGGGAAGCAAACGAAGCACGGAAATGGCAAGGATTGCAGGTGGCAAGGTGAAGCGGTATATTTGGTGAAGGGGGCAGGGAGAAAGAGGGAGAATAATAAGACCCCACGACGAAGAAGGTGTTGGCCAAAACGGGAGGAAGTTGTGGAAGGTAAGAGCGAGGGATCCTCACAAACTATTGTCCTATGTACGCCGTATTGCGGGTGGTGCTGGGGAAAGGCGGAAGGTACGGACTACACATGTACACCTTGGCCGTGGCAGGAACATAGACGGCCGGCCTGCTGCTTCCCCTTGCTTGGTCTATGGCCTTTTTTTTTTGTCAATTCAAAGTCGGTCGGTCCTTCTTCTTTTGGCAGGTTTTCTTACCCCAGATAAAAATGATTTCAGCGCTACGAACAAACTGTCATAGTGGCGGCCAGCTGTCGGATTAATTCTTGCTGGTAAATGCACATATGGAGTACTCGTACACTGACAGTTTTGGCCCGTCGCCTCGTCAATCTTTCCCGATCAGACCTTTCGTCCCCCCCCCCCCCTCCGTCGGGGTCGCGGGTAAAGCTGCTGCGAGATGGTAGAGGATGAAGAAAGAACACAAATCGAGATGACCAAAAAAAAATCTTCAGGTGCAAGGGACAATTCACACCTACACATCCGTTACGACAAAAACCGGGCCAGGTATGGAAGGAGCAAGGGGTCGTTCAGACCAGGCCCGTCCAGGCCATTCCAGATAGGCGAGGGCAAGCTCGACGAAGAAAACGGAGAAGAAAAAAAAAATCAAAAAGTCCCCTTGCCAAAACGAGCACAGAAGCTGCGCGAGAAAGGAATGTGCATTAGCGGCCTCTTTCTTCCTTTTTGTTCTCTGAGATTGTCTTTTTTTTTTTTTTTTTTCACCTGAATCCGGATACAGCAGGGAGGGTACCAGGGGGAAGAAATGGACATGGGGTCGAAATCCGTTGCAGAGACAAGTCGACGTCCGAATCTGCAGACGGGCACGAGAGGACAAACATATGGGGATGAAATACAGGGGGCCTGCAGCGAGTAGGGAAACAAGAGCAACTGAAAGAGAAACTGATGGGCGAAGAAGACCAAAAAGAGCGCAGCCTACCGACAGCTCCACCCGATGGAGACGCTACGGAGTAGCTGCCGGAACCCATTCGTTGGGCTGGGACATTTTAGGCGCATAACGAGCGCTGTGGTTGGGCGGTCTTTCCAGAAAACGGTTTAGTTGGGGGGTGATATGGCTCCTCTTTTGTCTCTCGTCGGCTTCTCTGTTTTGTTTTCTGCAGGAAAGCCTGTCCTGGAAAGGCGCGGCCGGAAAAGCAGACCAGAGGGGCCGGACGGAACGCAAGAAAGGGGAAAGAGGAAGGAGGTAAGGGCAGACGCAGGTCGACACGGAAAGAACGGACCAGTCAAGCCCCCCGGTCAATGTATTTTCGACTGAAGTTTGCCGGCCGCCGCTTCCTCTCTTGACAGAAGTAATTCGTACGAGACCGAGACGCAGCTCAAATCTCACTGGGATTTGTAAGTCATCACACACATGCTTTTTGCCGTCGTACACGCCAGGGATAACGACATATGCAAGAAGCTATGGCGAGCTTCATTGCGTTGACGCTTTCGATGTGAAGTTTTGGCAGCGTGCATCTCAGCTGCAAGTGTCCAGTGGGACCTTGCACATGAAAGGAACCGGGTTTTTTGTGCTTCGTTGCCTTTTTTGGTATTTTTATTTTTATTATTATTTTATTTTTTTTCTTTTAGCTGCAGCAGCCACACAGGTTGAGGCCGGCACGCCTGTGTTCTGCCGCGCAACTGGGGAACTAAGCTGGTCCAGGGAATTAATAACAGGCCCTCTTTCTTTTTTTTTTTTTTTTTCTTTTTTTTGGCTGCCTGTCTTTTCTGTCTGTGCCTGATTCTATCTGACCTGTCTCCTCGGGTATTTTTTTTCATGTTATTTGTTAGGGTTGGGCTGGCGGTGTCCACCCGCGCGTCCATCCATCCAGGGGGACCGCGAGCCAGGCAGGGGTTTCCGTTACAACTATGGGGAACGGAGAACGGAGGAAGACCTGAAGAGAGACAGTGTGAAACGAAAAGGGAAACAACAGTTCGCGGAGCGCGTTGTCAATGGCACTGCCCAAAGCCCCAAGACCAGAAGCATTTGCTCTATCGTCCGTTCTGACAGGAAGGTACGCGATTTCTGAGGCTAGAAATGTGCAACGTGCTGTCGTAGTCCGTACTAATACCTCTACCCGGGGGGAAGGAAGGAGATGCATGTTGAGAAACTGAGAAACGAGGCAAGGCAGGCACGGAGATGCGCGAGATACAAGACGGCAGAAGCAGGGAGGGCGAGTCAAAAAAGCGAGGCAAGTGCGAACTACTAGTGCCTGCCGGGCGAATGACGGAACGGCAGGAGCAGGTCGACGACACGCGGCAGCCCATTAATAAACGTCGAAAGAATAGAAACAAAGGAAGGAGTAATGAAGGAAAGACGAGAAGTAGCGAATGGGCTGTCGTACTCTGCCCGAAATAGTATCGGAAAAAAAAAACGAAAAGAAAAGATAGCATCTCCACTGTTCCACGTACATCTTCCACGGATCGGAGCACAACGGTGTTAAGTCGGAGCACGTACAAGTTCATGCCAATTATACACATCACATTTTGGTAGTGCCATGAGACCATTGACAAAAACACTCGACAGATCGACAGACGGACTGTGGCGATACTGCATCTCATCTGAGCAGCAAATTCATGGAAATCTACGGATTACGTCGTCTGGCTGACTCTGTACAGAAAAGGGGGACCGTCAAAGGAAAAACCCTCACCGATCTCCGTACGGAACGGCGTCTTCCCTTTTCGGGATGGCCCCAGGGCCCAATTCGGCCGGAGCGATACATGCTTCGAAGTACGCTTTTTACCTCCAGCAGCCTTTTTCCGGTTCTGAATACAACCAATCTTGGTTGCCATCCATGGTGTATTGCTCGCATTTTCAGTACAGCTAGTATTTCACGTTTGTTGACTGTTTAACACTGTCGACTGCACCATTACCCTTGCCTCCTCACATCCTTGTCTCTGTTGTATTTTTTTCTGCCTTTGCCCTCCCCTACGCTCGGTCGGTACAGAGCGTGCTTTGCATGTTGGAAACCCCGCGATGTACACCATGGTGTCTGTGCGTATGGGGGGCTGGACCGAGCTGGACCTGAGAAACGATCCAGCCAAGTATCCAAGAGTAAAACAACCCCCCCCCCCCCCCCCCAAAAAAAAAAAATCCGGGCCAGAAACGATCATAACCAAAGAAAGATCCAAAGCAAAAGCACTGACCACCTCTTCTTTTTTGAAATGTTAACAAACGTCACACCTATTGGTCATTTTTTGTCACACCTCCAAAATGACGAGCAAGCATACTAAAAATAGATGAAGTATCACGACTACATGCTGCCATCACTCTTTGCATTCTACAGTACTGTTTTGTTTGTCTGATTCTGATTGTGATATTAAGATGAATGATCCCCACGCTGAGGGGATTTTCTTATGTTTTTAGCACTTGCTTCCTCAGTTGTCATATCATGCAACCGTTGATTGCAGTTCTTTGAGAAGGTTCCCGTTGGATGAGCTCTACTGCGCTTTCATATGAAATCTGTGGAAAACGGAGACAAGAGCAGTTCGTAAATTAGGAATGTAATTACTGAGGCCACGCAAAACTGCAATAGTGAAACATGGCAAAGCTCGGCGGTGCAGTAACCAATGGAAAGAGCAGTTTTTGGAGATCAATACTGTCGAGACGGAAATCCAATGACGGGCTAAGGAGAACCGCCTCCAACTCTCACGAACGCAGCTCACTGGACGAGAATAGAGGAAGGCGGCTACACATACGAAGCATGCACCGACATACGAGATCACAAAAACGTATACGAGTCGTACGGAAAGGGGAAACGGCCAAGGCACTGCTAAGACCCGCGGTGGCAAAAATACACCAGCTGCCTACTGCCCGCGCCAACGAAGTTGCGAGAGGGGCGAAACAAGGAGACAAGGTAATCAAAACAGCCATGGACTAGCGACAACTCACCTCTGGACCCGGCTGTGGCCACAAGTTCAAGGCCACGATCATTGGCACAGGAGAACCGCGACCCGCAGCCTTATGGAGCCTCTGGAGCCACCTGCAAGTGCACGCGCACTCTGGGGGACGTATGGAGAATGCTCCGCTGAGGGGAAGTGAAGTGGAAGAGGGGTGTTGAAGCGAGCATGGACGTGGGAGGTCAGACGAGGCAATCGGAAAGGGTAATCGTATGGACGGAGGCGAAAAGGATTACCTCGGATCTTACGAATTCCAAGTAGCTCTGTAAAGCAGAGGCGACTCTCAGGAGATATTGAGCCACCTCAGCTCTAGAAGTAATCAAATGCTGGTGAAGCTGGGTGAATGAGCGATCAGAAGACATGAGGAAAGCTGGCCAGTGCGTTTTATCGCGGGTCCTATGATGTTGACTGTATGGAGCATTACGACATCAACGTACTTCGTATTTATGGCACGGTTCGGAGAACAAAAGCAAATTACGATGTACTCCGTACCATGCCTGTTCGATCAACGGAGGTCTAGATCGTGAGGACCTAACGGATGGCCCAGGCCTTGTTTGACTTGACAAAACGCAACTGTGAGTCAACCGTAGTGCTTGCCGGCTGGTCTCATGTACTTACCAGTCGTGTCTATCTAGATTCGGAAATTTGCGTGACGATGGGAGAAGAGCAGACTGATCAGCGTCGTGTCTCAGCCAATCTACACCAAGTCTTCTGTGCTCTCCTCCTCTTGGCTTTCTTGGCTTATCTTCTTACTTTTCATTCCGACTTCATAGACAAAAAATGCTCTCGCTTCGCTTTTCGGGAAAGACTTATCCTTCCCTGGCACTCGGAGTGTGTAATCCTATATTTCTTTGCTAACATCCGTGCCCGTGATGGAGCAACTATTTAAGTTGCAAAATGCAGCATTGATATTGGCAAAATAGTGGCTTGTCTCGACGTTACGGTGACATGGGGAAAAGTGACGATAATTAAACCGGAATCCAGTAGATCATGAAAACATGAATGTCAAATCGTGAACAGATGTCTACTTTTTCAGTTAAATCACGTTGATTAGTTTTGAAATAATACTAGTCGACAACATTATACCCTAATAAAATAACCTAAAATAAATAAATACAGAAGTTTTTGCAAATTTGTTAATATGTTAAAATTTACTCTGTAGCCAAAACAATAATCATCGTATCTAAAAATATAGACAGATATATCTCTAATCATATCAAAATCAAACTGACAATAAACCGGGCAGGCTTCGCTATGCTAAAAAAAGCAGGAGTATTCTAAAGCAAAAGACACCAAAAAGAAACCAAAAAAAACGAACCGTTCAGGAAGTCCGCTCGGCATGAAATCCACCTTGTCGGCCGTCGTCGACGCCTACCGCTTCTCGTCAAAGTCGGTCTCGACTTCACCCCACTGTGTCGGTGCCACGCTGTTGCTGCACGATCGGGTCCGGCAGACGTCGTCGGCCCTTGTGGCAGACTTCGGTGGGGCCTGTGAGGTTGCAATGGCGGGCGTCGACGCGGCAGACGTAAAAACCGAGGGCCCCCCGTACAGGTAGGGCGGCGATGCCAAAGTCTCGACTACACCCAACGTTTCGCTCGGCATGGCCTGCTCCTTCTTCTCGTCATGGCCGTTTTGCCGCGTAGCAGCGGTCTCCAGGTCCGGGTCGCGTGCGTCGGGCTGCTTCGTCGACCGGCCAATGAAGCGGTTGCGCCACCAGGCCGACGAGAAGCAGGGGTGCAGGGGCCGCTCGGCAAAGGGAAAGTTGTCAGCCCCCCTGACGGCGATAATCTCGGCGGCGAGCTCGTCAAACGTCTTGCCCTCGGCCTTGGCCTGCTGGCGGAGCTTGCGGGTGCGGATGCGCCAGATAATATGCGACAAAAAGATGCCAATCTCGAGGAGGGCGCAGATGATGTAGATGACGCCACCGAGAACGTCAAAGGTATTTTGGGCAACGAGGGCCATGAGCGAGAAGAAGGCGCCGCTCCAGTCCATGCCCAAGAAGACAAAGTTGATGCCAACAATGCGGCCGCGGCGCTTGTAGATTTCAAAATAGGGCGGGACGAGGCCGGCGGCCAGAAGTATGGAGGCAATGATGCCGACGACGATGGCAGGGGCCTCGTTGCCGCGTTCGTAAATGGGCCGGAGGGAGAAGATGAGAGCGGCCTCGACACCGGCAAAAATGGCGGCCATGGCCAGACCGGCGACGGTCGCCTTTTTGACGGACCAGCCGTTCCCGTACACCATAATCTGGGACCAGCTAATGACGCAGAGGGTCATAAAGGCCTGTGGCTGGACTTGGATGGGATAGTTGAAATTTTGGATGATGGCATAGGCACCAAACGGTACACCACAGACGCCCCATAGGAACATCATGAGGGCCGGAAGGCCGTCCGTTTTTTTTGTCCGCCAGTTGGTCCATATTCTGAAGTGTCGTTAGCAGTCGTTCGATGTGAGACATTCCGGGTTCCCGGATCGGAGATACCATTACGCTTGCTCGTGGAATACGTACTGGGGTATCAACTGAACACACCAAAACCTACAAACAGGAAGGTATGTTAGCCTCAGAGGCAAACGAAAGTAGCCGTTCGAGTTACTTCGACTATATCGAGTCTTGTCCGACGGTGTCATCTTGCCGTAGCACAAAAGTTTGACAGCTGGGTTTATTCTATGCGGATTGTTGGTACTCACACTGTCACGACATGTTAGCAACCGTTTATGATATATGACAGAAACCGAGCCAACTGTTGTTGAGAGCAATAAAGGGACGGCTTACCTGTGCCAATGGTCTATGCGCGGTGAACAGATATCATGTTAGCAAATGCTGTGCTTCGCGCCATCCACTTGTGTCATACCGGAACTTTGAAAGCAACACGACAATATCATTTATATTAGAAAAACCTACGCCTAATACATTGGCGGCCTGGGAACGAGGGCATTAGAACATGTTTACCAGACGGAATCTACGAGTATGAGGCAATACATACCACTGGAATACTTGTTTGGGGCGCCATTGTGGGCGGAGGCGTTCGTGGCCGTGGCCGTGGTCGTAGACGAGAATGGCAGAGAGGAAACAAATTCGCTCTATGAAGGGCCGAGTCAATGGAGTGAAGTAGAACAACCGGCCCCGAAAGATTCTGACTAAGGCAGCACGCTAGGTTGGTTCAGTGGTGTTGATATCCTAACGGGCAGGGAGTGTTTGTTGTTTGCCAGGAAAGAGCGACTGTATGTGGGCTTGGGATGGATGTAAGTTCAAAGCCAAGTCCATGCCAAGTTCGAAGCCAAGACGGAAAGAGCGACTGAGCCAAGGAGTCGGATGCTGGGGTACTGGGGAAAGAGCGACACAGAGGCTCGTAATGACCACGATGACGACTGGACTATATAACCTCGTGCGGCGGACAACAAGATGTGACAAATAGAATAAGGAAAAGTAAAAGTAAGAGGAGAAGCTCTAGTTTGGCCATATGGATTTGTCCTGTATGGTTGTCACAAGTGTGTGGGGGGACACCAAGGAAGACGTAAAAAAGAAAAAAATAGGTAATAAATAGTAAAACGATTGGAGGCAAGATGTGCGTAGGGCAAAGTAGAAGGAACAATCGACAGAATCTCCGAGGAACACGTCGAAATGAACCAGAAACGACCAAAACTTCCTGCAAAATCGTATGTTCTTCCCCAATTCTGCAGGGCAGTGTACCTCTTTCAAAAATGACTGAAAAGAGCAATCAGCCATATTTTATTCGGCGCGGGTTTGTGGACGCTTTTCTGGTGCCATTCACGTTTCTCCAACGTTCCTTCCTCGTCTTTGACGCCATCGACTTGTAGTGCGTGGCCGTTTTTTCTTTCCTAATAGGGCTAGTACACACGACTGACGGGCGGCCTGACCTGGCCCATGCGAAACCCCACCGAAGGTCCCCTAAAGCACCGGGCCAGGCCCACATTCATGACTCCGCGCCGGACTTCTGTGGCCACAGCGGCCTCCTGGGGCGAGAAGCACGACAATATCACAATTACAAGACGGCCAGGAGAGACACGGCTTTTTTCGGGTTTGGCAGGGTCTCGAAGTGGTAAATTAACGAATAAGAAACTGGAAGGATCGCAACCGAGAATCGCAGGGCGATCGATAAGTGCCAGGCATCAGATATCTTTCAGATCGATAGTCAAGCTGCCTTGCTATTGGAAACGCGGGAGCTTCCACCAGAGGTGAACGGATCACCCGTCGTTCCTTCAAGACGCAAGGCTAAGACAAAGCAGATGGTCGAGCATCACCTTTTTTGCCGACTCCTATGAGCAGCTATCATGACCGCTGTCCAAGTTGTCGCCTGGTGTTGAGATTCAGATGCAGCCTCTATCATACCGGTAACAAGATTTATTACTGTTGGATCCGAGCACGGTCTTGGCTTTATGACCTTGGGTTGTCTCATCATGGAAAACTCTGTGGTTGAGCCACAAGGAACAGACTCGCTAAAGTTCGTGGGCGGTTTCTAATTCGGATCTGATGTCGAGAAGCTGGAAGGCGCTCAAACGATATTTAACCAAGCATGACTAGGGCTTCAGAGAGAGTGCTGCAGATAAGGATAAGGAAAGCTGCACTGCATTTTGAACCTTGAACAAATTTCCTAATTGGGATATATATCGAGACATTGTGGATAAAAGGGACAGTGAGACTCAGGAAAAGCCTGCTGTTGGTCGCGGAATAGGCCTCTAGAATTAGTACAGAGGTCCGGAAATACGGTAATCGTTCGGACGGAAGCCCTGTAGGCTGCGACCATTGTTTTTGGTGACCGCCTTGAAGCTCGCTCACCGCCTTCTAGATCGGCAAAATTCACCCGGCAGAACTAAGAAAAAAATCGACATTGCCTTTCCGTCGCACAACACACTGAACAAGTAGTCGATTTGTACCCAGACGTCACACACGACACCACCATCCGACGACCATTCGCAGACAACAACATAACCATGTCGGGTCGCCAACCATTACCACCCCCGGAGCCGCCCAAGCCGACGCGGCCGCCCTTTAAGAAGAGCTTCCAGGGCAAGCGCAAGCGCGACGATGCCGGCGGCGACAATGTCAATGGCTTCGTGCCGCCGCCGGGCGGCGACCGTCGAGCACCGCGGCCCAAGAAGCAGAAAAAGGAGGGAGACGACACGGACAAGCCCAGACAACGACAAACACCGCCGCCGCCATTGAGTGCCGCCGAGAAACGCGCCAAGTTCAAGGCCAAGAAGCAAAGGGCCAAGGAGCAGAGCAAGCTGAACAACAACAACAACAACAACAACAACAACAACACCAACCACCCCTACGCCGTCAACGAGGCCGACCTCGACTACGACCTCGCCCTCAACCGCTCCTTTGCCCGCATGGACGGCGACCTCGCTGCCGCCTACCTGGCCCGCCAGACCAAGCGCTACGGCAGCGACCTGAGCGAGGTCGAGCTGGCCGACCTCAGCGTGCCCCGGACCGCCTTTGTCGACGCGTCCGCCTACGACAAGGACCGCACGCTCGACAACCTGGCCGACTTTCTGGAGGCCATGGCCTCCATCACCGAAACCGGCAAACCGGGCAGCAAGGGCAAGGGGAAGCAGATTCTCCATACGGCACCCGACGCCAAGGGCGCGCCGCACACGATTGTCGTGACGGGGGCGGGCCAGCGCGCGGCCGACCTGGTCCGGGCGGTGCGGGCGTTTGGCACCAAGAACAATGCCGTGGCCAAGCTGTTTGCCAAGCACATTAAGCTGGCCGAGGCCGTTTCGTTCCTGGGGGCGCACCGCACGGGGCTCGCCGTGGGCACGCCGGCACGCCTCATAGACTTGCTCGACAATGGCGCGCTGTCGGTCGCGCACCTGCGGCGGATCGTGGTGGACGCTTCGCACATTGACCAGAAGAAGCGGGGCGTGCTGGACATGCCGGACACGGTGCTGCCGGTGGCGCGGTGGCTGTCGCGGCCTGAGATCAAGGCGCGGTACAAGGATGGCGAGACCGAGGGCGATGTCGCAGACGAAAAGGACACGGCGAAAGACGGCCCGAAGCCTATATCGATTCTGTTTTATTAATTGGCGCAGCGTGCACTATACAAACCAATTGCGGTTGGTCTTTCATGGCGGCGCAAAGGGACCTTGCGTTTTCCATTTGGAGTTAACATTTGTACTTCAAGTCATATTATTTTCCGATAGTACCTTTGTAAAAGCCTTGCATTTCCCTGCTATCTCCATTTATACATATGTGTACAGTTGCGGGTTGGGCGGCTGTTGTATCCTGAATCTGTGCCACAGAAAACCTACGCATCTAAAGCATAAAGAGCGACACAATGCGAGGAAACGGGACAAACAGCAAAGAGAACTGTAAGCTGTGGGGCTATGTACGTCATATATAAGAGAGCAGGAGGTAGAGACTATCAAAGGGTTCATGATTTCCAGAAAAATAGTATATGACGGAATACGCATAAAGATGACAAACACCTGTAAGCAGAAACAAACATGAAGGCAAAAAAAAGAAACACAAAAGACACAGGCAAAAAATGCGCAAAATGAGGAAATCATGAAACAGAGAAGTGAAAAAAAGTGGTGCGAGCGAACAGGGAGAGGAAAGGAAGTGGTGCCGCACAAAAAGAGAAGCCAAAGATCCAACAAAACCCAAGCCTCAAAACGCAACAGGGAACAATGCAGTCACTGGGTTCCTGCCGACAAATAGCACGAGGGTCTGGGCTTCCCAAGCACTCCCGTCCTTGGCAGAACCTTTTGCCGCTTGCCACTTCTTTTCCTGTCACCACAAGCTCAAAGTGTTTCTATCTTCACGAGCCTTTGTCGCCCACAGCAAAGCAACCAAGGCATCAATCGGCGCATGCCCTGTATGCATACGTCGAGTCCAAAATCAAACATATATAAAAAGGAGGGGGTATCCACTCTACTCGCACCCGGGATCCCGCGGTCCGGGCGCAACAAAAATAAAGGACAGAGGCGGGGGTAAGATGTAAGACAGAAATGCTCTTCTTCGTCTTATCGCCGCCGTAAATGTCGCCGTCGTTCTTCACCATTGCATCGTCGTTTTGTCGTCGTTCGTGCACATCATCTCATCAGCCAAATACATGAGTGACTGGTTTATAGAATGGAGCACTTGGACTTCTTCTGCTTCTGCTGGACCGGTCTGGGGTTGAGGACAGCGCTGCAACGAGGTTAGCACCTATTTTGTAGTAAAAAAAGGGAAAAAGGAAACGTCTCGTTCGACATACCGAATGGCCTCGTCAAAGACGCTCTTGAGGTTGCGCTGGGTCAGGGCCGAGCACTCGAGGTACTTGTGCGCCCGGATCTCTTTGGCGCACATGAGCGCCTGGTCGTACGACACCGGGTCCATGCGCTTCTGGCGCAGGGACTCCAAAGTCGCAGGATCCTCGCGGAGATCTAGCTTCGTGCCGACGAGGATGATAGGCACGTTCGGTGCGTGATGGTCGATTTCGGGGTACCACTGGTGTTGTGTTAGTACTCGGTTCGTCGTACGCAGTCTCGGTACAGAGCGTCCGCCATGAAAACGCATGACATACCTTAGCCTTGACGTTGTCAAACGACGGAGGGCTGACAATAGAGAAGCAAATCAGGAAGACGTCGGTCTGGGGGTACGACAGCGGACGCAGACGGTCGTAATCCTCCTGACCGGCCGTATCCCAGAGGCCCAGGCTGATGGGCTTGCCGTCGACCATCACGCTGGCCGAGTAGTTGTCGAAAACAGTGGGAATGTACTCGCCGGGGAACGCATTTGTTGTGTACGAGATAAGAAGACATGTCTATCGAATTCAAAGTATTAGCGGTGCTGCAAAGCCGCCTAACGGAGCTGGACGAAGAAGAAGAGCTTACCTTGCCGACGGCACCATCACCCGTCACGACACACTGCATACAAGGGGTTTGTTAGCCGTTTGTTCGATTTTGAAAAGTCTGCACCGCGGCCGTTTTTAGAGTATCGTTTTGTGGTGCTCCGTATGGGTAGGAATGGAGGCGCACCTTCAAAGACTGAACACCGGGAGCTGCCATCTTGATTTTCGGGTCGTAGGCTGCTTAGACACCAAGTTGTCCGATGTCGTTGAAATGAGGTTCGAGAGTGGCGCAGAGGAGAATGGAAGAAAGCCGATGTAGTGTCGAAATTCCGAGAATGCAATTCGATGCTTGTAGAAGTCGACCTTCGCTCGGTCGGATTATATGTGTATGGACGGGAGAAATAACGAAGTAACGTCGAGCAAAGCCGATCAAACTTGGCTGCAGAGCGAAAAAAAAGAGGTCGGCGGTGGACGATCGGGCAGTTTGCGGTCTGTGATATTAGGTACGGAAAAGAAGGAACTGCTGCAGAAAATGTGGTGTTAGAATTCAAGTATAGTTCCAGTGTTATGAATATCAGAGGCCTAGAGGCTCAGTAGTTCAGAGGTTCTCGAATCGCGAATCTGTAATCTTGAGCAGTTCTCCTCGTTGCGGCTTTAGGTTCGCTTTTATTCCGAACCTCACTTTGTTGTCTTGGCTTGTCTCTGTTGTCTTATCCCATTGCGGCCCCCATATTTTCTGGGTTTCCCATTCTCTCCGTACTTTTCTCTTCGTTCCTTGGGCTGTTCCCAATGGGGGGTCCAATGGGAAGAAGAAGAAAAAACAGGGCAGGGAACACAGTCCCCCTGAGGCAGGTTTGGGATGGGTGGGAAATGCGGAAGAATGAACAAACAGTGGGGAAGTAAATGCGGCGCCTGGTGCACTAAACGTGGCTCGAGCCGCTTTTGTTAGGTAAAGTGTAAGATAGTGGTGTTACGGCCAGGGGTGAGTGGAAGCACTGTGAAGCCACTCGAGTAGAGGTGCCAGGGGATCGGCTTGTACGGCGTAGACCAGTGTGAACGGAGAAGCATGCAATCTGCTGCAGCCGTAGAAGAAGAAGAACGTCACCGTAGGCATGATGCGTCGTAATGCCACGAACAGCCTCGAGGACTCAAGAGGCTGTTGGTGGATACGGCGATGGAAGATGGAACGTTTTGGGAATGGCCGAAGTGGAGCAGAGGGGAAAGGTAGAAGCAAATCTGCACAGGGGAACAAAAAGTATCCCTACTCCGTCGAAGAAGGCGAGTAGGAGAGGCCGAGGCGGAGAGGTCCACAATGGAGCTGTAGGCAGAGCTGGAATCAAGTCGTTTCAGCGGTTGACACGCCTGGTTAAAGGATGTTTTTACTGGGGAAGCGGCGCGGCCAAGGATGAGCAGGAAGTGGGTTGCACTGCAGGGCGATTCAGGCGATGGCAACACTGGAGCATGACGAGGGATCGGTGCCTGGGGTGTGTGCGTGAAGAATCAGAGAAAGGGAAGACTTGCGGATGCAGCTGCGAGACGCAGAAAGACAGCAAGGCGGAGGGAGAAGAGGAGAGAGAAAGGGACGGGGACGAGGAAGATGCGAGAATGGAGAGCCGAAGAGACAACGGAGAGAACAGCCAGAGATGCCGAGACAACGGGCTCGGATGGACAGCAAGACAAGAGGCTCCGAGAGAAGCGATATTTGTCGTCATCGGCCCTGAGCAGAGAGCAACAACAAACGCATTGGAGCGGGGAGGACGGCATACCTTGTGCGGTGTGTGCGTGTGTGATTGTTGCGCCGGCGGGCGTTTTCGTCTAAGTCGTTGCGGTACGGCGTCCAAAAAAACACGAGAGTGATTATGTCGGTGGTGATCGACGACGAGAGGCTGAGGCTGAACGTGAAAGGAAGAGGTGAGGAGAAGACGGAGACAGGAGAGATAGGTGAACGAAAAGGGCGGAGAGTGGAAGGCGGAAAGGGGCAGAATTATGGTTGGCGGTGACGGGTGCGTCTGATGGAGGTAGGTGCGACCAGCCGTAGTACGGCTTTGAGGAAGGGACGAAAGAAGGGGTAGACCAAGAGAGGGGAAACGGCAAGCGCTCAACCCACACAATACGAGCAAAAATAGGACGGGGCAGACCGGTGAAGGCCGCGTCTTAGGCAGGAACAAGGACTGGGTCGAGAGGTGCTAGAGCGAGGACAAAAGGGGCGCCGCCGATGGGACTGGCTGCTGTTGCTTTGGCGTGCTTTTGGTGAGGACTTTCCTGCCCCCCACTGGCCAGGAATGCTACGGGTCGGCGCTGTATCTTATTTGGGGCCCGCGCTTCAGCACATGTGGGTCGACCTAGGACCTTTTTAACTCGTTGAGCACCCGTGGAGCTACCTGGCTGAGACAGCGTTACTGCCAAATCACAGGCCAGTCCTCGAGCTGCCTTACACGCAAGGCAAAGAGACACGGCAAGCGGTGCTCATAAAATATATGTGAAAATGATTTTGGACAATTCGCACCGGCAAAAGTGACCGGTGCGCTCGGCCTCCGTGCTCGCCTGGCCTTGTGCACTGATTTGACACGTCTTTGATCGACCGGATGGCAAGTAGCAAAAACATATGATCGAAACAAAGCGGCCCGTTGTGGATGGATAAAGCGTTACAGAGAGAAGGGGAGAGGGGAGAAGGGGACGATGGTGAGAAGGTGAGAAGGAGACAAAATTATATAAAGGCTAGTGAAGGCATGGGATTTGTCACAAATGACCAGAAAATGTAAGAATCCCATGTTGTCGCGGGCCGTCCACCAAATGCCACAAAAGAGAGCGAAGACAGAGGCGGCGTACATCACTCACGGTATCTCTCACCCCCTGGCTTACTGACGTTTCGATCGAATGTGTGTTTCGGACTTTGAAGGGGCCGGTAAGAGGGCGGCCTGTGAATCAAGTACCCGTGCATAGAAATTATGCAGAGAGGTACTTCAATGGATGTAAGATACAACCCCCTAGTAGTTGGTATATCTTCTCATTAGTAGTTTCGATGTTTCCCTGCTGGCCCCCTTCTTGGAGCCCCCCTTTGTGGCCAGAGGACCACGATGTTTTGACACAGATGGTGCCTCAAATGGCGCCTGATCACAGCGCCAGAGGGTAAAAAGGGAGACGAAAAAGGAAGGGCGGGAAAACAAAGAGAAGGACAAAGGCCAAACAAAAGGGCCTGCTCGCCTGTCAAGGCGGAAAACAGGAGCTGATGATTGGCCGTTTCAGATACTGCACACAGCAAGGGGGACATTGAGGATTCGACAAAGTCAGAGAGTAGAGGGTAGAATGCATGAGAGATGAGAGACCTTTTGGCCACTGGGTTTTTGGCCTCCATCTGCTTGCTTCTCCCACGCATAGAGACGCATGTTGGACAAGCCAATCACCTGTGCTCACTCGGGCGTCTTTTGGATGTTTGGTTGCTGGCTGCAGCGTACGTCTGTGCACGAAGTCAAAGAGCACATGATAATAGGCCAAATGGAAGAGCACATGAAAGGGTTCGCATTTAGGAAGCTAACGGACCTGTTGGCCTGGATAGCCTGATCCCTTCCGTTCTGGCGTGATGGGCACCGGCCACACCGCGGGAGTGTCCCTAAAACGTGCTCTCCATAGGTGCGACCTGGGTGTGTCAGCTTCATGCCTGTGCTGTCTATCCACACGTCAGTCTCGACAGCTGTCTTACGTTGGGTACTGCAGTACATTTGTCCGCAGGTGAAAATGGAACAAGAAACACGGGTTTGCTCCTAAATGTGCCGACCCGTCCACGGGGCTCGAGAGGTCCGGCTTGGCGACAGAAAAGGAGGGAAACCAGGGGAGCAGGTAATGGAAGCAGCTCGCAATACAATCGCAGCTGTATTGGATGTCGTAAGTTGAAAGTTGAAAGCTATCTGCCGCATTGCACCTTCCCATTTTGTGCCGGCTTTGTGGTTGTCGGTCGTTGCTGCTACACTTTGGTCTGTTTCGACGCTAATTGCTGGAAGCCGAAATGTAGCTCCTTCCCGCTCTGCGATAACGGCCACCCCACTAAAACCATGTGGCGGCTGGCATGTCGACGCGCCTTGTCAGACGCGTCCCCAAAACGGGAAGCATCACTTGTAACCACACACAACCAACCTCAACATTGAAATCGCGCATGCAACACAACGCACCGGCTCCACGAAATTATCACGGCGCATGCTACTCAACACACGTCTATTTACAGTCGCGTCGCGATGAGTACACCAAAGGGGGCCTCCGCCACCCACGGCGCGGGCTCTGCCGTCCAGACACCCACCACTGGCGGACGACAGCGACACAGCAACAACGGGCCCAGCAGCGCCGGACCAGCCTCGGCCGGCGGCACCTACCGTACCCCCAACACCGCCAGCAAAGCCAATCGGCGGACACCGGGCACCGCAGGACGCACACCGCATGCGCGTGCTGCGCGGCTCGCGCTCGACAGCCGCCGCACGGCCATCTTCACACCGGGCGGCCGCCAGAGCCGGCGCAAGAGCGGCCGTATGCTACGCGACTCGCCGCGGGACCTGCTCCGCAACCTGAGTCGTCGGTTGGCGCCCATTTCCCAGCCGATTGCGTCGTCCTCGTCACCGGGCAGCAGCGGGGGCAGCGCGCAGCAGAGCCGGCGGCACCGGCAGCCGCTGGATGTGGACATGGAGATGGACATGATGGGGGCGGCAGCCGCAGGGGCAGACAGTAGCACGGCCTCGGCGACGCGATGCCGCACGATCCGGAGTGTCCTGGGCATGGACGATGACGACGACGACGACTCGCTGCCGCTGGACCGTCCACGGATGTCGCTCAATATCGAAGACAACGACGACGACGACGATTTGCGGCCACACCGATCCTTGATTCTTGAGAATGGTGGCGGAAGCGACGACGCCGAAGCCGATGCCGACGCCGACCTGGCCAACTTCACGATGCGGTCGATTGAGCTGGCGCGGCGGGCGGCGACGCAAGAGCAGCTGCTGCAGGCGCGGCGGTTTTCCAGGGCAAGCCTGGGCGTCCGCAGCAGTCTTGGCAGTATGCGCATGAGCGACTACATGGACGAGTTTGGCCGTGGTGCGGACGGTGGCGGCAACGGCGTCGGTGGCGGCGGCGACGACGACATTGCTGGACGGCTCGACCAACAGTCGGCTTTCTTCCCGGAAGGCGCATTCGATAACCTGCTGCCCGGCGAGTCGGCAGACATGACGTTTGAGCGTGTTGACTCGGATACGGGCGAGCAGCATGAGGCGCGACTCGGCGCAGACGGCCGCGAGAGCGGCTTTGGCGTGGTCGACCTGGGCCTGGACGGCGGCAACGAGACTACGTTTATGCTGGGCCAGCAGTCGCCCGACCGGACTTTGGGTACCCTCTTGCTGGAAGGCGACGGTGAAAACGAGCCCGGTCTGCTGGACAACAACCATGACGCTGTTGCGGAGGACTTTGGAGCCGCGATGGATACCAACCTTGATAACAACTTTGACGACTATGGCGGTGGCAACGAAAACGGCGGAAACTTCTGGGACGAGTCGGACTCCAACAACGAGAATGACGCTGAAGGTGTGGCCGCCTTAGATCACAATGCTGCTGCAAAGGCTTCGGTTGTCACTGGAAGCGGGCAAGAAACGGTCGCCGTTGCGCGTGGAGCAGGAAAACGGATGAAACTGTCTGCCCATGGCATCGCGTACCCGTCGCTGCCTGTAGGCGTGATCAAGCGCATTGCACAGACTTTTGCCCAGAGGTCCGGTGCAGCTGGACCGGGGAAGGCGAAGCTCAGCCGGGAGACGGTGGCGGCTCTGAGCACCGCATCGGACTGGTTCTTTGAGCAAGTGGGCGTCGATTTGCAGCGGTACGCAAAGCACGCAGGCCGCAAAACGATTGACGAGAGCGATGTGCTTCTTTTGATGCGAAGGTGTGTAGAAACGCCGTCCTATTTGACTACTATTTTACTGTTCCTTTATTTTGTCACTAACTCTCTATAGACAACGGCAAGTGAACTCGGCAGTCACGCCATTCTCGTTGGCACAACGTATGTTGCCGCGAGAGCTTTTACAAGAGCTGCGCATGATTCCCGATGCACCCGCATTGAAACGGCGCCAGCAGAAGAAACCCACACGGCGGCTTTCGTCGGGGCCGGGCCGGATAGGAAATAAAAGGGCGCATGACGTCACATGAACAGACGTCTTGGGGCATTTGCGATCATCTCGAGCAATGGGTGAGAGAGAGTCAAGTTCTTTTTGGTATTCTATTACAGTCGTCCACTTTCCGAGACGGCGCTCGTTGTCTACCAGTTCTTGTTCAGACGGACCCGTTTTTTGATGTCCGAGGCCGGCTTCTTGGCAACCATCCACAGCATAATGGCGGTCGCCAGAGACAAGCTGTACCTGTAGGAGGAGTTAGTCAGGAAAGAGGATGCCGGTGAAGGAAGAGACGCGGACATACCACGTGAAAATGTACTGGGCATGGTTGTTGCGGAGGTTGACCTCGGCCGGCTTGCCAATGGGAACGCCCTTGGCCTCCATATCGTACACCTGCAGCAGATCCGGCTCTGCCACGTCGTTAGCATAACGTTCCTAGCAAATTGATACCCCACAAATGCAGCATGAATTTACGTACCCATTGTTGCCTCCACCCACACCGGCAGACTGCCTGTCAGCTTGGCCATGCCCTCTACGTCCGGGAAGTAGAACTCGCCCTTGTCCGGCCGGTTCTCAGGCGTGAAGAAGTTGCGCTTCCACGGCGCCCGCAGCATGCCCTCCACGCGGACCAGCCCACGTGGCAGAGCACCCACACCCACACGCGCCCGGGCCCGTTGGCTCCGCTGCTCGCGCGAGATCCATCCGCGGTTGACGAGGATCGTCGTCTTGGTCTCCGTCGCAGCCTCTGGGTTCCTCGCATCCACAATCTCCAGCGGCGTCACCACAAAGTAGCCTGCTACACCGTCGCGCACGCGCGGGCCCACGAGCATCTCCTGGTCGTGCCGGAACGTGCCCACGGCCACGACGCGGCGATAATCAAAATCGCTGGCGCCGCCACCGCCGCCGCCCTGGACGCTCTCCGCCGACCCGCCGCGGCTGTGCGCCACGGCATCGGCAACGTTTTGCGGGTTGAGCGGCAAGGGTGCGCGCACGAGGCGGTCCTCGCACTTGGCCAGCAGGTCCGTCTTCCATCGCAGACGGAAGACCTGCCAGGTACCGAGGGCAAAGGCCGTGATGGGAATCAGGGCCAGGACAATGAGACCGGGGCCGTGCCGCCGGCCGCCCGACCGCACGAGCTCGGGCGGGTTGTCGAGGATGGACGTAAAGTTGGGGTCGTCGGCCGGCTGCAGAGGCTCGGCGGCGTCGCCGGGTCGCTGCTGCTGTGACCCGCGGCGGGCGGCGACCGTGGAGAAGGACGTGGAGCGTAACGCCGCGCGGCGAGCAGTGCGACCAGACGTTAACTGGCGCAGGCATTGCCTACATGGTGTCGACATGGGTGCCGAACCTTGCCAGGGCCGTGCCCAGGAAGCTGCCGACGCTGAGGTGGTACTGAGAGAGCGACGGCAGATCCCGGTCGCTGCTGGCTTTTCGCTGTTGGTAGCCGTGGTGGCAAAGCGCCGCACTGCAGGCTGCCATATTCGTTGTGGTATTATCGGATTCATGGTCGAGAGGCGTGCCGAGGCGATTGAACCAACAATTGCGTTGCCAATGGGTCGCCGTGGGGTTACATTCGTTAGGTCGACATCGCACGAGGTTTCCAAAAACTGGTGATGCTAATGGAGTGGGTCGATTTCGTTAGCTCTACAGCTCCGTTACAGCGATATTGGCGTATCCCATACTGGTCACATTTCACATGTCGCATTTCATACTGATTTTCGAAAATGAACAAAACAAACAGATAATTCTTGCTTCGAGTGACAAGCATATATGTCCAAAAACTGCAAATCCAAAACCGTATATCCAAATAAGAGAGCAAATAATAATACAAGTCGCGCGTGACGTGGAAATCGCCGTAAAACCCAAAGTAAAGCAAACCCGTAGTGAACTGGGAAAACAAAGCAGCCGCCGAAACACAAGCCAATACTGGTCGTAAAGAGATTGCCGCCAACAAGAAATCAGTGCAGTCGCCGCTGATAGTAGTTGGGCTTTTCGTTTGCCCCCATTTTCATCAGCTCCTCCTTGATAAGTCGCCGCCGCTCGGCCTTGCTGACGGGCTTCGACGTCGGCTTCTGCTTCTGTTTCTGCTTCACTTCTTCTGGGACAACGCCCATATCGTCGGCCTTTTGTTCTCTCTGTGCCTTGCCGTCTGCTAACCGTTGCTGTATCTGGTCCTCGGATCCTCGTCGGCTCGGCGTCACCTCCACGACAATGTCATTGTGGTCTTTGTTCTTGGGCCCGCCGACCAGCGGGCTTGCCTGGCTCTGGCTCGGGGCGTTGTCTGCGACAATAATCGCGTTGCCGCTCTCGTCCACGTCGGTCTCAATCGTCAGAATCGTTCCGTCGGCCAGCTCGGTCGTCATCTTGTTGAAGCGGTCGGGCAAAAAGATCTTGGGAGGCTCGGGTTTCGGCATGCGAATCGACTGCCGCAGCTGCCACAGCGTGCGCTGTTGCAAGACATAGCCGCTGATGAAAAGGGCAAAAGTGCACAGAATGACTGGTCGCGTGGGTTAGAGGATGACAAACAACTGGAATGTGCGTCAACGGGCGTCGCCGAGTTCGATGCACCTACCAATGCTCGCCGAGACCGCGACCGAGACTTGTGACGACGTTAAGAGCATTCTCAACCATCCGCCTGCATCTACCGTCTGCGAAATTAAAGTTATCGTCTAATATCGTTCATATGTCGTTTTGCTGTAGTAAAATCGTGGTTGCAGAGAGACAAGAAACAGCCAAAATGTCGTGTCGCAAAAGTGAGGTATGTCCAGCGTGTCTCCAGCCGCGCTTTTGCTTGCCAAAAAGAACAGCTCGTTTATCAGTCAATGCCGTCGATCACAAAACGATTGTGCGAGCGGCGCGCGCCCTCGTCCATGTCGCTACCCGATATATTAAAGTGGTGGTGGCGGCTCGTCATTGCGCCTTTATTTACGCAAATGGCCGGGCAACTATCGATAAGCACCGAAGCACCCCCACCCAATCACCACAATTCTTGAAGTGGCGTTTAGCACAGCTACAGCTCCAGCGCCACAACGTCACCAAAAAATCATCTTCAATTATTTCCTTTCGAACCGACGCGCCCTTACTCACGCATCCGCCCTTCACTCGTGCACGCCGAAACCACGGTGCTTGCGCACATACCCACATTCACAATGTCCCGGTCCGGTGACTTCCACCAGGCCGACGAGCGCCGCTTCCTCGACGAACGCGGGTCGTCGGTCTCGGTCGCGCCCAACGGCCTCAACCCGGCCACGATTATGGAAAAGGCCGTGCGCGAGCGCATCGTCGACAGCTACTTCTGGAAAGAGCAGTGCTTCGGCGTCAACGAGGCAGACATTGTCGACCGCGTTGTCGAGCACGTCAGCTGCATCGGCGGCACCACCGGCACGACCCAGAAGCCCACGCCGTTCCTGTGCCTCGCGCTCAAGCTCTTGCAGCTCGCGCCCGACGACGCCATCCTCCAGGCCTACCTGAGCCAGGGCGGCGACAAGTTCAAGTACCTTCGCGCCCTCGCCCTCTTCTACGTCCGCCTCACCCGGCCCGCCGCCGACGTCTACACGACCCTCGAACCCTACCTGGCCGACCGACGCAAGCTGCGGCGAAAGGGCCGCACAGGCACACAGCTGACATTTGTGGATGAGTTTGTGGACGACCTACTGGTGAAGACGCGGGTGTGTGCGACGAGTCTGTGGAAGCTGCCGCAGCGCGAGGATCTGGAGGATCTAGGCAAGCTGGAGCCGCGGGTGAGCGCGTTGGGCGACATTGACGATATTCTGGACGAGGATGAGGAGGAGGATAAGAAGGACGACGAGAGCGAAGGTGAAGACGAGAGCGACGGAGCGCAGAGACAAAACGGTGGCGGCAGAGACTACGACAGCGATCGGCAAGACGAGGACGACAGGCAGCCCGACAAGAGAAGGCGACGAGGCGGTGGCGATAGTGATGACAGCGAGGACGAACGTGACAGACGGAATGGCTCGTCGAACGGTCGGAGAGAAAAACATCGGCGAACGCCAGAATCAGAATCAGACTCGGACCGATCACGAGGTGACAGAAGATGATTGACAAGCTGGAGTTTGCACGATATAGAGCGTCGGTGATGGCGCCTGGCGATATACTTGCAGGATACAATAGCAAGAAACGATACCCATTGCAGCGGAAGGCTGCTCAAATATTAGATATACTTGATTTGTTTCGTCGTCGTAATGTGACACATGACCTGGGGATAGCAGTAAGCCTCTGTATAATTTCTATATAGGAAATGCGAAAGGCTATCAAGCAATAGATAGCACATACATTACTGGATGTAAATTTGTCAGTGGTAGATCATGGTAATTATAAGTATAATTATATGCACTCAGTGACATCAAAGCCCAGAAGAACAAAAGATACATGCAACTTACACACCGGAATCCGTATGAATGAAGTGCAAAGAAATTAAATGAGACGCAAATAAACCTTTCCAACCCCCGGAAGTATGAAAGTGAAATATCCGGAAAATAACAGAGTAACAGAATAGCTTTTTGTCGTTTTGATGTCTTTTGTATATATCATCGAATATGAAACAAATGCGACGGTGCAAAAGTGCGCATATGCGTGAAATCAAGCCAGACAAAAAGAAATAGAAAAGTACAACAAATAAAAAAAACACCAACGCCTGCCAAAGAATTAAAAAAATGCTAGCCGTGGTTAGGGATCAACTCCAAGAGACACCGGCGTGCACCCCAGATGCCAATCCCGACCAAAAACACAACGACACCCCAATAAATCCAGAGCGTGCCGTCCTACCGCTTGCTCTTGCCTTTGCCCTTGCTCTTGGTGGCGGCCACATCTGCCTTGCTGTACGCACTGCCCTCGTCACCAAAGAGCGACGGGTCACCCTTTTCGCCGTGTTCCATGAACGCGCCAGGATCGGCATTGTCCGCCGGCCGGGCTTCCTTCCCGTTGCCATGGCCGTGCCCATTGTGGCCGGCGCCTGTGGGGTTCTTGCTGAAGATCTTGATGGGGTCGTGGTTGGCGCCGCCGGGGATCTTGGTGATCTCGACACGGTTCAGGGCGCTGATGAGCGTGCGCTCGCGCACGAGGCCGCGGCGGTTCACGGCAAGGCCTGCGACGCCACCGACCAGGCCGTCGGTGCTGTCGTTGACGTTGAGCGCGGTCTCGTTCATCCAGGGGTGGGCCATGCACTGGTCAATGGTGAAGCGGCGCTCCGGGTCGACGACGAGCATCGAGTCGATCAAGTCGAGCGCCGGGTCGCCCACCGAGTCCCAATAGGGCGAGGGGAACGTGAACCGGCCGCTGCGAATCTGCTGCGACATGTTGAACGGGAAGTCGGGCGAGCGCAGCTCGTCGGAAAAGGGCGGGAAGCCGCACAGGCAAATGTAGAGGACGACACCGAGCGACCAGATGTCGACGGCCTTGGTGTACTTGCGGTGGCGGGTGTCGGCCAGGATTTCGGGCGCGACATAGCTGGGCGTGCCGCAGAGCGTGGTCGTAAAGGACTCCTCGCCAATGATCTTGGCGAGGCCGAAATCGGCCAGCTTGACGTGCAGGTCACGGTCGACGAGCAAAATGTTCTCGGGCTTGATGTCACGGTGGACAATATTGCGTTCGTGCTAATTCTGAAGTCAGCGGACATGGTTCAAATGGTTCATAGACAAAAGACAGCCAAGGTCAAGGTGAGACGGACCAAATACTTGACTCCGGCAAACAGCTGCTTGAACAGCTTGCGCGTATCGCTCTCGCTGAGCTTCGAGTTGAGGACGATAAAGTTGAACAGCTCGCCCTCCGAGGCCAGCTCCAGCACCAGATACACGGCGCTCTTCTCGTTGAACGTATCCTTGAGGCACAGCACGCTCGGGTGGTTGACGCCCATGAGCACGGCAATCTCCTGTTGCAGACCGTCGGTCTTGGAACGGTCCTCGACACCGGGCGTCTTGGTGAAAATCTTGACAGCGAACCGCTGACCCGTAGCCTTTTCGACGCACAGGTAGACCTCGGCAAAGTGGCCCTTGCCGAGTCGGTTCTGCAGCGAGTACTGCTGGTGGAAGCCGCTGGTGGTGCGTGCCTTGGGGTAGCGGAAGACGAAGCGCGCCTTGTCGAGAACGGCAATCTCGTCCTTCTCCTGCAGCTCGCGGCGCTGATTGCGGCCGACCAGCGCCTCATTGACAAACGTGCCGTTGCTTGACAGGTCCTCGATGACGGCCACCGTATCGTGGCCCTTGTGCTCGGCAAAAATCAGACAGTGCCGATTGGAGACGATCGGGTCGTCGATCACGACGTCTTGGGGGAAGTGTTAGTCAGACTGACCGGTCCAAATCGAGTCACAACGCCGCGAAGAACCTACCGCACTCGGGATGACGCCCTACTAAGTAGCCCTTGGACGATGGGTGATCGGCGCCGTTGCTCGGGCCGCCCTTCTTGCCGCCCTTCTTCTTCGCTGCCGCCGAGGAGGACGCCGACGGCGAATCGCTGTCTTCGCAGCCCACCCGCTTCTTCATGACAATGCTGCGGCTGCCGTAGCGCGCCCCCAGCGGCAACAGGTAGCCCCAGACGCCCTCCTTGACCTCGTCCTTGACTTCGTCGGACAGCGCCGCGTTCGGGTCAATGTATTGCGAGGGCATTGCCTGGGTGTCCTGCGGCGGCGACGAGTACGAGCCGGCCTCGTCACCACTCCCGCCGACATTGTTGTTGCCGCTGCCGCTGCTGCCGGCGCGCGGGGCTACCTGGCTGGGACGGCCGCCGGGCGGTGTGGCAGTCGGCTCCTTGAAGCGCTGCTCGGAAGCCGACGACTCGTCGACGGCCAAGAAGGTGAGGGGCGTGGGCAGCTGGTTCTGTTTCTGGTTCTGTTTCTGCTTGTCATTGTCACGGTCGCGCACACCCGGTGGTGCGGCAGCAGGAGTCCGGGGCGTAGCGATTTCGGTGACGGCGCTGGCTTCGGTGACAAAGGATGAGCCGACGCGGGAGGAAATGCGGTCGGAGCGCCGGGGCTTCTTGGCGTCGACCTCGGCATCGGTGGACTGCTGTCGGAAAAGGCGCGTTAACAAGGCACCGATCAAGGCGGCGGGTGGACGGCGAGGCATGGCACAGAGAGAGGGCAGCGGACATAGGACACAAGGCAAAGTTCAGATGGGGAGAAACGGCGGAAGCTATGCTAGATCGTCAAGACATACTCGGGGCCGCTTCAAGTGGCTGCCCTCATGGCGGGCCATTGCGAGCGGTCGGCAGTGAGCGAGCGAGGTTCAGCGCAGTATAAGAGGGTGGGAGGTTTCCCAAGAGTGTGTGTTGTGTGTTTTGCGTGTGTGCGTGGGATGAACGTGGTTGATGGAGGTGCACGCAGTATAGTGGCAGGTGACTCGTGCGTGAGACAGCAGGCGCCGAGATACGACACGGCAGGACAGACAGCAAGAAGAGGAAGGCGCGGAGGAGCAAGCGAACGTGACTGCCTCTGAGGGTGGCCCGTGATTTAAACAAAAGGAAAGTGCCGGATAGTGCAGGCGATGGCCGAGGGCAAGAACGCAAATAAAAATAATTAAAATCAAGAGCCGCAGCAAAGACGGTGCCAGGGGGTCCCGGGAAAAGAGGCCTACGGATGCCGCCGCTGGATGGCCAGGGTATGGATTACAATGAATTGACGGTGAGCCTTCGAGATGATGCAAATCGTGAGGGAAACGAAAAAGAGGGCGAAGGCAGAGAAGCGAAAGAGCCTTTCCCGCGAGAAAAAAAAAGCGACGCCGGCGAACGGTCATTTCACAGATTTCGTCCAGGACCTGCCCCCTGCCTGGCGGTCGCGCACTTGCCTTATTGGCGGCTCATCTGGGGTTTCGGCATGGCACAGTGGAAGAAGGTAGCGAGCAAGAGAAGGCGCTTCCAGGCAGCTCCGCCCACTGGAGCAACATGCCGGGCCCATGACTGACTGGGCTGAGTCGAAAACACGGCGCCCTCTTCCTCCAGACACCCAGACGCGCCCTCCCTTCTGCGCTACGTCCCTTGGACATAGCGGCCCCTGCAGAGCGTTCCATTCTGGGAATAGGCGCAGTGCAGCCTGGCGAACACTCGATAGCTGCATCAAACCGGTGAGTAGTCAATATGCAGTAAAGCGATCTGCGGGCCATGCCGCACTCCCATCCCACGGCCGGTCTTGGTCAGCCTCGCGAGTTCCTATTCGCCCCTTGGGCATTCTCATAGGCCCTGTGACGTCCTGCTGTGCGGAAGTTTTTGCGGTGGCACAAACTTCGCTGCAGCAATGGCCCTCTTTTTTCCATCGACGATTCCTCTGTTACGAGACAATTTGTCACATGGTAGTTGTCTCGTCCATAGGCCGCTCGTTCTTAGAATCATCCATACGGCCGGTTTTATGATGACAGCCCGGCGGCGTCGAAAGGCTGTAGCCAAAGTATCTCATTTTTTTGCATATATGGTTTAAAAAAGACAAAACCGGGAGAAAACTCCGCGTACGGTACAGTCTGGCCTCAACTTTCTGTTTGGAAACATAAGATACAGGTTTGGTAAAGAAATAAACATGCGCGATTGTTTACCCAGAATCTGACTCACCGCGGGGTTAATTCATGCCCACCTTTGGTTTTGTCTGTGACGCAAAGTTCAACGGCCGTGGACCTTGATCCATTTGTTTACTCCTATTGAAATGTTTTGTGACTGTCTTGTGTCCGCCATTTTTCGTACTTTGGAGAATCGTCCACACCACAAAGGCATTAACATAGACGATTAACATAGACGGTCAGAGAGAACACCGCCAATGCGCTCCAGCGAGCAACCTCAGCCTACCGTTTTCTCTGGAGACGATGCTGGTGACGGGCGGTCTCCGCAGCAGGCCAAGCGCACTTGTGCGCCCCTGCGAGCTTGGGCGACAGCCCCTGCATTCAAACGATGGGCGACGAATGGGAAGGGCTGCCTCACACAAGCACACTCTAGGCCTGAAACATGCGGCCAATCACAGGCCAACAAACGCAGGAACAGAAGCGATCAAGAAACAATCCAAGCCTTTGGCACCTCCCTTGCAGGCCGTTGTTTGACCCTTTATTCGTCTTATTCTGCATGTCGCTCCTATCCGCTCCACTACGATGTATGTTCAGCAAGCTTGTCACCATTCACTGGTCAAGAAAGAAGAGAGCTGCGGGTCTTACAACTGGTAAAAGGGGGTTACGAAAAGGGCGACAAGGGAGTTGGGGAGCTAGCTGGACGTCTTCAGACTGGCGCACAATGGGCCCTTGTGCCATCTTGGCCGCGATGTTCAGCCTGCGCTGCCCCCTTGCTCGTTCTTGTACTTCGTATTCTCCGTCTCGCCTTTTCCCACAAATACTCTTGTGTATTATGCAGCCGCTTGCTTATGGTGGTCGTCCGTCGGAGAAAGGTGAGAAATGAAAGGTGAAGGGCGGCCACGTAGGACGGCCTCTTAATACCCGCCCATGCGCTCGCTCGACCGCATCTTCTCTTATACCTGGCATACCCAGCATCGCGTTCTTTTTCTTATACTTCACATATCCGGTTTCTCCCTTCTCTTTCTTTGGACTTTCCTTCTCCTTCACTATAGAATCTTAGGAGCAGGATCTCCACTTTATCTCTGTGTGACGAAACTGGCATTCTCAGTCGTTCCTTCCCAGTTTGTCACAACCGCTCGCTGGTCGCTCCTTCCTTCTTGGCTTCGATTTGGCATTACCACCAGCCCCTCCATTTCCTGCTCAGTTTTTGACAGCTGGGCGAGATCTCTGTTTCTTCTTGTTTCTTTCTTTTGTTTTCCAAGCAACGATCCTATTCTGCGGTGCACAAGCAATAGCCAAGTGACCAGACTACCTATCTCGACTTACACGCATCCAACACTCTTCCATCCTCGTCTATTCTCGTCAATACACCCCGGACTTCGCACCCAAGGCGATTTTGTGCATCTGACGAGTCTGAAGTTATTGACGAGTTCGATTCTCTCTTATTTTCTTCGCAGCCACGCCGTTTTCTCGCTTTAGAGCATCCCTTCGCCCAACCACTTGCTGGGATTGACGATCTGTGTTAGCCGCCCTGTGATCGTCGCCCTCGCACAGAACAACCGGCCAATCCATATTTAGTGTCTTGCCTGGACCTTGGTTTTCGCTCATTCTGTGACACATTCAGCAACGTTCCCGATCTTTGCAGCTTTTGATTCTTGCCTTTTGGCAGCATTTGCGGGTAGCAAGCGGAAAGATTGTCCCCAGGGCAGCTTGTCCTTGTTTGCTTGCCGATCCGATCAGGTCAAGGGCAAACGAATACGACAAAAAGACAACGTCCGCACCGAAACGTCTGCTTCTTGCAAAGTCGACAGACATCACAAGAACGACGTTGACAGCTTTAGAGCCACCGCATCTTGCAGCGAAGGTGGGACACCTGTCAAGTGGGACTGCCTCAACCGTTCTTCCTCCATAAGCAAGCAACGAAGGCAAAAAAGGAAACACCAGAAATCAACAAGCAAATTTCATAAGCACATACGCCGACCACGATCTTTTCACAATTAGGACTATTTTCGTCCAGGCAACAATCGTCCGCTCTCTTGCTCTGTCCGAGCTCGTTTGTTCCCTTGTTTATGCACCGCACTTGCTTTGTTCACGGTCTACCTCTCGCCACGAGCTCACCTTGTCAACATAAACAATACACACCCCCCAAACAAAGACCAGAACAACACAATGTATTTGTGCCGCCTATAGCAATTCGACGTACCACAACGGTTTGCTGCTTTCAACCTTTACGGCCTGCACATTCGACTCGTGGTCGCGTTCGCACGGTCTTCGTTTGTGCACCACTTTCGTCTTGTTCACTCTGGTGTTATTGTGCTGTTTAACGCCAGTACTTATAACCTACTGCAGTCACTCGCTACCTCCTGCGGCCAAGTCAAGACCAGTTTAATCTCTCTCTTTGCTTTATGTTACAGCCACTCATCGACGAAATTATCATTAGGCGCCGGATCGCCTACCACACCGTCTTAATTTACTGAGCCTCCAGCACCATCGAAGAGCACCTTCCCGCCACGCATCATGTCAACACAAGCCACGGACGCCGTGGCGACAACCGCCAATGCGGCTGTAATTACCTCTCCTTCGATTTCGACGTACGATGCTGGTCTCGGTGGCGTCAACCAGGTCCAGAACATGCTTTTTAAGGACATGCTGTGGTGGAGCCTAGGTATCGTCGCCATGACCATCTTATGCATCCGACTCGTCGAGATCTCGTGGTCACAATTGCGTTTGGTCTCGGCTATGTCGCAGCCTGCCAAATTCCAGGCCTACTGGCGCAAGGCACAGTGGACGCACATGCCATGGGTCAAGAAGCAGCTCACGTACGCCCCGATCTCCGCGAAACGTCACAACCGCGAGATCCGCATCTCCTCTGCCATGAACATGGGCACCCTGCCAACACGTCTGCAGGCGGTCATGCTCTTTGCATACTTGGTCAGCAACATCGTCTACCTGCTGTTCCTCGATTACAGCCAGCCGGACCATTGGGCCACTCTTGCCGAGCTACGCGGCCGCTCCGGCACACTGGCTGCCGTCAACTTGGTGCCGTTGATGATCTTTGCCACGCGCAACAATCCTCTCATCACCCTTCTTCGCATCAGCTTTGACACATACAACCTCTTGCACCGCTGGCTCGGCCGCATAGTGGTCTTTGAGTCGGTAGTTCACACTGTTGCATGGTTGGTTGTCCAACTTGCTGATGGCGGCTGGGCAAGTGTGGGCTTTAAGATGCTCCACGACCGCTTCATCGCCTCGGGCATGGTCGGCACCTTTGCCTTTATCCTTTTGGTCATCATCTCCATTTCGCCGCTACGCCACGCCTTTTACGAAACGTTTTTGACCACGCATATCATGCTGGCCGTGATTATTTTCGTTTGCGTCTGGGTGCACTGTGCAACGTCCTCCGCCTCACCAGGCGGCCTTCCACAGCTGCCCTGGATTATCGCCGTCGTTCTTCTCTGGTTGGCAGAGCGTCTGTACCGCGTTGGCCTCAGTGCCTACCGCTCATGGTCGCGCCACGGCTTAGCCAATGCGGTTGTTGAGCCGATGCCGGGCGACTGCTCTTGCGTCACGTTGACTCTCCCGCGCTATGTCGATGTACAGCCTGGAACCCACGCCTACCTGCGTTTTGCCGACATCAGCCCATGGGAGTGCCATCCCTTCAGCATTGCCTGGGTGAAGCACACGCCTATCAATGGCGGCCTTTTACCAACGACCGAGAAGCGCATTGATAAGGTCAGTGACAGGGCATCGTCTTCTGCAGCCCTCGCAAGCGTTAATGTAATCGAGCACGGCCACCTATACCGCACATCGGTCTCCTTTGTCATCGGTGCCCATACAGGCTTCACCCGCAAGCTCTACAATCGTGCCGTGAAGAGCTGTGACGAGTTTGGATCTGGGTCTGCCAGATTCAAAGCGCTATTCGAGGGGCCCTATGCCGGCCACCACTCGCTCGACAGCTACGGCCACGCCGTGCTCTTCGCCGGTTCCACAGGCATCACGCACCAGATCAGCTACCTACGGCATCTCATTGATGGCTACGCCGATGGCACGGTGGCCACACGCCGCATCACGTTGGTGTGGGTGGTGCGCGACTACGAGGCACTCGAGTGGGTGCGTCCCTGGATGGATGAGATTATGCGCATGCCGCAGCGCCACGAGATTCTGCAAGTGCGTATCTTTGTGACGCGGCCAAACCAGGCGTTCCAGGCCGCCCAGCTCGGCTCGTCAAGGTCCCGCACCATCCAGCTGCACTCAGGCCGGCCTAACATCCCGGTGCTTGTGCGAAAGGAGGTCGCAGAGCAGGCGGGTGCCATGTGCGTCACCGTCTGCGGTCCTGGTGCCCTGGCAGATGACGTGCGCAGTGCGGTACGCGACGTCCTGGATGAGGGCACCGTGGTGGACTTTATCGAGGAGAGCTTCACATGGTGAGAGAGTGAAAGGGGAGCGAGGGAGGAGACCGAGTGTCGCGTCAGTGCATCAGCGTTGCTTTATTTCATCCAATCTAGATTTTTTGGCCCTTTTGGTTCCCTTTTCTGTTTCATGGCGTTTTCTTTCTTTTCTTCTTGTCTTCTCTTTTACACCATTATATCATGAACATCTATTTTCCATGTTTTCCGATTTGTATCTATTGTTTGCTGTCTGCGATAGAAGGTCGTCTTTTTCGAGGAGCGTGGTGAAAATGATAACTGTGTCAGCTTGGCCTGATATGAACATGCATGCGACACGGTGTTCACTTGGATGTTTTGAGTTCTTCCTCAATATATTCTCGTCCGAGGCCTTAAATTTACAACTTTCGAGTGCATTTTGAAACTATATTCATAACATTAAGTGTTCAAAAAGTGTCAAATGGTTGCGATTATGTGAGCGTATTTTTTCTTCGTCTCCGACATCGTGTTATTTAAACAGTTCAAAACAAAGAAAATACCAGCCAAATTAAGAAAAAAAAAAAAAAAAAAAAAAAAAAAAAAAAAAAAAACCCTTAAAACCACTGACTTAAAAAATAAAACTTACCAAAATAAAATAAAATCCTTCACTATCTTTGATAAACCGTCAAGACCAGATCTCGTAACTCACGGCATATTAACCCTACCTTATAAACAGTTGAAAATATTTTAATTTGCCAATTAGCTGTACGATGGTAGATGCCACTTTATGTGAACGTTTGACCCTGCGAGCTTCACTTCTTTGATCTGATGCTTCACTGTTGTAGCACCGCATCGCGATCCACCATACAAACGCCCTCTGTTTGCCATGAACAAAGATGCATCTGTCACCGTTTCTCATTCACTGAATTCTCCAAAACTTGGAAACTATCCTTCATATACTATCAATAGACTCCGATATCTCAAGAAGCAGAGGAGACAATGACAGAGGACGCCTACCTTTCCTCGCCCTTACTCCCCTGGCAAACGGATGAGCAGCAACAACCAGCCAGTTTGGCCGAGTGGTGATGGCGGTAGTCCTGAGAACTATTATCGAGAGATGCACAGGTTCGAATCCTGTAACTGGCAAAGCTCAAAGTCGCAAGACAATTTCTTTTTTTTGGATGTTTTGGTAGCCCACCCAAAAGAATGACTCTCCACGTCGATTGGTAGCTTCACTTTCTCACATGTGAACACAGCAGCCTTACTTTTTGCAAAGCCAGCCTTCATTTCATTTTTACTCGTGAGAATATACATCCTACCCACGTACATCATTGCCACTCTGGATCGTGTTTCAACATGCAAGCTGTTATGTTTTGGTGTTTTTTGGGACGTTTAAATGTTTTATGTACACAATCTCGCAAAACCAACACAAAGAAGTACTTCCGCCGTCGCCCATTCTGCCCAGATGCTCTATGCTGTGCCCTCTACTCTTCTCCCCATTGTCTATCATCCTTTCGACACGCTCTAGTAGCCGTCCTTGCCCCACTTGTTGTACTTCTCGTGCAGCCCCTTGGGCAGGTTCACGTTGGGGACGACGACGACGTTGACGGCGCTCGGGGCGTCCTTGGGGTCGGCGCTCTGGTCGCCGCCGGGGAAGTAGCGGTACTTGCCCTCGGCCGAGCCGGTCTCCCAGGGCATGCCGGCCTTGGAGACGGCCGCCTCGGAGGTCGAGACGGTGGGCGAGCTGCCAAAGTAGTAGCCGGCACCCGCCAAGCCAACGACCATAATGCCGCCGAGGATCTGGTGGGGGGAAGCACACGTTAGCATTGAATCCAGAACGCCCTAGTTCCTGATGGCCCCTACGTCCCTGACTGCCGAGGCGGGACATACGTAAAGCTCCGGGTTGCGCTTGGTCTCCTGCTTGAGCTGGGCGTCGGCGGCCGCGGACAAGCGGCGGACGGAGGTAGAGAAGGCGCGACGGGCGATGAACGACATGGCGGCGGTTGCGTGTGTGTGTGTGTGTGTGTGTGTGTATCTGGACGCGACGGTAGAGGGGAGATGTTCGACGGTGGATCGCAGTGAGGATCGCGGAATGGCGGGAGGAGGTGAGTTGGTGATGGTGGGTTGACGTTGGATGGCCTGATTCGGGAAGCTACGCACAAGAAAAAGCTCTTGCCGTCTTCGTTACGCACCGGTTAGAAGGGTGGGAGTGGGCAGTTGCCAAATCCGCGCCTGTCATTGGCCAATCCCGATTCTTTCTCGCTGACCTAAGGCGCAAGAGAGGGCCGTGCCCATTACAGTGTTGAGCCACAATGAGCACTGTCCAACAACTCCCTTAATTTGGGCCTCAGGCAGCGACAGAGGATTCCGCCGTGCTGGGACAAGCACAGTGCCGGGGAGCGTTTAGTGTGGCCCCACCAAGTATCTCTGTCGTCGCGACAGGGGAAATAACAAAAAACACGCGACGGCAGAGACATCTGGAAAATGGACCGATCCTGCACCCGTCATTCCTGAGTCAACCTACGACGTAGTGCCTAGACTTGAAAGGCTGAGAATGCATGTCATACTCCGTAGCTTCGAAGACAATACCCCGTCATCTACTGAATAGTACACGAGGCTCCCGCGTGGACAAATGGGTAGCCGCATCCAGGCGATTCTGCATGAGATTCGTTTTTTTCCGTACGTTCGTACTCCAACAACATATTGCTTGCGGCCAGGCTTTCCTCCCTTTCTAACAACCCGCTCAACCCTTGTCAAAACGCGGCTGCACTGCAACATCATGCAAAAACTGGCTGCCATGGAAATTGCACTCGGCGTTTCCACGCAGGTTCGCGCCTCGGTAGTGCTGGTCAGCCGTTCTCCATCCCATCCACGATCCCCGGCTCGTGCGCCGTAGTCGTGTCTTTATTACATCGTCTTGTTCAGCTGTCCCAGCAGCCGTTTGTCCCTGGTTTTGGTCGTATCTTATTACTCCGCTTGCCCCTTCACAGATGCTCTTGCCTTATCTGCCTCGTCTGTTTCGTCCTGTCTTTCACTCTCTCCTCTTGTCGCTCTTGCCTCCTTTTGCAGTCCTCTTTCCACTAGCGCGAGAGTTGCCCCTGTAACCCCCCAGCGAGGCAGGCCCAGTCACACCCTCCTGCCTCGTTGCCCCCTTTGCGCTCCGCCCGTTGGCTCCTGCCCCAGTAACGGGCCACTGACAAGCCATTCTGCACATCCCTTCCTTCCCTGCATCTGGGCCTGTGGGTTCGGGGTGTCTGTGCCCGGGATGTGCCTGTGCTCAATTCCCTCTTGTGACTTGCTCCCCAAGCCCCGGGTCTCCTGTGCAATTTGCCCTTTTCCCCCTTCTTTTTGTCGTATTTTCTTTTCACATCGTCTGCGTACGAACAAACACACACAAACTCGGCCGAATCCCGTCCTTTCATTCCACATTCGATTCCTCGACAGCATCTTTGCCTTGTTTTTCACTTCTCAATACATCTTTCATTCATTCTTCTGCCTTGCGTTGACGCCTTTTAATAGCTGTCATATTGTTTTTAAGCATCTCCATTCCGATCCTTCGTCCTATTTCGGCTCTTCTGAAACAGATCTGGCCACGAGAACGGCACCATTGGCATAGTGCATTCATCGAACGAGCCGACGATGTCATTCTGCTGACCACGTTTGCCCTTTATTCTCGACCTCGTCCCAGCATTTCCTTAGCGAATCGAATCCGCGCCATCCGGCGACTCTCTTGATTTCACCTTCATCTTCAGTCACCATCACATTCGACAACAACGCCACTCAATGGCGAATGCCGAACCTGGGGCGCGTGTCGCCTCGCCGCCCGTGCCCGACGATGAACATACATTCCCGCATTTCCCGTCCACTCGGTCCGAAGCACCCGGAAACGCGCCTAGCATCATCTCCTCGCGCATGACCGACATCATGTCCGACGACGGCAAAGGTCCTGGCGCTGATGCTGGCGGTGCGACGTCTCTGCGGGCACAGGCGGCATCTCGCGCATCGGCACGTCTGTCGCAACAGCCACAAAACTTCCAACCTCTCCGCCGCGGCCTGTCCGGAAAGCGCTCGAGCGCAGCAGGGAGCAGCCACAGCGGCAGTACGGCTGGAGTGGCAGCCTACGGCGGCCGCCCCGTCAGTTCGACTCAGCGCAGCCACGTTCCCTCGCTTACTTCGCATGCCTTCTTCCACCCGATGAGCTCCCAGAAGCTGCAGGCTCAGCGCGGCGGCGTCACACGGCCACGGCAGTCCCAGCTCGGCCTGCAACAGCCTCAACAGGCCAGCGCTGCCGAGTCGTCTGCTGCAACCATTGGTTCGTCCTCTCAAGCCGCTGCGCAGCAGACCGCCATGCCAACAGCACGACCCATCTCGCGCGGCTCCGAATACACCGACCAGATGACCGTGGACCGCATCACGGCCAACACCAGCCCGACCGGCGGCTTCTATGCCGCGGCGTCTCTCACAGACAGCATCCGGCCACTCCGCCAGCCGAGCCAGTCAAGGCCAGGCGGCCCAGCTGATGGTCTGACAATCCGAGTCGACAAGGCCCTCAACTCGGGCCACGTCGACAACATGCCGACTCCCGTACGCACACCCAAGTCGTTCCGTTCGAGCTTCATGCTGCCCGGTAAGGGCAACAGCGGCGGCGAGTCCGGCGTGAACCGCGACATTCAGGGCGGCGAGAAGCTTGAGTCCGTCGCGTCGACGCCCCAGCGCAGCCCCTCGGCTACCTCCCATCCTTCGAATGGCACGCATGTCAATAGCGGCAGCGTAGTGGGTGACCGCAGAAAGGTTGCAAGTGGCGGCGCTGGGACTGCCGGTAACGACGGCGGCCTTGGCGGCAGCAAGAAGGTCATGTCTGGCAAGAACTACCAGTTTTTCCAAGGAAACACGGTGTTCTGCTTTGGCGGTCGTTTCGAGAACACAAAGTCCCGGCCCATTAACATTGCCACCGGTGGCCTGGTCGTGATTCCCTGCATCCTCTTCTTTGTCTTCTCCGCACCATGGCTGTGGCACAATGTGTCCCCGGCTATTCCCATTACGTTCGCGTACACTTTTTACATTTGCCTGTCGTCCTTCTTCCACGCATCGGTGTCCGATCCAGGCATCTTGCCCCGCAACCTGCACCTTTTCCCGCCCCCGGACGAGAACGATGATCCTCTGCGCCTGGGTCCCCCAACCACCGACTGGGCGCTCATCAAGTCCAGCGAGTCCTCTACGGCCGCTATGGAGGTTCCTGTGAAATACTGCCGGACCTGCAACATCTGGCGCCCGCCCCGCGCCCACCACTGCCGCATGTGCGACAACTGCGTCGAGACCGCCGACCACCACTGCGTCTGGCTGAACAACTGCGTCGGCCGCCGCAACTACCGCTTCTTCTTTACTTTTGTCTCCTCGTGCACCGTGCTGTCGCTGTACCTGATGGGCGCCTCCCTCGCTCAGATCTTGGTCTACAGCCACCGCGAGCACGTCTCGTTTGGCGCCGCCATCGGCCACTTCCGCGTTCCCTTTGCCATGTTCATTTACGGCATCCTCGCCTGCAGCTATCCGGTGCCACTCATGGGCTACCACTTGTTCCTGATGGCCCGTGGCGAGACTACCCGAGAGTTCTTGAACTCGCACAAGTTCCCCAAGAAGGACCGCTACCGTGCGTACACTCAGGGCAGCATGTTTCTGAACTGGATTGCTGTGCTGTGCCGCCCGCGTCCGCCAACGTACATGCGCTTCAAGAGCCCTCACGTGGAGGGTGACCAGCGCTTGTTCCCGCAGACGACCAAGTCGTGGCGGGCTGCTCGCAAGGACCGTGCCAACAATGTTATTGACGACACCAACACCGCCACGGACAACACATTCAGCAAGGGCGGCAACGACCTCGAGATGCAGCACGTCAACGGCGTCGTCGGCAACGCGAATGCTGCGGCCGACACGGCGCCGTCGACGGCAGCCGGTGCCGAACCCTTCACACCCGGCTTCCAAGGACCCGTGGCGTTACGCAACAGCGCGGCACAGTAGTTTGCATTGCTTTCATTATCTATTATTTCTTTATTCGTGTTACCTTTGTCTTCTCACCATTTCCTTACTTTGTACACTTTTTCTGTCCTTTTTTTCCTTTCCAAATACCCTCTCTGTTATTCACTTTTCTTTTCTTTCTTTCTTTCTTTTTTTTCCTTTTCAAAACTTCTATCTTTATCTTTTTTGAGCTAGCGAGTTTCATTCTGTCTATCCTCGTCTCATAAGTCCTCTATATTTCTTTTGTCGAACGTTCTTTTTCTTGAGCTTAGGTATATTATCCGCCCATTTCCCTTTTCTTCATGCGCTGCTCGTCTTATTCTCCATTTGTTATATTTATAATGTAGTGTCACAGGCGGGAGGGAACAAAAATCTGGATTTCTTACTTCTTACCTTTGTATCTCATTAGTTGTAGTCATCGTCAAGGTACATACAAACCCAGGACTGCGCCGTAAGAGCAACATCCAGGATGTTTATAGCAGAAGAAAAAGAACAGAATACAACGGTATCAATTTAGACTACGATTCGATATTCCAACGCCTTCACGCGAAAGCAACTTAGCATGTTCAGTGTTCTCTGTAATTTGTGTCGCAACTATATATAACAACTCTACAGGCACCAAGTGTTGCTGCGAAAAACTTGAGGGTGCAAGACTGTGAACTGTGATTGGAAACGGTTGTTGTGGGCCACACATGGATAACTGAAAGTGAAGAAAAAAAGCATAAGTGACATTGATTCCCATCATCATTATTACGCCGGAAAGGTGAAGTTAAATAAGAAATAAAATGTGAGGTGCTCTGCCAAGCAAAAGAGAAGCAACGCAGACAAACGACACATGAGGCAAACAGAACACCAAGAGCATACGCAACGTTATTAGTTGGCCTGGCATCACCAAAAGAAATGAAACAAAACAAAGAATACATAAATAACAAGGGGCCACCCCTGGTGTGAAATGTGATATAACAGGACAAAAAAAAAACTTTGCGTGAAAAACATAAAATGAGAAACAAAAAGGCATTCAAAAGTCGGCTTGGTTATCAGCCGGCCTTGGCAGCTAGTATTCGTCTACTAACGGCCGGAAGCTGTCGTCGGTTGGCGCTCGCCGTGGCTGATGAGTCATGGGTGTTGGTGGTATGAAAGTTGCCCAGTATGGGTTTTGTGACGCAGGAAAGGAAGCACAATGGCCAGCTGTGATATTGCCGGCCCGGACTTGGGTGCACGTCGTTTTGTGTTTCTTGATGCCGCTCGTCTGTCGTTCCATCACCACCAGTACTGATCATCCAGGTGCCACCACCATCACCGATGCCGCCGTGTACCAGTCCACGTATCATCCAAAGGTGGTGCTACCGCTCGGGGATCGGACTCTTAGCCAACCGCCCGCCGGCGCTCACACGTTTTTGTAGTCGCGCCTCCTTCTCCCGGGCCAAGCGCTCCATGGCTGCCACGCCGGAAGAGGGCGTCGACGATGGGTGGGCGCCCGCCACAGCGCCGCTGCCAGTTTTGCTTCCACTGTTGCCGCTGTTGTTGTCTAAAATGTTCAGGCCGCCGACACGACCACGTTTGGCCTCGACGTACTGCTGGGCGCTGCGGCTGAGCGGGAACGCTGGCAGTGCAGCTGGAATCTGTGCGCCGTTCTGCAAAAGGAGCTCGGCAACAGGGAAGGGCACCTGTTTGGACTTGGGATCGGACGGCCCTGCGTTCGCACCAGACGTTCCTGGTCGTGGTGTGGTCATGGGCGACGGCGTAGGAGAGGGAGATGCCGGGTCGGCGGCCGCGAGGGCAAGGTAGACGACGTGCGTACCGCGTGAAAGGTCGGTGGCGTTGACATTGGCCTTGAGCGCAAGCGCATAGATGACGTGCTGGATGTCGTTTTTCTTGACACTGGCGAGCAAAGTCTCGTCGGCCGTGGAGTAGTGAGACAGTGTGGCGCTGATGGGCTCAATGTAGGCGCGGTCGACGTACTTGGCCGTGATGAATCGCAAACGCTGCTCACGGTTGGCAGTGGGCGTGAGCTTGGCGGCCGGCTCGAGCTTGGCCTCCCAGACCATGTTGGCGACGCGGTTGCCGACGAGCAGCAAGAGTTCGATAATATCGGTGGTAAACGAAGTAATGTCGAGCGTAAGCGAGCGCACCTTGCTGATATGGGTACCGAGCGAACGGTGGATGCCGCTGCACTCGATGCACAGGATGATGGCGAGGTTGATGGACACCCATTCGACCTTGGCGCCGGACCCGCAGTCAGCACACCAGCAGTTGCCGCGGTCGTTGTCGCGGAGCATCTGTAGCAGCTTGTCCGGATTCTCCTCGTAGCTGCTGCTGGGAGCACGGGGCGCACTGGGCCGCCCACCGACGGTGATACGCCGCGTCGGGATACCCGTGTTGCCACTGCCACTGCTGCTACCACCCGACATGGCCTGGGCCACGGCGCCACCAACAGCGCCGATGCCGTGACCGTCACGACCGCGGTGACCGTGGGTCAGAGACGTGCTTTTGTTGGTGAACACGGAGCCAATGTCACGGCTGGGGAAGTTCGACGAGCCGTTGTCGGTTGGTACGACGGGGGCCGCACTTGAGCGCTCACGGCCTTCCATGGCGCTTTGAAGGGCGTTGTTGATGGACGAGATCCAGCTATTCATGTCCTCTTCGGACGTCGCTTGGTAGACGCGCTTGAACTGGGGCGTGATCACTTCGAAAGTAAACCGACGCTCCGCATTCCGTGCCTCGCGAACCGAGGCCATGCGCAGATCGATGGGGTCCATGTGTAGATCGAGCTTCTGCTTCCAGTTGCTGTACTCGGACAGCTTGCCCTGGTCAAGGACGATCCAGAACTTGTGCCAGCCCTGCTTATTCAGTGCCGAGCGAGGATCGACATGGCCGCCCGGACGGTTCAATGCCCACAGAAGTCCCTCCTTGCGCTGGTTTCCATTCTTTTCCAGATTGACCGTCTGAGCAGGGTCGCGCTCCTCGAGGTCACGGATGCCCTTGAACTTGGAGTTTTGTTGCGGGCTGCCGACTGAGAGGTGGTGAGAGCCCAAGCTTCCCGGTGACCGCGACAGATCCGTGGTCGTAGCACCGGCCGTACCAGGCGCTGCACCAACGCGCAGTTGCGAGCCCGTGCTGTCGGCACGGCCAAGCTCCGAATCCGAGTTGGACTGCGCCGAGGTGGCATTGTTGGCGATGGTGGCGGTTGTTGATGGCCCGCCATTGGTGCCGTTGTTGGCGACGCCAACGCTATTGCTGTTGACCGTTGGTGCCGTAGAGAAAGTGTCGGAGTCGGCGTAAGGTGCGCTGCTGGATGCACCGTTGCTCTTTTCAAGAAGGCGCCGCTTTTCTTCACGCTCACGACGCTGGTACTGGTACTCCTTGTCGGCGAGCTGGACTTCGTTGGAGAGGGCCTCTAGCTGGGGCAGCAAGACGTCAACCTTCTTGGCTGTGTTGAGGAACGATTTGGCCTGGCCGTCGGCGTAGCGCGTCAGGTGGGACAGGACTTCTTGCTCTTTGCGACCGCCTGACAAATCTTGCATAAAGGATGAGTAGTCGAAGCGTTTGAGCTCGAAGTTGCGCCGCTTGGTCTGGTACTTGGTGTCGCTCTCTGCCAACTTCTTAGACTTTAGAGAGTCTTGCCGCTGGCCGAGGTAGCGTCCGACATATGCGTAGTAGTCCTTGCTCTCTTCCTCAAAGTCGCGCTTCTTGGCCTCAGCCTGCTTGATGTCCCAGGTGTACAGCTTGGTCAGGGGGTCTATGACGATACGTTGGAGGTTGAATGTGTTCTGGCGTTCGTACGCCAGAATTTCGCGGGCGATCTTGTCAAAGTAGTGGTCGATGGCCGGTTGAACGGCGTTGGCGTTGGTTGACGACGTCTCTTTCAGGGCGTCAATGAACGAAGAAAATGCCTCGTTCGAGTCCACCATCGTTGCATAGGCGTGCTCGGCGCGCTTGATGACCTTCTTCATTTGCATGCGCATGTTTCCAGTCTTTTGCTCGAGAGCCTTGATGGTTGCACGGAACAAAGGGCCGTCGTCCGCCACAGACACGTCATCGCCGGGTCGAGGACACGAAACGTCCACCTTGACTGGCTCTGGAGGTGGCGGCGGCGCAGTAGTTGGTGCGGGCTGTGCCTGTACGGTTGCTGCCGCTGTGGCTCCGGTAGCGCCGATGGGATCGGGTATCCCGATCCTTGGTGAGTTAGGTGCATCCTCTATCGCTTCGATGGTACTGCTGAGGCGCGAGTCGACGGACTGTGCGGATGCGACGCGGATCTTGGGCGGGGCGCTGAGGAGGAAAGGAGGAGTAGGCGAGCTGGGTGTAGGATGAGGGTTTGTGTCTAGAACGTTAGCAAGACGTGGCCATTTTTGTCTCACATTCGAGCTGGAGAAGGACATACTCGATACGAAGAAAGAGAAGCTGGCCAGAGTGTTTAAGCTATGCGCACGCTGGTTGTACTCCACAAAGCTGCACGAGTTGCGCCAACCACCGCCCTTGTCCTCCAAGTTCTTGGGCGGTTTCCACCGCCATGACCAGTCAAAGGTCACGGATGGGCTGCCACCAGTGGAAAAGTCTCCGACGAGCTCTACATTGGAGTTTTTGTGGAGGTTCGGGTCGGCGTGGAACTCGCGCGTAAGCAGGTTGTCCACCTCGCGCAGATTGGATGCCTGTACGAATGTGAGGCCGTTGATCACGGTGTCAATGGCAGACGCAGCACCCGCTGCAGCGGCAGTGCCAGAGGAGGTCACATTGGCGTCGGATGCGCCAGAGTTGGCAGCGGCTGATGCTTGCGTGACGCTGCTGGCTCCCGTTGCTGTTGACGCGCCGGCTGACGTCCCTGCTGTTGCGCCGGCGGTGGCTGCATTTGTGGCGTTTGTGGAGCTCACGGTGCTGGCAGATGTCGGTGTCTGTCGTATAACGAATGTAAAGGTGAATGTCAGCTCTTCATCGTTGGAGAGTTTGAGGAGAAATGAAGGGCCGGGCGCGGCGGAGGCATCGGTGTCCTGCGGGTGGTATTAGTAAACAAAGTGTCGAAAGTGACCGGTAGCGGGACGGACGAACCTGCACAAATTCGAGGGGTGCATTGTCGCCAAGGGACCGCGTGGCCGAGACGCGGGTCGCTGGAAAGGCGTTGGGCGCAATGTTCACGGAGGTGCGCCGGCGGGCCGATGTGATGACGAGCGACGAGATGGATACTGTGCAAATGAGGGTTGTTAGTCCGATGGCCGGTTATGCAAGGGTTCGGAGCAGCGTGAGACAGCTATAGTGGTCAAAAAAACCGGCGGTGGCAGCGGGATCATGCTGAGGGTGATAAGACGCAAGATGAAGTTCGCGATGCTTCGCGTCTTGTGTCTCGTGTCTTGCACCGGCAACGGCCCGGGATCGTGTCATATTATAACTTGTCCCCCACTACTGCTGTCCCATGCTATTCTTCCTCGTCCGTGTGTCGCTGCAATGGTCGTTCTGCTGCTTCTGGGGTTGTCTTCTTACATCGGTTTTGGTCGCGCAAATAGAGGACACCGCCCTCGTCGGGGCGGCTCGAAGTGATGCCCATGGCGGGCGGATGCGAGGGGTTGAGACAGACGAGGGCGAAACTTGGCGCGGTCGGGAGGAAGGGTAAAATCTGCGAAGAGACGGTTGGAATTCCGGGAGGCCGGCCACGGTATGTGATGTTTGGTTGAAAATGTCGAAATTCGAAACTGGGGAGATGCAGGATAAGTAACGCGAACCGCCTGCTTGAGAAGGACTGCTAATGAGGGACGAGGAGTTGGTGGAAGGAGCGGTTATCAATACAGAGAAGGCGGAAGGAGGGGATGATCTAGTGATGGGGGACGACTGGAAAAGGGCAGGAGCCAGGGGATCCGCTGTGGAGGTCTCTGTGTCCTCAAATGCGGCACTGTCGCACCTTCCCTCCGTGGCGATAACCAGGCTAAATACCCCAGACTGTGGTATCACGTGATGCTCATCAAATAGAAAGCAACTTTTGGCCCGGGGTCTACGTAAACCCCTAAAACAAGGGTCTGGTGCACGGCGAGGTCGCTAAAGAAAATCGCCCAAACTGTGAGACCGTGCGTGGAGGCTGCTGAAGACGTCAGCAGGTAGGTGCAATGTTGGGTGCAATAGGCAGCACTCAATGCCTTCGCCACCGAGGCTGGTATTGCTCTTGTCTTTGTCGCGTATTGAGGAAGGAGCGAATGCAAGCTCTTAAAGTGGATGGAAAAGGTGAATCACGACGCGTCAAGGCCATTTCGTCATACCTCAGTGAAAAGGAAAGAAACATTTCAGTAAACTTACTCCACTGGCCGAAGGATTCTCGTTCCCCAGCTACTGGGATAAAAGAGAGACGAAACTGACAAATGCAGAGTATTATTTCGTACAGTGCTTTTAGTCTTGGCTTGGCTTCATATTGCGTTTGTTGTTTATTTATGGTAATCATTGTCGTATGCCTCATGACTTGCGCCTTCCTTGCCTGTCAACATACTACATCATCCCTTCCCTGACTCCTTCGATATCACCCGCAGCTCCTTCCACCGCGTGCCTTTGTTACTTCCTAAATTGGTTGTCACCGCCCCAAAAAGGAAGGGCCAAGGGAACAACACAACATACGTAAATCTGCTCGTGACTTGTCTAGACAGCAAATGACGATCAGCGAAAGACAGCACCTGGTCATTAGATCTAGAAAATGGCGATTTGGCTGTTTCGTCCTGGCTCGGCGCGAGCAATGTAATTAAGTAGGTACTAACAATGGCGTGAATCTGAAGCTTGGTGGGTGATGTAATTTGACTGATTGACAGTGGCCGAAACCTGTTTACAGCGACTCAATCTGCCCCATTTTGCGGCGGTAGAGCCCCGTTACAGGCATGCGCGACCGAATTCCAGCACGTCTCTATTTATATCGCCCCTGGTTAGGCGCATGTCAGCGGCGTTCCCAAAATTACAGGCATGGCCGAAAGGGGGAAAAAGGGGGGTGGAGGGGCTAGGACGCGATCTGGCGCACTGGCGCCCAAACTCCGCCACATGCTGGGCTCCGTTCACATATACGTCGTACGCAGCTTCCCTGCTTCCGTCCCCATAACAGCCCACTACAGAACCTGGGTGCACAGGGGGCCACAGAAATAGACGACATCTCGTGTTGTTTCGTCGTCTGCCCCCATTCTGCCGCCAGCCCTCCTGCCAGGAAACATCGTCGCTTTCGATTTTCTTTTCTCTGCGGACGCTGCCTACCTGCGTTGTCTTTGTTTTCATTCGTTTTAATACCCCCGCGTTCGCGAGTTCACCACAGTATTGCACGGCGTTTTCCGTCCATCTTGATATCTTCGATCTCCTCGACTTTCACAACTTTTCCGATTTGTTTCCACCCCTCGGACGTCCCACATTCAATCTCCGACTGCCGACGACTTTTGGTCTTTTCACTTTTCGCCCTGTCCAACTCTACGTCCCGGACTTCCCTGGCACACTCTCGAAGCCGGCCCGACCGACGACCGCCCCACCGGATCGAGGGCTGATCGACTCTGGCAGACTTGCCAGCCTTGCCGGCCATGTCGACAGCGTCCAACCGGACCTCGCGGCCCGACCGCAGCAGCCTACACAACTCGCGGATGAGTACGATGAGTGGCCGCCGGCAACGTGCCGGCTCGCGCGCCGCCCGGGTTACCGAGGTGCAGTTCGAGGAGGGCTATAGCTATGCCCTCCGCATCGCCTACCTCAACTACTTGCTGCAGCCCAAGAAAAAGAGAAAAGAATACGTGGCGGCACCCAAGCCCGTCCGCACACACACGGCATCCAACAGCGTCGGCGAGCTCATGAAAGAGTTTGTGCCGTCCGGGTCCTCGTCGTCGTCGGCCAATATGAAGCTGCCCCACAGCCTGCGGCAGGCCCTCGAAAAACGCATGGAGGGCGTGCTGCGTGGCACCGAAAAAATGCCGGGATACAGCGACGCGGCGGTCAAGCGCACGTTTGGCGAGGCATACACCGCGTTTACAGCCGACAACTTCCGCAAGAGCATTGACAAGGACCGCAAGATCGAGCCCCTCATTCTCATTTTCTACACGTCCGCAAGCAAAGCCCAGGGCCGCGGCAAGGCCGCCGACGACGACTCGTGGAAGCCTCTTGTGGACCGCCACGTTGCCCTCTTTGTGCGGCTGGTCAGCAGCCTGATGCGCGATCTGGGCAGCGACCAGGGCCGGCCCGAGTTCATGGGCCGCCTGGCAACACTCGAGAAGAAGCTGCTCACCAATGACCAGGACCTGTCTCTCGACACCAACCAGCCGGGCGAGCACAAGACGATCGAGGTGGAGATCCCGTTAACGTACGACGTCAAGGATATGCCCATGGTGCAGACCGTCGCCCGCATTTTTGGGCGGACACAGAGCGAAGTGCAAACGGACATTGACCGCGACTTAACTCTCTGGACCGAGGAGGCAGCGCTCAAAGATCTCAAGACGTACCAGCACCAGCTCACGTCAAATATGCCGGGTGCGCTGCGCAGCGGGGACTTTGATCTGGATGCGGCATATGAGGAGTGGAAGAAGACCGAGGTCCACCAGCTGGCGCAGATGATGCTGGATTTGCTGACCGTGCGACCCGACCTTGCCAAGACATCGACAACAAGCGGTGGTGCGGCATCTTTGGGTGGCAACGGTGGAGACAAGCCGCTTCCGATTCGGCCGACGTCCATGTACGGAGAGGACCAAACTTACGCAGACATTAGCCGCATGATCTCGTCCCATCCGGACCCTGTGGCGGCCGCCTCGGTCGTGAATCAGTTCGGGTATGACGGCTCTATGGGCTTCTCGTCATTGTCCTTGGATGACGGCGCCAGTGGTAGCAGCATCCGCGCCGTCGAAGAGGCGCCCGATTTTACATATATTCCGTCGGACCCGCGGTCTTATTACAAGTTTGTACTAAAGCACGCCATGTCGTACGACCAGCTACACCCGGACGAAGGGACGATTGTGTCGGAGGCTGTCCCGCTGCACCGATCGTCGGTGGACCTGTTGATTGAGTTGGCGGTGCACTGGCGGATACCGCAGTTCTCGCGCGAGGTGCTGCTGCTCGACGTCGCATCACAAAAGTACCTGGATCTCGAGATGCGTGCCGAGGAGGTGTACGAGGTGTTTGAGGATGTCAAAGACAGCGCCTCCCTCGACCACTTGCCGCACAACAAGAAACCGCCGCACATTCAAATGTTTGGCCAGCCACTGCACAGCATCGAGCGCAGCCACTGGGCGTCACGCGACTACGCCTCCTACCAGCAGATCCTGGTCAAGATGCAGGAGGCTATGCTGCGCGAGCTGCTGGAGGTGGCCTCGCAGTGCTACGAGCCGAAACCGCAGTCCATCGGCCCGACGCTGATGTTCATTGAGAACCACATCCACGGCGACGACGCCTTCCCGCAGCGGCCCGAGGTCATTGCCCAGTTCGCCGAGGCGCTGACAGCGACGATGCGCGACCGCGCCGCTGGCTTGTATCGCGAGTTCTTGGACACCAACATCCCGCGGGAAGAGGACGACTGGGATTTTAGTCATGTGGTGAACCTGGGCAAAGCTGTGGTGGCTGTGTGCGACCGCACGCGCAAGCGGTACCGCAAGAACCCGGAGATTATGGGGGTCAGCCCCTTTAAGGAGCTCGTGGGCACCATGTTCCCGAGCTTCGAGGCCGACGCCAAGGCGATCATTGAGCGAATCGTGCAAAAGGCCAAGGACCGCGGTCTCGAGGTCAACCTGCAGGACGGCTTCGACCTGTACAAGGAGCTCACCGACATTCGCAAAATCCACGTCGAGTCACTGCCGGGCAAGCCGTTTGCCTTCCACGTCGAGGGTCTGCTCGAAGAGTTTGTGTGGCGGTGGATCAAGGGCGCGCAGGAACGCATGGAGAACATCGTCGAGGAAGCCATCAAGCAGGACCAGTTCCAAGTGCGCGTGCAACAACCGGGCGACGTTCCGACGGACGATGAGCGGCACAGCGTGTCTATCATCGACACGTTCCAGGCCTTCAACCAGAGCGTCGACCAAATCTACCAGCTGGAGTGGGACGACGATACGCACCATGCCAAGTTCATGACGGCACTGGCCAAGGCCTTCACGGCAGGGATCGGGCGGTACTGCGAGATTGTCGAGCAGCGCTTCGCCAAGGAGATGGACCGCCCCTCAGCGCAAGAGCTGGCGGACTCTACGAAGACGACACAGGAGCGCTGGATGCAGTATGCCAAGGACGCATTGAGCAACAAGGAAAAGGTCGAGCCGTTCCAGTTTTACGCCGAGTCGTTTGTCAAGCTCAACAACATTGAGTACGGCATGCAGGCGCTGGATGCCCTGGAAAAGGCGGTCAACGTCGATGGGTGCGCCGAGGTCTTGAAGCGGGAAAACGGGCCCGCCAAGCCCGTGGACCGGCGCAACACCAAGTACGTGTTCACGATCAAGATTGTCGAGGCCGAGGACCTCAAGGCGTGCGACCCGACGGGCACGAGCGACCCGTACGTCGTGCTGGGCGACGAGTACCAGAAGCGGCTGGCCAAGACGCGCATCATTATGCGCAACCTCAACCCGCGCTGGGACGAGTCGGTCGAGATCACGGTGTCGGGGCCGCTCAACATTATTGCCACGATCTGGGACTACGACACCTTTGGCGACCACGACTTTGTGGGCCGTACGTCACTGAAGCTCGACCCGCTGCACTTTAGCGACTACCTGCCGCGCGAGTTCTGGCTGGACCTCGATACGCAGGGCCGGCTGCTGCTGCGCGTCAGCATGGAGGGTGAGCGCGATGACATCCAGTTCCACTTTGGCAAGGCGTTCCGCCACCTCAAGCGGACGGAGCGTGACATGGTGCGCAAGGTCACGGACAAGCTGGTGGCGTACATCAATGCGTCGCTGTCGTACGAGGCCCTGAAGAGTCTGCTGAACCGAGGGTCGCTGCTCGCCACGTCCGTGGCGGCGCTGTGGCAGAAGCGCACCGCGTCCAAGACGCAGCCGCTGACGCAAGCCGACATTGAGAACACGCTGCAGCCGCTGTTTACGTACTTTAACGAGAACTTTGCCATTATGAACCAGACGCTGACGCACGCCACCATGATGGCCGTCATGACGCGGCTGTGGAAAGAGGCGCTCATGGCCATTGAGGGCCTGCTCGTCCCCCCTCTGTCCGAAAAGCCGTCCACGCAAAAGCCCCTGACACAGGCCGAGATTGACGTCGTCTACAAGTGGCTCGAGATGCTGTTTGACTTTTTCCACGCGCGCAACGACCACGGCGAGGTGCTGGGCGTGCCAGCCGACATTCTCAAGTCGCCCAAGTACCACGAGCTCGCGTCGCTCAACTTTTTCTACTTTGAGACGACCGAGAATCTGATACGGACGTCGGAGCGCATGGCCGCGGCCACGGCGCAGCGCGCCCAGCAGCAGCTGCAGCAGCAGCAGCAACAGCTCCCTGCCAACGGCATCGTCCCGGGGCTGACCATGTCGGGCCGGCACTTGTCGGCGCCGCCCGGGTTTGGCCCTGGCGCGGCCGGGGGTGGCGCGTTTGCCAGCATGGGCACGATTCGCCGCGGCAAGAGCATCATGATGAGCCGCAACCTGGGCACGATGCGGCGCGCCAAGGAAGAGAAGCGCAAGGACGCGCAGGCCGACCCGTCGGACGACATGATTCTGCGTATTCTGCGGATGCGGCCGGAGGCAGCAATGTACCTCAAAGAGCGGCACCGGCAGAAGGAGCGCATGGCGGCACACCAGGCGGCGGCGATGATTGTGCGCCAGAGCATCAGCCAGGGGTGGACGGGCCCGGCGTTTGGCGGAGCCATGTACAGCCGCAACAACCTACCGCTGCGGTAGGAGGTATCGTGCGACGAGGTTGAAAAAAACAAAAAAACAAAGAAAACAACAACGTGAATGGCTATGTATGGAGCCAGCGAATACTAACGACGAATGATTTTTTTCTCTTTGGATTACTGGGGTATTCTTTATTATGTCACCATCTGACACGTTTTTTGGCATGTTTGGTCTATCTTTCGGGTATTCGGCAGGGCCACTGTTTCGGGAGCATCTAGCAGTTTGATTTGATTTGGGTTTTGCTTTTGCTCCTCTTGTCCTTTTTATGTTTTGTTTTCGGAGTAATTACCCCTTTTGCGCACACATGTTCCTCGTCTTCACAGCGTCTATCAGCGCTGCAGTTTGAATGTTCTTTGTTCTTTTGCTTCTTCTCTATTTCTTTACGCTTTTTGGAATGTATCATGAGCGTCTCGAGCATCTAATGATTGCATGGACTTTTTGGTCAACCTAGTTCACGTCTGACGTAGATTGCAGTTCGGTGCGTGTTTCCGGCGCTTCCACCACTAAGTCCGGCCCAGCCTCCCTTCCGCCGAATGCCGGCGTTGCCATTGGTTCGGCTCGCTCGTGTCAGCCAACATCACTTTTTGTCATCCTCACATGTGGCACGCGAAGCTGACGTTGATAAATAGTCTGCCCATCGTCCGGATCTGTCTTGTTGCTCTGCCTTCTTCTCATTCCTGTTCTTGGCTGTCACCGCTTCTAGTCCGCATCAACGACGACCTTGTTCCCATCTCAAATCGTCGTCCGCCTCCTCGCCCACCATGTCTCTTGTTCACACCGTCCTCTTGCAGTTCAAGGAAGATGCTGCTCCTGAGACGGTCAAGGAGGTGAGTCGGACGGCAGCACCGCGTTTTCTTTTGAAATGTGCTCGTCCACCGCTGACAAGCCAGGCCTGCGATCGCTTCTTGTCTCTCAAAACGGCCTGCCTCCATGCGGCCACACAGCAGCCCTACATTCTGTCCATCAAGGGCGGTCGCGACAACTCGGCCGAGGGCATGCAGGGCGGGATCACGCACGGATTCGTGGTGGAGTTTGCCACGGCGGCGGACCGCGACTACTACGCGAAGAACGACCCGGCGCACCTGGCGTATGCGGCGTCGCTGCGCGCGCTGGTGACCAAGGCGGTGGTGGTGGACTTTGCCGACGGAGTGTACTAGGCTGGGCAGTGGAGAGGAGTGCCAGAGGTATGAAGGGCTTCACCTCGATGCAAAATGCAATTGCATAAAAACAGTAAATCTATAAAAACACATCACAGATATATCGCAAAGTGAAAGAAAAAAACCATACAAAATAGCATGCCAAAGTCGTGTCCATGTCATCCGTAATTCGTGGGCGCTTTGTGCCACTGCATTCATCTCTTATGACGGGATATGTAGTCGCCGCAAGGTGTCAAGCCTATCTTGTCAACTCAATGCCCACCCTCTGAACGTATCCCCTTCTCCTCTCCTACATTACGCATCCGCTTCGCTTGTCGGGATGGCGGTGTACACGAGCGGCTGTCGCTCGGCATCTTGCCAGCTGGCAAGTCGTGTTGTCTGCTTGCCAGCCTTGGTGCTGCGCTGCCTGCTCTGTTTGGCAGCGGCCGCCTCGTCGCGCCGCCGGTCGCGCCAGAGCAGGACCTGTATGGCGACGGTGACGAGCACCATGAGGACCTGCAGCGTAATGGACCACGTGTAGCCGCGGCGGGCGGCGGGGAAATCGGTGGTGCGCCAGACAAAGTTGGGTGCGAGAGCCTGCAGGGCATACGCCAAATCATTGGCCATGGCGACGATGAGGGCACGCTTCTCGGTGTCGGCGGAGCAAATCTCGTTGATCCAGATGAGGATGAGCGGGCCGGCGCCGCCGCCAATGTCGCTGAACCAGTAGACGACTTTGCGCGCGTGGATGTTCTCGTAGAGCGGCATTCGGAGGAACGCGATCGCAAACCCGACGTGGATCACGGCGCCAATGTAAATAAACGGCCAGCGGCGGACGGAGCCACGTAGGGCGTCAGAGAGCCAGCCCCAGACGAGGGACATGGCGATGAGGATGCCGGTGCAGACCAGCGGGACTGTCATGTCAGCGCCGCACGGAGGGACGGGCTTGATGCAGCAACAACGGTGGAGAAAGACCTACGACTGTTGATCTGGCCAATGGTAAAGGACACGCCCGGCACCGGAGGCGGGTCGGCATTGAAGCTCTTGAGCCAGTAGCCCATGGCATTTTGGTAGCCGCCGTTGTTCCACAGAATGTAGAGCAGCGGCAGCAAGTACGTGTGCCAACTGCGGACGATGCGGCGCACTTTCTCGCGGGTCCAGGGCTGCTTGCCCGCGCGGCCAATGGCCTGCATGCGGTCCACAGACAGCTGCTGCTCCGCTTCGGACAGCCACCAGGTGCGGTCGCCGCTCTGGGGTAGGTGGGGGAAGAAGACGTAGCCGAGGAGGGCCAGTGGGAGTGTAATGAAGCCTGGTGGTCAGCAGCGAGGATCAACGACAACCACGGGAATGCTTGGACTGGACGTACCATCAACAACAAACAGCCAGCGCCCTAACAACGTTAGCCAGACGGACGGATATGACGAGAAAACAACAGAGTCCACAGAGTCCTGGGACACTTACACCCCGACAAGCCGTGCACCCCGTGCAGCCGCTCGTAGGCGGCCGCCTGCAGGAACCCGCTGAACAGCTTGCCCACCGAGCCGGACAGCCAAAAGAGCATCGTCCGCTTGCCCAGCTCCGGCGGCGTGTAGATGGACCCCAGCAGATAATGGATGCTCGGGTAGAACCCAGACTCAAACAGGCCCACAAAGAACCGCAGCAGGTACAGCGCGTGCGGGGACTGCACCGTCGCGGCACACACCGTCGCCAGCCCCCAGCCGACCTCCAGGGACGGGATCACCCAGCGCGGGCTGACGCGCGTGATGAGCAGCGTCGCCGGGATCTGGCCGAGCACGTAGCCGGCCGTCCAGAGCGACGTGCTCGTCACCAGCTCGTTGCCGTCCATGTGCAGCTCCTCCTTCATGCCGGACAGAAAGGCGTTGTACACGTTGGTCTGGTCGAGCGTCTTGAGAAAGTAGCCGATGGAGGCAAACGTCAGCACGACCGCGTCGACCTTGTGCAGCAGACGACGCTCGGCCGGCGGGCGGTCCCACGTGTCCCAGACGTAGCTGCGCCACGTTGCATGGGGAGCCGGCGTGGTGGGGCGCGACGGGTGCTTGTTGTCGTCGTCGAGGTCCAGATCGAGGTCAAGATCGAGGTCGACGGTCGAGTTGCTCCGGCTGCTCTCGCCGCCGTCGTCGAGCAGCCGCGCCGAGTCAAGGCCGTCCTCGTCTCGTTGGTAGCTCTTCATGGTCGGCAGTGGTTGGAGACAGATGCTCGTCGTGTTGTCGTCGGGCCTGCCGTGCTCGTGTCGTCCGTCCTGCTCGCTTGGCTCGTCATAAACGTCAAAGTCGTCTTGAGCCATCACGAAGGGCCGGCGATGGCTCTGCGGCCATACTCATACCAATGTCGTTATGGCCCAGCGTGCTTGCATGCGAGCGCCCGTGCTGTCCATTACAAACCAAGCAGAGACTCTCTGGCACAGCTTGTCTCAGGCACAGACAAGCCCGCTGACCGCTGTCTCATGTTGCTGCTCTTGTGCCATTTGTGCCATTTCGTGCCATGTTGTGCCATTTGGGGCTGCTGTTCCGAGTCGTCAAATGGGCAGGCGCCCCCTGACGCAGATGTTGCCATATGCCGTTGCGGTTGCGTTACCCACTAGCACACCACCTCATAGGCGCAGGAAGGCGCATATAAGAGCTTCATGTGACGGGGTTACAGGAAGGAAGGAGCGACTTGACAAACATGCAACAAGCGGGGTTATTGAGCGCAACTCGCTTTTGCAAATAAAAAAAATACAACAGCTGGCGATCTTCGATCCTTCAGGGCTGGGGCCGTACCTTGTTGCGACTCTGATTGCATTTGTCAGGTTTTATCATTTGAAGCCAGTGTAAGTGATGTGCATGAAGCGAACGTGTGTATATAGACGCACGAGTTGAATCCAAAGCGAACGTATGGTATTCCCACAGTCCCTCGCCAGATTTTAGCGTGACTTCCCCAGATTGACAGCCCCGTAACTCCCGTTCTACCTCCCGAGCTTTCCGAGCTTGCCGAATATCTATGCGCGTCTTGCCATCTACAAAACCGTAGACATCCCCCGGTTTACAGCCGATCGCTACTTTCTGTTCTTTTCTTCCTACATCGATTATCTTTGTACGAATCGAGGATATCGAGGATACAGACTCAGGCGGGCCCACGACACGACCGTGGCGACTCGGCATAAGAAACGGCTCCTCTGGAAAACACAACGATGAAGACAGTTTTCTTTTCCTTTTCTTCTCGGCCTCTGTCACCAAGGACTACCTCCAAGAGTTAGTCTATCGGATACACAAAGCGCACCTGTTCTCGTGCGTTTACGTTGTCCTGTTCCGATTCAAGACTTGGAGCACCAGCACAGTGCTCGCTTTCGTTCTGCAAGAAGCCTTGCAAATATGATTGTGCTAGCAAGCTGCTCGTGCACTGAGCGCCATCTATCATTTTGACAATGTCGAGAGAACGAGTGTGCTGTTGACATGCTTTGCCTTTTTCCTGCACTGTGTTCGCCACCTCCCAGCCGTCCAGAAGCCATCTCTCAGCATCCTCTTCAACCGTGCGTCCCATGTAATACGGCATGCTATTCAGACCAACCGCTATTATGTCGACTCCCGGACGACACCTAATTCGATTCACGCCACTTGCAGAGGCCGTTTGGACTTGGTGATTGGCCACCCGCCAACAACATCCAAAAGAAGTACACGAGCTCGACGACCTACATAGACAGATTTGACAGTCCCGGACCCGTTTGCGCCAGAGCAAATAGGACAGCTGTCGACGACCCTTGGTGACCCTCGGTGAAGTCCGATGCGTACCGTCTCCTGTCGATTTTTGGCGTCAGCTCCAACTGCGACCTCCGACGGACTCTCGATGGGTTGCACCCAACCCAACACCCACGCCAAGTCTGTGGCCCTCTACAGTCATTGCGCGGGTCGTGTAAGCAGACAACAATGCCTGTCTTGCCGGTGAGGCCGGGCACGATATGATGGACTTTTTGTTGCTCCCGGCTGGCGAATTTGCGCCCGGCGTCATAACGTTCCCCGATTGTGGAAGGCAGCTCAAAAAGACGAATATTAATTTTTGGTGGCGGCTGCCAAATATGGGAAAGGCAGCGTACCTCACCTCGACGATTCCAACAAACCTGACCAGGGCTTCTTTTTCCTCCGGCAAGCTAGCCAGGTAATCCATCCATCTCTCCGGTCTTACTTTGATAAAGAGGGAGCAAATGAAGATCGTTGTGCCTTCACCAAGGAACATGCGACAAAGGCACACGTATCAATGATGGTTGCCTGACAGTCGGTCATTTGGTGATCGAGATGATTGGTGGCTTGCAGCGTCGGGGTCGTATTTCCAATCGCCGTGTCGCTTATGCTTTCTTGCCGGAGGCATAAAACAGTGTCCCAAACTCCGGGGTGCGCACACAACGAGGAATGGCTGAAAGAGAGGATCCAGGCGATTCAATGCATATATAAATGGCATTCCCTCCTCCCCCAAACCGACCTCAGGTTTTCACATATCCAATCGACTTCTGCTGCGGCACAGCTCGCCGTGGGTTGGGTGACTTCAGATTCGTGCATTTGTGACTCGCCAACAGTCCCATTTTCCCGGGAAAATAGATACGAAAGAGACCATGGTCGCCTTTATCCAAACTCGATCCCATCGTTATACCCGGTTTTACTCGCTATCCCGTTCTCGTTGTCGTCACATGGTTCGTTTACCGTTTGTGTGTTGCACTTTGTTGTCGTGTCAGAGGTTGATATATATTTCTTTATTATGCCATTTGTGTAATATGCCCAAGATTACCGGAAAGAGAGGAACAGAAAAAAATACACCAAAAAAGATATACAAAACAAGACCACTATTACCAAAATAGGACAAAGAGCAAGGTATGCAACAAAATAAAAATAAAAATCCGCAACACAATGCTAAATCACTACAGAAATTAAACAGTTGTCGTATCCTCATCTTCGGCGTCGAGTCAAGGCCGGTGACCGCCCCGGTCATACGATTTTCGACAGCTTGAGGAGACCGCCCTCTGTGGACGACAACGACGACCGCGACCCGCGCGCACACCCGTAGCACCACGTCAGCAGACGGTTCACGATAAACAGGCCGATGATGAGGCCGATGGCGCCCATGCCGAACCAGGTCCAGGGCCGCGTGCCGATCCACATGAGGGCCTTGGCGTCGCCCTGGTGCCAGGTGGCGCTCTCGAGGTCGGTGATGAAGGGGTTGAGCTCGGTGCCGTTGATGACGCCAATGGTGCGGGCGTGCAGGGCGTAGGGCGGGGTCTGCAGGTAGTCCTTGACGACCATGGTCAGGAACATGGGGCCGGCGGAGATCATGATGACGGCGTACGGCTGCCAGCGGGCCCAGAAGTGGGTGAGGGCGTTGTAGAGCGGCAGCTGGGCAATGGCGGACGCATAGGCCGGGTGGCGTGCGGAGGCGATCATAAAGTCGTTGGTGATGCCGGTGGGCAGCGTGGACTTGAAGAGGGCGCGGTGCTGGGCGGCGTCCGAGGTGTCGTCGGGGGTGGCCTCGATGCGCTCGAGCGGGAAGCTCGCGTTGCACCACGTGTCCATGTCGAGGTAGATGCCGCCGTAGTGGTACAGGACAAAGTAGCGGATGGCGTCGGCGCGCTGGATGGGGAAGACGTAGTTGTCCCAGACGTCGACGAACCAGGGATACTCCTCGGCCAGGAACGCGCGAGCCGACGCATCGGTCCAGAGCTGAAGAAACAACGTTAGCAAGACATACGACAACATATATCCAGGGGGAGAGGGCTTCTTGCGCATGATCCACAGTCGGACGGCTTACCTTGTACTCAAAGCCCTTGTAGGCGTCCTTGCACGACTGCTGCGACGCGCGCCACTTCTCCGGGACCACGTCGGTGGCCGTTGTCTGGTGCAGAATGCGCGGGATGGCGTTGCGCTTCGCAGCGGGCGGTGGCGGCGGCGGCGGCGGGAGCGGCACGCCGAGCGCGTTCTTGGCGGCGGTGACGCCGGCCGGGTCCCAGGCGTCGACGCTGGACGGGCCCGAGAGCACGACGCGGGGGCCAAAGAACTCCTTGTTGCGGCGCAGCAGGGTGATGAGGGGCTCAAAGGCCACGAGAAGAACGACGATGATCAGCAGGTCAATCAGCAGCAGCGTGGTGGTGCTTCGCCGCAGCCGACGCGCGAGCAGGGACAGGATGTTGCGGTGGCGTGGTGTTTGTGATGGCGAGTCGGGCCAGGCGGCCGTGTGCGACGAGGACGAAGAGTGCGAGGAGGAGGACGAGAGAGATGACAGCGACGACAGCGAGGGCGAGCTCCAGGACGGGCGGTCGTGGTCGTGGCGGTCCTTGTCGTTGTCGACGAGCTCGTAGCGCGCCGGCGACACCATGCCGCGGATGTAGCCCCAGAGAGACGGCATGGTGGAGGGGGTGGGCGAGGGTGGGCGAGCGCGAGGGCGTGTGGCCGCTGGGAGAAGAGAGAAGAGGAGTCGTGTGACTGGCGACAATTGACGGTCGGAGATGATTGTTTCGGGACAACGTCGACGTTTGCAAACGGCAGGCGCAAATGTGACGGACGATACGCCTGCTGTGAGCGCCGATTCAAGGAGGGAAGGACGTGCCGCAGTAAGGGAGAAGTCGCGGAAGGCAGTCGTGGTGGAATTAGGGGGAAAAGGGGAAGGAGCAGAGAGGAAAAGTGAAGAACACGGGGTAAAGAGGGAAGGAGAGAAAAAGACGAAAAGGAAAGAAGAAAAAAGACAAAAGACACACAAACAATCGTGTCAGTCGCGAAGCATCTCGAGTATTGGGAAAGGGAGAAGAAGGAATAGAGCAAAGCGAACAAAAGGAACAATAGGAACAAGAGCAAAAAGGAACAAAAAGAACAAGAGAAGGCCTTTTGCTTTTCAGTATGGATCTTGCACGACAAAACGAGCCAAGACAAGAAAGAGCAAAGGAGCAAAGGAGTCAACCACTAAGACCAGGGGACTCGCGAAAACCCACTTGTCTAAGACGTCCAGAATACAACATACAATGTACGCCCTGAAATGGAAACGGGCCCGACGAAAATTGAGAATGCAAACTAGCCCGCGGAAAAAAAAAATCACAAGACGGATGGCGGAGACTGCAGGCGTGCTTCAGGCGCCACAGTCACGCTGCAGTGGCCCTGCCCGCCGACGTCAGCGTGCACATGGCCCCTGAGAGAACCGAGCAATGGACTAATTACTGGTCGGACGATGGTCGAGAAACGGTCGAGAGGCGACAGGCGACTGGCGACTGGCGACTCCGTCATGCTAAGCTTCGCTTGGCGCCAAACACGCGTGTTGTGGTGCCCGTCCACTTTGCCCTGTCTCGTTCTCTTGCCTCCTTACTGAGAGGAGAGAGGGTACGTACTCTTTAGTCTTTTCTCTCCAAATCGTCCCCCCGGAAATTGGATCACCGTTTTGCCTTGTATTGCCGGCTTTCCATGCTTGTCAGCCTCCTGTATCTTAACTTTTACCTGTCTTACGTGCAATCTTGCCCATCCTGCAGGTATCATTTTCTTTGCGTCTCTTCCACAGAACACTTCCGCTCTGGTGAAAGGAACCTTTGTCTTTGTTGGTCATTTTCGCTTTCTCCCTTAGCACCATTAAGTACTTGTATCTCCAAGTCTCTTTGCTGCCAGAGGGCGATTACGGGGACACAAAACCTATGAGGAGGACAAGGGCGCAACTTGGACGCTTAGGGGCACAACGATCGGTTGGGCAAGGCGGGGCGACGCGCTAGCGGGTTTAGGGTTAGGGATCTGGTGTTAGGGGCTGATGTTAGGCTGTTGTATGTTGTATGTTTTGTCCTTTGAAGAAAATAATTAATTAATTAATTAATTAAATTAAAAAAATCACTACTTCGTTGGAGTATTTCTCCCACTGTCTTCTTAGGCCTAATTTGCCTTTGCAGATCCACCTCTGACAGCTGTTCCATACGAAACACTTTGTTGACCTGGAACCCGCCCCAGCGCAACGCGCCAAGAAAGGGGGCCTCGGGGGCCTCCTACTTTCACGACGGAATGACGACAACACTCAAAATACGGTTGGTCGCAGCAACTCGCCTAAAGTCGCCTGCAACACGGCGTGCTCCGTTCTCTGCCCGCACCCCTTATTTTTGTTAGGGCGCCCTCAACTGTTAAGGTTAAAAAAAAAAAAAAAAAAAAAAGGAAAAGAAAAGAAGAGAAAAAAAAAGAGGCAAACACGCACCCAACGGCATGTCGGCGTGTGCTTTGCACCGTCTTGCGCAAGTCGTCGAAGCAGCCACTGAGACACTGAAACTGGACCATGGCCCTGCAGTTGTCAGAGTTGTTTCTGACAACCGGCAACACAACCCGGAAACAGGGTTCTTGACTTCTCGACGACCACGGGCTGAGCCTCGATGGCGACGACGCCACTCGCCGCAGCAAAGCACTGCAGTTCACCATGCGCCGTATCGGTGCGATTGTGCGAGACAGGAGAACCAGACGACCCGGCCTTCCATTGTCTCTTCTGTCCTTCTGCAGAGTTTCCGGACCGGCGAATTTGTGCTGTATCCGGTCCCGTTTTCCCCTGCTCCCGTACCCAGACTCCATACCCGCAGTACAGGTCCGACGGCTTTCCATTCATTGCCTCGCATTCATGCCCCCATTCTGTCGTCAGGCCCATGCACAGACACACGTTTTGATTCGTCTCTGCGCCTGATTCGTTCCGTCCACAAATCCCAGTTGCTTCTTTCGACAGCATTCGTCATTCTGCATGTTGGTTTTGCATTTCCTATTTCTCCTTTTGGCTTCGCCTACGACTCGCACGCTCGCCCGGCTTCTCACTTCCGCCGTTGGCACGGCGTCCTCACCAGAGCATTGCCAGAGTCTTTCGGCCACTTGCCCAATTTGTTTGCACTACTCTCTCTGGGGAGAGCAATTACAGAAACACCGACGAGCCCAGGAGCCGCAAACCCGACCTCTTTCGCCTCGTTAGACCTGATGACGTTGCAAAGTGTGCGAGAAGTAGAAAAACACAAAGACCGTGTGCATGGCCATGGTAAGAGTGCCACTGTCTGTTGATATCAGAATCGTATTTACTCCGTGCAGCGTGACTGAAAGCATTGGTAACGTATCGCACAACATGAGCTGATGAGGCACCTTCGTCTGATCTACCCCTCTTCTCCCCTCCTCTACGACGCATCTGTCTACGTATCTTTTATCATAACTTGGTCGGCACCTTGATGCTACGACAAGTACGAAAGTGTTCTGTGATCAGGCTGGTGAGAACGGAACTAACAAAACGGAGCGAAAGCGATAGCGACGGAAGCTAAACGGACTAAACGGACTAAACGGATTGAAAGCCAACATGTGAAGAAACACGTCGTAGAGGCAAGAAAACGGCAACAGTGGCCCAGACGGCAAGGCCATGTGGGTACTTTCATGTTGCCGCATCGACCAATCAGCGTCGTGGTGACGCGTGGATAAATTGCGTTTTGTGGGCCACATGTGGGGATTCATTGGCCAAAAACCCAACAAACGACAGAAAAGACGTTCCCTAATTCAGAAGGTGACGCGGCCGTCACAGCAAGGTAGATCGCTTCCAGGTTTTCCTACTTTTGTCGTCTTCGTTGGTCTTTGCCGTTCGATGTCTTGGCCAACAGGCCAACACCTTCAACCAAACCTCACAAGCACACCAGTGTGCACTTTCCTTGTTTCGCGCAACGCAGGTTTGATGGCAATCGAACACAAACGCCAGCATCGGAATGTCGATCTGCAGAGTCTATTGTCTTGGCGGTCTCTCTAAAATACATCGTAGATGTCCATACCACAAGACTCATTAGGGCGAGGCTGCCCGCCAACTGCCCAGCTCCCTCGAGTCTCTTTGAATTGTCCAGTGTCTCAACTAGAAAGCTTAACATCCAGACTGCCAGTCGAGTCGGGAGCACGGCTTGGAGATGCTTGTTTGGTGTTCTCCAGACATTTAACTCCACAAATGTTGACAGCGGCCGTGGAAACTGCCCTGCCACAATATCTGAACGTCCACATCCACATAGCATAGGCAACGTAGTCTTACAATGGGTTTCCGTTCTCCATATACTCGTATTATTGCCCCTTTTACCTCCTGCGCTGTTCCTGCGTCTTTGCCCTGCGTCTGCTGTACGTCGGTCACGTTGTACCCACTCACCTCTGGTCCCATGCATTGTCCATCTCACACTGCATCTCACACTGCATCTCACACTGCATCTTACACGGCAGACTGCAAGTGGACAGTGCATTGTCCACGGCAGCTTGCTCTGCTTTCGTCGTGGCCCGTTCTGAAGAGACGAAAAGCGTGGAGCACAAGTGCAGCTGCCCCTATTCTAATGCACCTCCAAGGAAGAAGGTGCGTTTTTCATTGATATGTGTTCTTCTTGCTTCCAACATGCCCTTCTCCTCTACGTAGTGATACGCTGGACGTTACGCATTACGCGTGTTTCTATTTTTGTTCTTGCCGGGCAATAAGATCAACAGATCTCCCAGGAATAAGAAATCGTCTCAAACTCTAACGTCAATAATAAGCAAAAGCATGATCACCATATCATATCATCACGTCTCTCCACCCATTATTCGGTAAACTCAGCCTCAAATCCGTTTTTGAGACTTGGCATGAACAAAACTGATAATGTTAATCAGTAAAGGACATTTGGTAGTGGACGGGATCGAGGGACGTTCCTTGAATACCAACAGGACCATGGACGCTGGCTTCCGGCGTCGGTAGATGCCGGAAATCTCAGCAGACGGTATCTCTCAGCGCAGGTAGTCGATCACGAGTGGCGTCCACCCACTTGGGTGCCCTCGTCAAGTGCCCTCGTCAAAGTTTCGTCCAGCCAGGTACGGCACTCCATATGCAATCCGTCTTACCTGAAACAGCTGGCTGTTGGGCGCAATGATCACGATGCTGTCGATGGCAGATGTATATTCGCCCGGCGCGTTGGCCCCAGACGGTTGGCCGCCTCGTTGCTGACGATGACGGCGAGGATAGCGTTGCCTACTTTGCGCTGGCATTGTTATCACAGCCGGTGGTATGGCCACTCTCTGAAGCATGACGAGCAAGGCTCCTTGTGGAAAGAGTGAATTTTATGCGCCGCCCAGAAAAACGACATACAGAGGAAGAAAACGAGAACGGTCGAGATGATGTCAGTCGGTCCGGAGAGGGACGAGTGACGAGAGGAGGATGAAGTTAACAAAACGAGAGGTGGCGTGCGTCCGTGCCAACCGCTACGCTACCGAGACTATTACCGGCCAACTCCAGACGCAGGTCGGAGTGTAGAGCTGGTAGTATTGTCGAGTGACAGAAATTGTGTTTATTAAAAGAAGATACAGCTGTATGCTCAACATGTTGTAGGTCGCGACATTACCAGTCCTTTTGCCATGCTATCTTCGTGTGGCAACGTTTAGTAATGTTCATATCCCGGCATGTTGATGCTGTCGACCGTGACTGCTACCGGGAGTATGCTTTCTATGCTGCGTAAGGGAGATGTGTTACGATGAATAGAGAACTAACATTTGTGGGAAATGTGTACCTGTCAAGTCGTCTGTTTATTTCTTATTTCTTATTTTTATTATTATTATTTTTTTTATGAAAAGACACAAAGGTGTATTTCATAAATAAAATAAAGAGAATAAGAGTACTCACGAACACAGCTCATGAAGCAATGAGGTATCATCTAATAGGATATCATTTGAAAGAATACTTGGCTATAGCGCTGCCTGTAAATTGTAGACGTTCAAGACACGCATTGTTTACATCCAAAGAGTACCATTGCAGCAACCCTCGATACTGTCACGGGAACTGATTCCATATGGCCGTCTCTCCTCTTTTTTTCTTCTGAAAATATAATGTCATCTAATTTATATGCATAGCCTTATTGTACTTTGTTAATACATGATAAAGAATGCACGCAGGTCGTCCCTGCTTCACTTTCTTCTTGTAATAAGGCTGAAGAGGTGGATCCAAACCAAACTAGCGCTGTTTCGGTGCCTTGAGTTCGACCAGTGTATCTTAGTGGGGACCTGCCAAATCCGCCAGCCAGTTTGGTTGCCACAATTTAACGTCATGTCGACCTCACTGCACGACTCTTCTTCTGTCCCCGTTTCGCTTTCCGACACCGCAGTTGTCTACCAGCCTCACCACCACAGAATGGCCACAGATGGACCGGCACCGACAACAATAGAGGACGCGCCTGTGTTGGCGTTTACACGCCTCACGCCGCCGGCCAAGTCGGACTCTGCCAATGCAGAGAGTTCGGCGTCCCCTCCTCCGGCTGTTGTCTTTCTCCACGGCGCCGAGTCCTGCCATCTTGAGTTTACGCGCGTGGCTGCGTGTCTGGAGGCCGACTACGACCTTTTGCTTGTTGACCTGCCGGGCCACTCGCGGTCCAGGCACATTCCCTTCAGCTTTGACAACACAATCCGTGGGCTGGCCCGACTCGTCACCGCGCACGTGGTCGCCCAAAAAGCCCACGTTGTCGGTCTGTCGCTGGGCGGCTTCCTTGCCCTCGAATGGGCCCGCCGCCATCCGGACCAGGTCCTCTCTGTCTGGTGCACCGGCTGCAGCCCCTTTACCGGCACGCGCCTGTGGTTTATGCAGCACCCGCGGCTGCTGAGCGGTCTCGTGACGCTGGCCGGGCAGCTGGCGACGGAGCGCATCTTTTGGGCGACGCTGGGCGGCGCGCAGCCCATCCCAGGGCTGCGGGACGAGGTGCAAAAGAACCAGAACATGGCGACGCTGCGGCCCGCGTACGAGGAGCTGGCCCTCGTCACAAACGACAACCTGGCGGCCATCCGCGGAAGCGTGCGCGTGGCGATTGTGGCCGGCGCCAAGATGGACAATGTGGACGATACGACGACCGCAGGCATCGTCTTGCGGCGACAGAACGCGGCCAGTGGCGCGTACGTCGTGCGCAACGCCATCCACTGGTGGTCCCTTCAGTTCCCGGAGCTGTTTGCCGAGGGCGTGCGCGCGTGGATCGAGGGCCGGCCGATGCCCGACGAATATGAGCCGTTGACGTGACGGCAGGCATCAAGACGTTGTTACCTCCCAGCGCCATCCATCGTACTTTTGCTCTACTCTGTTTTTCCACAACGTAAGTCATGCCCAAGCCAGCGCGGCCGCCATTGTACTTGCGTTGACGTTTAACTACCTAAAGTCACAGAACGGAGAGGTAATTAGATCGATAGAGTGACGAGTGCTCCGTTTTACCCCGTGCAGTAATAAAGATACATCTGTTGCTACATGTGCCGAGGCACCGAGTACGACATATTGTCGACTGGATTGCATTGTCAGTGTGTGTGGCTGGGCATGCCCCGTTATGATTGGCTGTGGTTTTGTCTTGATTTCCCCTTTGCCCCAGAATCACTACAACATGCCCTACACCGCATTGTTTCTGCCATTGTGAGCAACGGATCGCTGCAAGCAACGGCCGCATGCATGGAGCATGTTGAGGTCAGCAGGACCCCAACCATTCGCATTTGTTTCTTGTCAAATGGGCTGTAGATCGGAAAGGCTCTTAAGAACCAAGCATCTATACCCGTCAGGCTACAACGAGCTGCCACACACCCAAACGCCATGAGTTTCGAAAACGAGCAATATGCCGTCGCCGACGAGATCGCTGCGTTTTTCACAAAGACACCCGTGAGCCGCGAGGCGTGCGACAGCCTGGCCAAGGAACTGGTCGGCGGCGACAGCGTCGTCCCGGTCGCGGTGCAGGGCGCTTGTTCGTACACCGTCTACGCCGGCCATGAGTTAAGCCATGTCGTTCAGTTTCGCCTCCAGTCGCTCGAGCTCAAGGGGGAGACGGCAGCTCTCGCCCGGCGCATATTCGGGGCCTTGGCGCCCGACGTGTCCTTCCGACGGCAGCTCGGTGACGCGTCCATGGCCGATGCGGGCCGAGAGCCATTGCTCGTGTACACGATGACGCGCATACGAGGGATAAGCCGCCTGGACTTTGTGCTCGCACACGGCTTCCCCGAAAACTCACCGACCAACAAGATCCGACGGAAGACGCTGATCCAAGATGTGGCAAGGTATGTTGTTGGGTTCGTCTTTGCTTACTGTCTTGGGGAAATCCTCACACAATGTGGCACAGCTTCTTTGCTCTCGCGTGGAAAACGCCGCAGACGGTCGACACGGCCTATCGCGACCACATGGCCGCGACGTTTGAGACCGAACTGCACATCTTGCTCCGTGCCCTCCCCGACCGCTTCCATCCCGTCCTCCGCGCGACGCTGCGATCTCTGCCGGACATTCTCGCGCTTCCCATGGTTCTTCTCCACAAGGACTTGGGCGACTGCAACATCATGGTCGACGAGGCGTCTTGCCACCTGGTCGGCGTCATTGACTGGGCCGAGGCGGAGATCGGCCCCTTTGGCACCAACCTCCATTCCCTGCAAGATCTGATGAGCAAACTGCATCTCAAGAACGGATGGATCCGGTACGAGGACTACGACGATCTGGTGGCTTGTTTTTGGGAGACCCTGGACGGCGCGGTTGGCGGCCTGGACGAAGACACGAGGAAAGCCATCAAGGCGGCGCGCGTCTTGGGCTTGTTGCGGTCCTGGGCCTTCACCAGCCGGCTTGCCAATGAGCCCGCCCCGGTGCCCATCCGAGACGACGAGAGCGGGCGGTACAGGATGATGATTCTTGAGGGTCTGCTCCTGGACCCCGCGACACGATTCGAGGGATTGGAGGAGTGGATCGGAGCAGACGGGAGGGAAGACCTTTGAATTTGTCCGCGAGACAACGAGAGAGGTCGACACGGCCACCTGTGGAGAAGGGACATTATTTACATCAGCTGGCTCTCCATTTTCATCCTTGGACGCTGTTGCCTGTCGATCCTCAAAACCGTTTAATGTTGAAATTCAGAAGATGGTAGGAGGCAGACAGGATGTTCTGATATTGGCTTTCATTCCCACGTTGACGTGCTGATTTCTATCTCTTGGCCTCCATGACGACTGTTTTCCGCAACTGACGGCTTCAATGCTCTGGCCTCCTCAACGCCGACGTCTTCCAGCTGTTTCAAGAGAGCATCCTAGCGAACGTCAGGTATTGTTTATGCGTAGTGAGCAGGGCGTCTAACACGTACCAGAACACTCTCAAGAGTGGCAAAGTCGGGAGTCATCGACATTCGGTAGTTGGCCTTTCGCACAGCTTGGCATCGCAGAGCTGCGAGGATGGTTTCTTTGGGTGGAAGACTGTCCGTGTCTCTTGTTCGCGTCGGAGCAGGAATGGGAATTTCCCAGCTGTATTGTATCAGAATTGTCCGCTCCTTATCCGTCACACAGACGCCGGCAAACTGCTCGTCGGAGAGAAAGTGCAGAAGACGCCGGAACATGAGCTGCTCGGCCCAACTGCCGGCGATGGTGGCTAGGATGCTTTCTTCCATGGCGAGGCGGCCGAGTGCTGAGTGCTGCTGTGTGATGTCAAAATTATCACAACCAAACTGTTGGGGGTATGTTTGTCGGATAATGTCTTGGGAAACGACGACTCTTTTATTTGTGCTTTTATTTGTCCTTAATGGTCATGGCCGCGGCTTGTGACATGCGGTCAGCGAGACTTTCAGGCCATGACAAGTGCAAAGCAGCGTATTAGCAAGTACCGCAGAGAATGCACAATGTTTAGACCTTCCATCTATTTTGCCTCGCTCGCAGACCGTCATCTTCTCCGCCGTCCACAACACCGTATCCGCCTCGCCGGACCCCGTCCCACACCCAAAGAATGTTTGAAATGCTACCATAACAGCGGCGGTTCCGGCACGTCAGTGGATAGCGGCCGAACCCAAGGGACGGATGGCGCGGCCCGGGACGGACTACGTCCCCACGTCTTCCATTTGTGTTGTTCTCACCTGTCCTCAACCACAGTCCTCAACCACAATAGAGCACTCTCAGTATATGCAGCACACTCGAGCTAATGCTTGTTCGGCTTGCGGTGGTTGGCATCTGCTTCGGGACGCGGGAGGGCACATTGTTTCTTACAATTACCGAGAACGGGAAAACAGTTATGCATGTCCCCCACGTTTCCTCGATCGTCTGTCCGGCTGTGAAGGTTGATTGGCTGGTAAGACAGTTGAGAGAAGACAGTTGACAGCCCACACACACTCGTTTCCTTCGACCTCTTTCGTCGACCTAGGGTGGGGAGTTAGACGTCGGCCGCCTCATATTGTTTAGAAAATATGGACAGAACAAAAAGCGCCACAAAACACGCGTCTCAGCCACCAGCGGTCACCTATGAGGGCAAACTGTAGGCGCCAAACAGGCAAACAGCAGAGGGGGGTCACCTCGGTGGATGATCCGCCCTCCCGAAATGCAGGATTCTAGGAAATTGAAAACTCCTAGCACGTTGGTATTTCCGTTTCCAAAGAGATCCATTCTCACGACACCCGCATATTCTCTTATATACTCTTTTTTTCATATTGATTTTGCACTTCTCACTCGTGTAATTCCACTCCATTTGCATTTACTTTTGATAGCACTCACCCATATGCCATATACGCATTTATCTCTTCTGTGTTACGTGCGTGACAGGAAGCGCTGCGACCGCGGATATATTTATCTCCCGATGAAAAAACCAAAACAAAAAAGAACCAGACACGGCCAGATCCACAGAGATGAAATGCTCTCCTAACGCCCTGCAGACATGCCACGAAAAGTCGCTCCAGTCAGCCACAACCCGCCCTGCCCCGAAGATGCATTTCACGTCGACGACATCAGGGTCTTTGGCCTTGCGGCCTATAAGGCAGTCGTTGCGCAACAGGACATTATACAAACGGGACGAGAGGCCTGCAACACCATCCTGTCCTCTGTGCTACCGCGCGATGTCGCCCCGACCGTCACAAATTTCCTGTTGTCTGGCGCCCGCGGGCTCACCAAGAAGGACAAGGCCATCTTGTACAACTGCACGGCGCTTCGGCGGGTGGAGCGACAATGGGGCATCGAGGACATAGGCCGCTATGGCTGGCACCGCCATGGCAAGACGTTCTGCGACAGCCTGCGCACCTTGTCGAAGCAGCTCGCGTGGACAGAGGCGGCGCCGCTGGTCCGGCGGGTCATGTTCGACGGGGACGTCGGGCAGCACGGCGCAAAGGCGCTGGACCTGTCGCTGCAGCTGTGCCACGTCGAGACGATTCGACAAAACCCGGCGAGCATTACGCCGCTGGCTGGCATTGCCGACTTGCCGCCCGAACAGCAAGACAACTTCGAGCTGGACAGACACGGCTTTCTGCAGCGGTCCGTGGCCGGACAACGCAGATGGCTCCAGAACGAGGCACTGCGATTCAGAGTGCGGCTCGACGACCAGTCCGTGGCCCACGTCGCCGCCGACGGCGCGTTGTCTGAGGTGGCTGTCAATGTCTTTTTGCAGCACCTCACGCGCCACGCAAAAGCAGACGCAAAGGTCCTCTTTCGACGGGCAGCGGCGGGGAAAGACGACCTCTCGGGCGTACTGACCATCAGCGACACGGAACGGCGCTTCTTTGACTCGGTCGCCGCGCCGTTTCGGTGCCATGGCTGGTGGTACGTGGCTGTCTGGCCCGACGTGCGTCGCGCGCAGAGAACGGTGCTCGCTCTGTCGCAAAACGCTCCCCGCCGCCCGCTGCAGTGCCCGACGGAGACGGACGTACTTGTGCTCCCCGATGCGGCTCACGACAAGTTTGCGAGCAACTTCCTCGTCTTTCCTTGTCTCCGCGCCGTTGTGGCCGGTCTCGCCCGGTTCAACGGCGCAATACAACGTCACCAAATCTGCTGCAGCACCGATGTGCCGACTGTGGTCGCCGAGGTCAAGGAGATTGTGGCAGCATCGATTCTCCGATCACGCCAGGACAAGGCACGCGTGGAACACGATGCTGCTGCAAAACAGACACGAGACGCGGCAGAAGCTCCCGCAAGGCTGGGTATGTGTATTTGATTTTCGTCTAGGCAATCCGCCTCTTTTTTTTTTTTCTTTTTTTTTTTTCTCGTCTCATGTCCTTACCGTTACCGTTTAGATTCAGGCAGCTCGACGCGAGACAATCATCTCGAGCTTCTAAAAGGACTGCCGGCCCAGCATGACTTGAAAACCCTCGACGACGGGCAGCTGCTCAACGACGCCATCGTCAACTTTGGCCTCTACACCATCGGCAAGCGACATCCGAACAACACATTTTTCTTCAACTCGTTTCTCATAACGAATTGGCAGCTCCAGAGAGGAAAAGTGCAAGGACAGCCGTCCTGCGCCAAATGGACAAAAGGCACGGACCTCACCTCCTACGACTGCATCGTTGTACCGATCCATGACCCGGACCGTGTCCATTGGCTCGGCGCCATCTTGTGGCGCAACACACCAAAAGCGTCGACGAAGAAGAATGCCGACTGTGCTTTCAAGCTCACCATACTTGATTCACTCGGCGCGAACGCAAGTGGACACGACGCGTACCGCGCTGCTGTCAAGGCATGCCTGGCTCCCATCCGCATCATCGACCAACCGGCGGCTCGTGTGCCGCAGCAGACCAACGCCTGGAGTTGCGGGGACCATTTGCTCCGCAACATTGACTCTGCCCTGCGCAGTCTGCGCGAGTTTACCAGGGCCGTGGCCAAGGGTGCCAGCCTGGAGTGGGAGAGGGAGATGGACGAAAAGAACCAACGTGCCACCCTCAAAAAGGCCGCGGAGGAAACCCTCAAGGAAAACCCCGACGAAACACTAAAGGCAGGCGACGCGGCAACCGAGTCTACGAATACCACACGCAGCGGAGCTTCCGCTTCCTGTGCGGACCTGTCAGTCGTACTCGACACGACCAGCACCGGTGGCATATCCGGGACGGCTGCAGACGAGGCCGTGTGTCAGGAGGCCAGCGTGGCCGAAATCGGTATGATGCCAAACACTCAGGTTGTCTTCTTGGATATTGATCCTACGAAACTAACCACATAAAAAGTCGACGGCTTGCGCGATACGCGCTTCTTGGCCCTCGCAAGACGATTGTTCACCGCATACCAGTCTTCGAGTCTGTCCAAGGCATACGACATCGAAGCAATTATCCAATCCGCAGAAAGCAGTCCACCCACGCAGTCGACGCCGTCCACATCCGTCCCGGTTACACCAACGGCAGCGGCGGTGGCGGCCGGCCAAAATAAGAGGAGAGCGCCGGAGACATTCCTAGCGCCTCAAAGAGGACCAAAGCGACTGGTTGCGGAGCCGTCGCCCGGCGCAGCGGCGCGCTCTGCCTCGCTTCCTCCACAGAGCTCGGTCGGCATTTCCGGCCTCCCCTCTCCTCCGCCATCCGACAGCTGGCGCCCAAGTACCAATACGGATCACTGTCTACCTGCTCTGGGCGTCGACGGCAGCAGCACCGGCACATGCAGAACCCAAGCAACACTGCATCTACCGTTTGATCCAGTACATGAATCGTCCGGTGGGGCGAAGTCGGCAACATCGGAAAGGTCGACCACCGACACCCCGACCCCATGTCCTTCCTGGAACATTGACGTCTCGTTGACCGACTATGATGTCGATATTGCCAACAATCACCAGTATCTCTGCTATAAGCGCCCACCTCTCCCTTCGTTGGTTATCTATGAGGAGGCCGTCCGTTTCCTCAAAGAAGGAGGAGGAGGAGGAGGAGGAGCGACGACGGGGTGGATCCATAAGATCTTGTCCGAGGTGCCCACTGTGTGCAACTGTCCCAAGGAGTTGTATGAAATGTCCAAATGCATCGACCGGGGCCAGCAGCTCGTGGAAGCGGGCCAGGAGTTTTTGCCAGACAGTGGCAGCATCGGCGAGCACATTTACATGCGAACACAGGAAGCAGGGCGGGCCAACGTGTTTGCGGACGATGCGTGGCGGTGGGAACAGGCTGTCATTGGTATTCCGAAGCGAGGGCCGTTTCTGTTTGGATGTACTTTTCCTCGGGATGGGCTGTCTCTCCGTGTCTTGCAAGAATGGGACGGGATCGGGACCGTCTACCTCGCTCCGCGACACGATGGCCATGTGTTGTTCATGGTATCGATTTCTCGGGAACCAGGATACACGCTGGCTCTGAGCCTGCTCGTCGTTAATTGAACAACCCTCCCCCCCCCTCCACCCAAAAAGCTATCATGCGAGTATCTTTCGTATGGTGCACGTCGATTGGATCCATAGGTAGTGATTGGCAGGCGCCACCTCTTCACCCTTCATTTCCTCTGTCCCCCATGCTTCGCGTCCCTTCCAACTTGAACAGCAGAGCAGGATCCCTTGAAGATCCTTCCATTCCACAATGCAAGGGTTGGGGTCAATATAAATCCACTCAAATCGAGGAACCGTCATCCATTCCTCTGTAAGTGTCCTCATCGCCGTAGTCATGATCCAAAGGTGTGTAGAGAGGCTCCCACGAAGCGCCACTGTACAGCTCTTTTGGCCGCACACCAAAAATAAAATTAGATATTATCTAAGCGGTATTGTTCAGGTCCAGGGCAATACGTACGCAGCTGGCCGGAAAAGGAATGCCGCAGACCGGAGCTCGTACGAACGACCCGTCAACTCGGTACATTCATCTCTCTGGTGCACGTGACTCACGTGAACTGTCGGCGAGAAACGCCCTGCGTCGTGTGATGTGCTTTTAGATAGGGCAACGATAGGTGTTGGGGTGGGAAGCATTGGCAATTGTTTTCGGACATCTGTGCTCGCAGTAGAGTTTTGTTTCTGCGGATCAGAACATGTTTTGTGCGGGGTCTTTTTCAGGTTCCAGAATGGCGTGGCGCGCCCGTCCGAGATAAGCCGAGTCCTAATGTGATTAGCCATGACCAGAATGTGCCAAAGCGGGGGTGTTTGCTGTCAATACTGCCTCGTTCTTTTCTTCTCCTCCTTTTCCTTTTTTATTTTTATTTTTTATTTTACAAAATATAACTACAAGGACTAAAGGGACAACAACTAGACAAAATCGAATACAACTATTTTGCGCAGGTCCATGGATAGCTATTGAGTAGCAAAGAATAGTGCGGTGTGAAAAAAACCACAAGTTTTACGGTTTTACGGTTTTACGGCACACCAGTGTACCTTGCATTCCCGTATACCAATGCCCGTGAGTTTTTGTCCCGATTCGATCAAGATTCTGCACATTGCGTTGCTTGCCAATCAGATCACCCCAGTATACTCAGAGCGGACAGGCCGCTTCATTTTGACTGCAACTACATCGTACGTCGCCCCCCCTCCCCCCCCTTCCCCCGGGCCCCACCAAAATCCGGAGAGGGCTGCTGGCGTTCGTATCTCGTACATATTTACTTTTTCGTTTCAAGGCTGGCGCAGTTCTCCCCGCTGACTTACAAGTCGGGTGGGCCAAGCGGTTGGTGCAAAAGGCAAGTCCCGTAGTCTAGGTGTTTCTTGACACAGAAAACGAGAGACGTTGGGGCCTCGACTTGCCTATTTTTTCTTAAAAAAATATGTACGCATGCCAGACGTCAATGTGATGCCTATAAATTTATTATCCTCCAACCTTGTCTCTCAGATGATTCTTATTATGTATGCAACACGGAATCGTCTCAGTGGACCGGCTTCGGTTCACTCGACATCATAAGCCGAGTACCTGCAACAAACCCCTTTCGACAACTTACACCCACAGTATTCGTACCCCATGTGGTTTCACCTAAATCTTTCATTTTTGCATTCAACACTTCTGTCTTTTACTCGAGTTTCTTCCCGTCTCTAACTCCTGTTGCTACCATCGACCTGTCCATCATGATCTTTACCCGCAAACGTAAGCCCATGCCGCTTCATCGGCACTCCTGCACAATTTGACCCTCACGCAACCGACCATTACTGACACAAGTTGCTCTTGTCCCTGTTTCTTTTGCAGGAGCCCTCTTGGCCTGTGATTTTTGCCGACACAGGAAGCGCCGATGCGACGGCAAGCAGCCATGTTCGACATGCTGCGAGTCGAACGTCGCCTGTTGCTACCAAATGTTGCCCATCGCGCGGTGAGTACGCATGTCTGTCTGAGCACTTGCTTTTGCTGTTTACAAAATTTGTTACAACCTTGGATTGTATTTTATTTCCCTTTTCTATATATATATTTAAAAGCATTGTCTGTTTTTCATTCTAACGAGTTTCGTTCTCAGTATCGAGATGCCCGCTGCAACGAATGAGGACGCTATGCAACGCCTAAGTCGAATAGAGGCTCTCTTGGAACACCAGGGCGAGCTGTTGCAACGCCTTCTCGACCGTGAGACCAACAACTCGTCCACGGCTCTTGCTCATGACACTGCCGTCAAGCCACCCGATCCACTCCTGGTACCTCCAGTCCCTGTGTCTGCGACCAGTACGAGTGACCTCGACTCCAGTAAGACGCTCGGCTCGTCGACAACCTCGCCACTGCACCTGTTTCCATGGCGAGTTGATGGATACCCATCGCCAGGCGCCGGTACGTCCGACGACCAGCAACAGCAAGCCGTCCACGACGCGAGAGCAAGCAACACCACCGCTCCTGCGCCAACGTTTAGTTTTTCCAATGATCTTTATTCGTTCCTCTCCAGCACCAACTCCTTTGTGACCGACGACAATGCACCGATTTCCAGTTTCAACAGTTTGCCGTCTATCGAGTAGGGGAGGGTGGGTTGGGCAGTGGGGTGTCTGTGAGAGTTCAAGGAGCATAGCGGCTTACAAACATGCAGCGGGCGTACATGTGTCTTTGATAACCCGGAACATTATGCTGGGAGGAATATTGTAGGAGGACGTCCTGGTGGAGGATTGCGGTAAAGATTGATACTCCTTGGTCCTTGAGAATGAAATCGACAGTCGTATTTACTGAAACCGTGATCATGAATAAATAGGCTCCTGTATTTGAGTGTGCGTGGATGATGCTTGTAACTGTGTCCCCGGCATCCAAGTTCTTTTTTGATGCCTCGAGAGAGGAACAGGCAAATACCTGTCCCCGAAGCCATTCTTGTCTTTCCATGCCACCCCGACGGTGTTTCCAGGTCTCGTATACGAATTGCTTCTCCTCTCAATTTCCCTCATTCCTTTCCTTTTTTTTGTTTGTTATTTCCCCCCACGGCTGTCATGTCTCCACTTCACCTGAGGCAGCCTTGGCCTCTTTTTATTTCATTAAAACATTTCCTCACAGTCGTCCAACTTTCACGTCCTCCTTCCTTTGCCTTTTCATTTAGTTACTCTGAAACACCGACAAACTAATATTCGCCTTTCAAAATCCTGGTTATTTTCAAATGCTTCTCGAATCACCGTCTGATAGTTCATTTTCTTCCTACCTGTTGCAATGTCTGGTATTCAGCACAATGAACAGAAACAGAAACATGCTCGTGCCAGCCGCAAGGGCGCACCTCGACTGTATTCCTGCCACTGTGGCAACAGGTACACGAGGCGTGAGCATCTTTTACGCCACCGGCTGAACCGTACGTCCACTCGACTCTCTTCTCCACCTTGGTACTTCCCATAACTGACGTCGAATACCGACACAACAGACGCCCCGAATGGGATATACGAGTGCGATATCGACAGCTGTGGAAAACGCTTTGTTCGCTGCGACCTACTAATCCGTCATAAAGAACGCCACTCCAAGAAAGGCTTCCTTCCACGCGCGCAAAACCCTCATGTCTTCATCCCTGACGGCGTATGGTACCACAGCCAGCTACCACCGCACAGAGTGACCCAAAATAACGACGGTGCGGCAGCAGCAAGCGCCGAACCAGGCGCTGCATCCACGGCACAAACGGCTGGCGGTAACGTACTGTCCCTGCCCACCATGGACCCTCTGTTCGACCCTCTGTTCGACCCTCTGTTCGACCCTCTGTTCGACCCTCTGTTCGACCCTCTGTTCGACCCTCTGTTCGACCCTCTGTTCGACCCTCTACCCGACATACCCAAAGACATTGTCGCCCTGCCGCCCCCTGCCTTTGCGTCGAGCTCGGCAGCGCCAGGATTGCCAACACTCGTGGTCCCGAATGCCTTTACTGGCACCGCCAGCGCCTGGCGTACTCCTACAATACCCGTTCAACCCACACTGGGAGCCTCTTTCCTCCCCCGAGACGATTCGTTTGACGCACCGGTTGGCCCGGCGGAGAGCCCGTCTTTCTCGTTTCCGGAGAGACACTTTGATTAGCCTCCATCCGTGGAGAAGCAATTGACAATGACTGCTTAAATGTTTGACCGGTCTGCCTCCTTATGTATTGCATCTTAATGTTGACGGTAAATGGACTTGTTGAGATATGCGGTCGTTTGCTGCTTTCATAAGTGGGTCCTTTATGCCAAGAGCTGGCACCTTCCTCGTATGCCGGAATCTCAAGACGAGGCGTTGACTGGAGTGATGTTTGCTCACTTATATTTATTTTAATTTATGTCCTTGGAGGCGTGTGAAAATGAGTCTACAGAGAAAATATGCCGTAGAGCACCAAAATGGTGACTAGGCATGTAGCCCCTGACGCTGTAAACAAACCATTTGGTGTGCCACTAAGTAAGGATCAACAGCCAGATCGATGTGCATATTGTGTCTGTGGCCGTGACGACATACATGTACAGAGTAGTGAATACCAATAACTACAATACCAAATACCAACATTTAAGCTATACTGACCTCGTTACCACTTGTGGCCGTAGCGTCCATACTTCCTTGTCAATGCAGCCTCACGATGTCCTGACCTCACCGTCACCATTCTGTTATATGTAGATTTATTCAATGTCAATAAGATCCCGGTAATCGTATTGTCCGCTCTCTGACTTGACTGACTTTCTCTTCAAATTTCCATCTCCAGAACCCGCATCCTATAGACCGTCCTCACCATCTTCTCACCATTTCCTCACCATCTCCTCACCTTCCGTGAATCGCTCCTTCCCAACTCGTCACCACCACCAACAATCACATCGCTCCTTCCTTTTCCCCCCAAATCACCAACATCGACCTTCCATCACCTTCTCCATGACATCAAGCCACGTTTATTCTGCCCATTCGAAAGGTGGCCTGTGCGAGTGTGCAAAAACGTTACCAGCTTAGCAAGTGTTTCATTCACCGCCCAGTCTGCCAGTTTTGTATAAAAGAAGGCTCTTCCCTCTTCGAAAATCTCTCGTCCATCTTCTCCTTTTCTATCTTCTCTTTAGAATCGACAGATCCAATACACCCACACAAGGCCTTCACTTCGTTCCTCGTTTTTTAACTTCACTTCTTTGACACTGGCTGTCTCTCTTCACAACTCTCATTCATCCTTCATACTACAATCTTTTCACTCCCAACCGACTATCACGATGCCTGCCTTCAAGCTCACCACCACCACTGCGGCTCTGGCTGGCCTCCTCTTCTCGGCCCCTGCCATGGCCACCTTCACCAACTCGTGCCGCAACATCTGCATCGCTTCCGACAGCTCCAACATCCTCGTCACCGAGTGCCTCATCTCGGGCGGCAACAACGGCAACCCCAACGACCAGCAGTACCAGTGGGCCGAGCTGGATCTGAACAAGATCCTCGGCTACCGCTCGCCCGAATTCCTCACGTACACCGAGAAGTATGTTGTCCTATCCCTTTCCCCCCTTTCTCCTCCGACGTGCTCAGCGTGACTGACGATATCCCAGTGGCGACTTCTCGGTCAACAACGTCCCCTGCTTCCTTTGCTCGATGTCGGGCAGCACCATCGACTGCACCTGCTCCGGCGGCAAAGTGTCGGCAGACCTCAGTATGTTCCCCCAACACTCTCAACTCCATCTTACTTTCTCCACCACATGCTGACAATGGTTTCTCTCTAGACACCTACATTGACGATGCCACGGGCGTCCTCTGCTTCGCGGACGACCAGTTTGGCCCTATCTGCGGCGTTCCCTCGTCGCGCACCTGCTAAGCGACAACACACGAGGGAAAACCGTGAGAACAAGAGATGGAGATAGTTCATTCACGGGAGAAGAACAGGGATTTAGCTGTTGAGAAGGGATTCTGTTTCATGTACTTGATTTCCACACGATCACGACACGACCAGTCTCTTCCAACTCATGTTTTCACATCTCCTTTTCTTTAGATATTTGCATGTCCCCTTCACAGGGGAAGGTCAATGGTTGCTCAGATAACGGTCAAATTCATTCACACAACTTTATATTCTTTTAAACAATCAACCAATCTAGCCAAAACGACCAAACTGATCCACCCCATTCACCATGACTACTTGCCTCCTTCTGCCCATCACACCTTATTGATATGAACATTGCTAAAACTTCCCGCGCCATCGTTGACTAGCAGCCCCGCCATGCCCTGCGGGAAGCTGTTGTCCACAGCGGTTACAGTAGTCGTCGTCTTCCCTGTAGCAGACGATACAGAGGCAGTCAGCTCGTGCCCATGGACGGTCAGTGACAAGTGGTACCAGGTGTTGCCGACGACGCCGCCCGGGTGGGCCACACTGGACAGCACCACCATAGCGTGCGCCTCGCGGGAGAGCGTCAGGTTGCCCGTGAAGCTGTTGATGGCAGCCGTGTAGCCCTTGAAGGCGTTGAGGCCATTCCACGGAGACGTGACACGGGCATTGAGCCCAACGACGCCCGAACTGCCGACAATCATGGCGTCTGCCGCCACCGTGTAGTCGGTCCACCCCGAGGAGCCTGTGACGGCGCGGGCGTCGATGTTGCCCACCGACCCCACCGAGTACGCGTCGCCGTCGACCGACCAGCTTCCGCCGAGGTCGAACCACCCCAGCTGTCCGTGGGCAGCAAAGTCGGCGCGGTACGGCAGGACGCCGACCGGTGCGGCGCCTGTGCGTTCCGAGCAGAGACCCGAGGCGCCCTCGCTGGACGGCGTGGTGTACCGGATCGTCCCGCCTTGGAGCGGGAGAAGGTGTGGGCTGTAGTTGGCGTTGCACGCGGCCGAGGCATTGCTGGCCGCCCAGGGGGCCGGCGACCACGACCAAGCGCCGGCGCCGTTCTTGTCGCTGTTGGTAAACACGGCCCGGCGGGTCGGCGGTGCCTGCGTGTCCGTCGCGTCGTCCCAGATGGCATGGCTGGACAAGACGAGCTGTTCGGTGCTGGGGTCCCAGATCATGTACGGACTGGAGCCCGCGTACATGTGGTCGGACACGACGGGGCTCCCGATGTCGGCGGCCCGCCACTCGGTGCCGTCGCCCGTCTTCACATGCACCGGGCACCCCGGCCGGCCGCACACCTCGTAGCTCATGGCATACTGGCCGCTGGGCAACCGCGCCACGGTGGCCATCCCGGGCCGGTCGCTCTGGGCGTCGCTGGCGACGTCCACGACCACGTCGCCCCACGAGTCGCCGCCGTCCGTCGACACGACGTGCACCAGCATCTGGCTGTGCGCCGTGTTCTGGCGCTCGTCGGAAAACACGGCCACCAGCCGGTTGTGCTTGTCGAGGTAGAGGAAGGGCTCCCAGATGCCGGCGCTCGGCGGACCGCCTGTCTGCCAGGGTCGGTGTCCCACAGCTTTCCACGTCGTGCCGTGGTCGGTCGACCGCCACGTGTAAAAGTTGGTCGTGCTCTTGTCCTGCGGCACGAGGTTGCCCACCAGCAAGAGCGTGCCGGCGGCATACTTGCCCAGAGCGACGGGGAACTCAAACAGGAACGGCTGCCAGAAGAGGGACAGCGGCTGCTGTGGCCCGGACGCCGTGTCCTCGACGGTCGTCAACGTCGCCCAGGAATCGCTGCCGTCGTCACTGGCACGGATGATAAAACCGCCCGCCGTACCGTTGCCGACCGCGGTGTCAGGGCCGGTGGTGTACCAGTGCTCCCAGGTGGCCAGCAGGCGGCCATTGACCTTGTGGTCGGCCGCGTGCTGCAGCTCAATCACCCGAGCGTAGACGTTGGCCTCGTTGTCGACGGGCGGGTCCCAGAGAGAGGAGCCCTGGCTGTCGGCGGCCACGCGAAGGAAAAAGACGGAGGCGAGGCCGAGGGCGCGCACAACGCGGCTGAGGTTGACCATGTTGTCGTGTGGAATGGAGGAGACGTGAGAAACAATGAAGTCAACAACTGCGGAAAACTGAGTGCGGCAAACACAAGAGACCATGCGAGGCCGTTGATGTCAGTATCGAGGCTTCCCCGTCGAGAAAACGTCATGGCCGCCAACGACTTGAAATACTCGAGCCAAGAGGACTTGTCTCCTCACCGGTTCCCATCACCGGCGCCTCCCATCATCGTCACCTGCGGCCATCACGACACTGCCGTTGTCAATGTCGTCTTGCATTGTCGCGTGGGAATGCTGCCGATCGTCTCATGGCCGTGCCTCTTGGAGCTTCTCGGATCCTTGTCGAGAAAGCGTGTCGGAACTCGCTTCGCTGCTGGTGGCCCACCCTTTCCTGGGGGGAGACTGGTCATGTTGGGGTTGGGGCTTGTCTCTTTTTGTAATTTTTCATTTTGGAGAGCTGCGGAGCATCATCGTTCGTGATCCTCGCCGACGACGGGTAAACAGCAGCTCTCGATTGCAACATCATGCACCTCCTACCAGTCTGTGCAGCGTCTTTGTCCGCCGCCTCTGCAAGCGGCATCCGCCAGACACGCCGAATCTGGGTCGGCTGGTGCTTGGGTGCTGCTCTTAGCGTTGGCTACTGCTCACTCCAAAATGTCTTTTTGAGAGTCATTGTGATCGTTTTGAATGGTCGACGGTCCCATGTGGATCGTTCTTTCCCTGGGTCAGCGGGGATCCTTACCTCCTTCTTTCCCATTTGCGTCATTCCCCGCCGTCCCCCGACAACCCGAAAAAGGGGAAAGAGCAAGTCAATGGCGCCCCACAAAAGCGCGGGGAAGGTGCAGACAGACGGCGCAAGACAGCGTTCAATACGAAATGCGACGGAGGACGTCGGGGAGCCTCGGTGCAGTATGCAGTGCCCACAGACAAAATGTTGGAAGAAAGACGGCAATCATTGGCAGATGCTGCGGCGGGAGACTGAAGTGCGGAGAGCTGCTCCATGTGGCCCGGCAGCACAGAAAGGGACACAGAAAGGGACACAGAGCGGACAAAACTGTTTGGAGCTGACGGTGCGAGGGCCGAAAGCGGAAGGAGCAGAGCAGGACGGGCTGTGAACGTATTTAACGCGTCTCGTTGTGCCATCTTTCGGATTCCCTTTGTCCCGAAACATCTCCAAAGACACCGACTCCAGCTCTCACCACAGCGCCGCCACGACCACCACGACCACCACGACCACCAAGCCCACCATGACCACGCTCAGCATCACCACACAGCACACGATTGCGCCCGTCGACCGCAAGATCTTTTCGGGCTTTGTCGAGCACATGGGACGATGCGTCTACGGCGGGCTGGTGCCGGCGTCGTATCCCGAGGCGTCCCAGACGGACGAGTGTGTCGGCATCTTCCGCAAAGACGTGCTCGAGACGTTCCGCGACGAGCTCAAGCCGCCGCTGGTGCGGTACCCGGGCGGCAACTACTGCGCCAACTTCAACTGGCGCGACGGCGTGGGCCCCTTGGCGGAGCGCAAGAAGCGGCTGGACCTGGCGTGGCACAACACGGAGCCCAACACGTTTGGCACCAACGAGTTTGTGGCGTGGTGCCGGCTGACGGGCAGCGAGCCGTTCCTGTGCCTCAACATGGGCACGGGCGACCTGCGCGAGGCGCTGGCGTGGATCGAGTACTGCAACAGCGACGCGGACTCGTACTACGCCAACCTGCGGCGCAGCCACGGCGTCGCGAAGCCGCACGCGGTCAAGTACTGGTGCCTCGGCAACGAGGTGTACGGCGACTGGCAGGTCGCCCAGGCCAGCAAGGAGGCGTACGCGGCGCAGGCCGTGCAGTGGGCCAAGGCGATCCGGTTCCTGGACCCGACCGTCAAGCTGGTGCTGTGCGGTCAGCACGGCTACAACGACTGGGACGAGTACGTGCTGCAGCAGTGCGTCGAGTGGGTCGACTACCACTCGATCCACCTGTACACCGACCAGAAGACGCACGAGCAGGCCGTCTTTGGCCCGCGCATCGCCGAGACCTGCATCGCCTGGACGCAGGCCATGATTGACCGCGCCCGCTACGCCAAGCACGTGGCCAAGCCCGTCAAGATCTGCTTCGACGAGTGGAACGTCTGGAACACGCAAGAGTACCCCGGCGACGAGGGCCACGAGGAGGTGTACAACGTGTCCGACATGCTGGGCGTCGCCGTCTGGCTCCACGTCTTTGTGCGCCACGCCGACATTGTCGAAATCGCCTGCATCGCCCAGAGCGTCAACGTGCTGTCGCCCCTCCGCACCCGGGAGGGGCAGCTCGTCAAGCAGACCACCTGGTGGCCGTACGTGCTCATGTCGCAGTATTTGCGGGGCGGCCGCTCGGTGTCGTCCCACGTCAACAGCGTCGACGTCTGGTCGGGCGAGCGTACCGGCCAGCTCGCCCAGTTTGACGGCATGCTGCCCGAGCTAAAGTACTTGGACATGGCGGCCGTCGTCGGCGAGGACAATGTTCTCACGCTCTCGGTGGTCAATGCCAAGCTCGAGGATGTCGCGGTCGACCTCAGCATCGACGCGGACATCAAGGCCGGCCTCGAGAAGATTGTGGTCTCGGGCGAGCCGGGCGACATCAACTCGTTCGAAGACAAGGACAAGATCGTGCCTGTGCGCTCGTCACTGTCGACGGACAAGAAGGTCGTCTTCAAGCGGTGTTCTTACACGATGCTGCGATACCAGTTGTAGACCCGGCGTTGGATGCAGCAAAATGTATAGAATCTACGAGTGCGAATAGTTGAATAGATGTGTGATTATTTAATAGAAATGATTGAATAGTACAGAAGGACGATTGAGATACACACACACACATATATATATATATATAGCTGCCGACATCTGCGTTCCTCCATAACCAATGCCACTTCTACTCCTCCACCCTGCATCCGTCTCACCCTCGCCTCCTCTTCACTGCCCCACGGCTTTGTGAATGTCCTCCTGGTAGGCGGCGACGGCGGTGTTCTTGAAATCGCGGGCTTTGACCTTGCGCAGGAACAAAATGTCGAGCTCCTCGTAGGTGCGGTGCTTGGTCTCGGGCAGGCGGAAGACCACCCAGACGAGACTCAGCGCGCCCAGAAACACGAAAATGAAGGCGGCTTTGCCCTGCAGCCCGGCGGCGTCCGGGTTGATGAGGTACGGCATGACGACGCCAAAGACGATGTTGAGCAGGTTCCAGGTGTTGCGCGCGATGGCGATGGTCTTGGCGCGCAGGCGGGTGGAGCCGACCTCGCTGACAATGGCAAAGGCGACGGAGCCGACGGTCATGCTGGTGACAAAGGGCCAGCACATGAGCAGGATGGACTGGGCCCAGGCGCCGCCGTTGTTGTGGGCCGAGGCGGCGCCGCCGATGGTGATGAGGAGGAGGACGTTGCAGGTGATGCCGACCTGGTAGATGGTGCGGCGGCCAAAGTAGGTGAGCATGAGCCACGAGAGGGCCGTGCCGGTCAGGGCAATGAGCCGGTCGCCGACGGTCAGGTCGAACGCGTAGACGGTGTCGAGGCCCGCCTGCTCGAAAAAGTGTCGTAGCCGTTGAGCGGCAGGCCAAAGAAGACCTGGATGCACCAGGCCATGCAGGCAATCTCCGTCCGCCGCAGATTCACGCCCCGGAAGCAGTCGAGGTACGACGTGCCCTCCTCGTAGGCCTGCTCGAGCTGGTCCGTGTGCACCATCATGGCCATCGTCTGGCGCGGCGAGACCCGGTGCGCCGCCTTTTTGCTCGACAGCCGCCGCAGGGACACCTCGGCCTCGTCGAGCCGGCCCTGCCGCACCAGCCACCACGGCGACTCGGGCGCCAGGTAGGCCCCCAGGCACAGCGGGATCGGCCACACCCACTGCACCGCAAACGGGATGCGGTAGGCCCACGGGTTCGTGTCCGGCAGGCTGGCCACGCCGCGCAGGACGAGGGCCGCAATGAACTGCCCCAGGATCCAGGTGATGTTGATGTACGACGTCAGGTACGCGCGCAGCGGCAGCGGACACACCTCCGAGGCGTACGTCGCGCCCGTGATGCTGAACTGGCCCCAGACGATGCCGCACAAGATCTCGCCGGCCACGAGGACGCCGACGCTGGGCGCAAAGAAGGGGATGAAGACGAGCGCCGTGATCAGAACGTAGCAGCCCATGAGAATGCGGCGGTGGCCCAGGTAGTCCGTCAGCCAGCCGTTGAGCAGGACGCCCAGAAAGATGCCGATGCTGCTCGAGTTGCCAATGGCCGACTGCCACGCCGGCGAGATGACATAGCCGTCGCCCTGGGCATGGCCAAACTGCTGGCGGAAGGCGGGCAGCCCCAAGAGGGACGACAGGAAGCCCGTGTCGTACCCGTCCATGGTCGTGGCCGTCGAGATGACGACCGACCAGGCCACGGCGCGCGGGTAGGCCCGGATGCCGTCCATGAGGGACATTTTGTGCTCAGCATCGGCCGCAGCGCGGGCATCCGTCGCGAGCGTGTCGCGGGCGTGAGTTGGGCTGCCCGTGGCGTCGGATGTTGGGTCGACGTCCGCCTTGGTCGTCGACTCAACCCAGTGCTGTTGCGCGCTGGCCATTTTGGAAGGATGGTTCTCGGTGTCAGACATTATGAGGGATGGGAAGATGTGCAAATGCTGATGCGCGGGAGAGTTGAGCAGTCGGCTGGAAAGAGTTGTGTCGGCGGCGGACGCGAGGTCCTCATATACTCGGGTCAAAGTCGACGGTCGTCTCGCCGGGTCGATGGTGTCAATGACAGGACGAATGTCGAAATCTCCAAATCCCCAGGATCCATGTCATCACCAGATATCTCGCCAGTTTAAGTCGAGAACGTGGCCGTGCCGATGACTTGCCGTTGCCTTCCCCGGATTTGTGTTGCGTGGAAAACCCAATCTCCACACCCACTCTGACAGCGCACTATTCCGCATCGGACGTCGACGTCGCCCAAACCAACACCATCTCCACTTGTTAGTCTTCTTAGTGTCGAAATGGCGGATGTCGCTTCGCGTTTGATCCGCTTTTGTCGTGTTAAGGTACATTGGCTCTGCGGGTCTCGCTCCGACAGTGATCGGCAGAGTCGTAGCAGTCTGGTTCAAGTCGTCTTCTCGTCGTAGTCTGCCGGCCTCGACAGGCTGCCAGCAGATGTCTGTCGATATCCCTGATTCCATTCTCCAACTCGCGCAATAAGGAGTCATTTTCTCCAACTTGCACGGGTCGATGAAGATCCCGAGGTCGTCTGACATGACTTGTTGCCTGCATCGGTCTCTCAGACTGTGTGAGCAGTATCTGCCGTTGCTGTTATATATTGTGTCTGTCGTTGACAGTGGTCATTATTGGGAGCAACAACTCCCTTTTCTCGTCCCCATATCATCTCCTCGACTGCTTCACTACAATCACCCCCCTCGGAAGTAAACCAACCCGACCACGTCTGCCCATCATGAAAAACATCCTCCTCATCATCGCCGACGATCTCGGCCGCAACTTGGGCGTCTGCGGCGAGTCCTGTGTCAAGACGCCCAACCTCGACAAGCTCGCCGCCCAGGGCACCTACTTTGACATGGCCTTTGCCAGCACCGCGTCGTGCAGCGGCAGCCGGTCCGTGATCCAGACGGGGCTGCACACGCACGAGAACGGCCAGATCGGGCTGCTGCGCGGGTTCAACGGCCTGCACTACTTCACCACGTTTGACCACGTCGAGAGCTCGCCCAAGCTCTTCAACGACCTGGGCTACACCACGGGCATCATCAACAAGGTGCACGTCGGTCCGGACACGGTCTACCCGTGGCACTGGCGCGAGGAGAGCGCGACGCGGGACGTAGCGTGGACGGCCGAGCGCGCCAAGGCGTTCTTTGCGAGCGTCAATGCGGATGCCGACAAGAAGCCCTTCTTTCTGACGGTCGGCTACATCGACCCGCACCGCGACCACACGCGCGGCGGGTTCGGCAACTCGGGGGACTACCGGCGTGTCAGCCACCTGGCGTACGACCCCGCGTCCGTCAACGTGCCCTCCTTTCTGTCCGACGTCCCCGAAGTCCGCCAGGAACTGGCCGAGTACTACAGCGCCGTCTGGCGCATGGACCAGGGCGTGGCCCTGCTGCTGGGCGAGCTCGAGGCCGCCGGGCTGGACAACGACACGCTCGTCCTGTTCACGAGCGACAATGGCCCGCCGTTTGTCAACTCCAAGAGCACGCTGTACGACGCGGGTGTGCACCTCCCCCTCATCGTGCGCGCGCCGGGCGGCACGCCGGGCGTCGTCAACCCCAACATGGTGTCCTTTGTCGACATTCTCCCGACGTTCTTGGACTGGGCGGGCCATCCGGAGCTGAACGCCAATGGCGGCGGTGGCGGTGGCAGCAAACGACAGGGCCGGTCCTTCTTGCCGATTCTGGGCGAGTCTGCTGCTCTCCCCGGCTGGGACCACGTCTTCGGCTCCCACACGTTCCACGAGCTCACGGCCTACTACCCGACCCGCTACCTGCGCACCCGCCGGTACAAGTACCACCGCAACGTGGCCTGGCAGCTCGATTTCCCCTTCCCCGGGGACTTGTACGGGGCCGTCTCGTGGGAGGGCATGCGCAATGCCGAGGCGGCCAAGATCGGCCAGCGCACGATTGCCAACTACATCCGGCGCGGCCCGGAAGAACTGTTCGACCTCGAGGCGGACCCGGACGAGGTGCACAATTTGGCCAACGACGAGGCCCACAAGGAGGTTCTTTTGGACTGCCGCCGGCGCCTTGAAAAGTGGCAGCTCGCCACGGAGGATCCGTGGTACTTCCGCGACGGCATTTCGACGCGCGTCGTCTACAACCACATCGATGCCGGTATGAAGATGCCCGACCGCTGGGACTTTGACGTCGACAAACCGGGCAGCCGGGATGGCGTGACGGCTTTGTACAAGAGTGCTAGTGCGTAGCAGGTAGACGGTAGATAGTGATAGTACAGAGGTAGAAAAATGAATACATTGCGCGTGGTTCGTCTCATTCACTCCACATCCAGAGTCGCTCTTCGCCGGCCCAGTCGGACTGTGGCGAGCTGTATGTACTCAGGCCCGGCGACGATGTCGGCGAACCCCGGTCTGGTGCATGCACGTCGGGAATCGTCTTGCGCATGCGGGCAAATGTCGACAGCTGGTTCATGCGGACGTCGGGCGAAATGGACGTCGCGCTGTGGTTCTGGTCGGGGACGCCGGTTTCGGAGAGACGGATGACCGGATTGACAGCAATCCTTCGTTTTGCCTCGTCAACCAGCCGCGCGGCGACGCTCGCAATCGTGCCGACCGACGGGTGGTAGCTGGCCAGTGCTTGCAGGAACTGGAGGTCGATGTCGACGAGCGGCAGTATGGCATTCAGCTGGTGCTGCTTCTCGTCCCCCATGCTGACAAAGTTGGTCAGGTACAGCCACTTGATGATGATGGCATTGTACGCCGACGGCGCCACCGCCGGGTCCGTCATCGACAGCGGCTGGTGCTGCAGGGACACTTCGAAGATGGCGCTCATGGCGCACGCGTGCCCGAACCAGCCCTTGCGGCTTTCGGCCAAGAAATCGGGCGACGCCTTGACGGAGAGGCCGGTCTGCGTGCGGGCCGGGAAGAGCATGCTCGGAATCGTGCACCGGTACAGCAGGCAGTTGACTTGGTGGTACAGGACGTGCAGCGACACCAGCGCCGCCAGCCGGCCCTCGTCTTTCCGCACGGCGAGGACATCCGACGTAAACTGCAGCTCGGGCGTCAGCGCGTCCTTCCACGCCTCCAAATCGGCAATCAGCGCCACCAGCCGCCACGGGTCGTCCTTGTCGGTGTCGCTGTTGATGTACTGCAGGACGTGGTCGCGGATGAGGTAGAGGCGGACCGAGAAGGCGTCGATGCCCTGGTTGGTGGACCGTAGGGGGCCTTTCCGGCTGCTCCGTCTGGGGGCAAACGTCGTGTCCACCATGGCCGTGTGCACCGCCACCTTGTAGACAAAATGCCGCTCGTCACACGGCAGCTGGATCCGCAGGCTCGCCGTCTCCAGCACCTGCAAGTCCCGCAGTCCGCACGCCAGCATCGTGTCCAGCAGATAGCACGCCCACATTAGTCGGCGGCGGGACTCGCGGGACACGGCCGACATCTGCGACGTGTCGAGCACGTCTTCGTCATGCTCCAGATTCAGACCCAGCGCCTGTGTCATGCGCGACGCCAGGGCCGACAGCTGAAAACACTGGCGCGTCTCGCCCGTGCGCGCGGCGTGCTCGTACAGCAGCACCAGGCACATGAGCCGGCGGACGCTCATGTCGTCGAGTGCCGCCACAACAGATGCCTGGGCCTCGCGGGCCCATCCGCTGCCGACGTCCCACAGATCGTACTCCTTCATGGCAATCGTCTTAGTCGCCAGAGCACAGACGGCCAGCAGCAGAGGATCGTCTCGTGGGTGGTCCGTCGCGTCCACTTTTTGTAGAAAGGTGTGCCGGTGCAAGAAACCAAAGCATCGTAGAGGGGCGACTTCGTTGAAGAAGGCGTCGCAGAGACGGCGCACAATCACCTTGTCTGCGAGGAGGTCTACCGAGGGCAAGGGCGAGATCGGCGATGCCGTCGTTTGCGAGAGGGCAAGAATCTCCCCGGGCTCGTCGTAGACACAGCACACGTCCTTGTCGGTGCATCGCACGCATTGCGGCCGCTCGCCGCCACAGCGCTTCTTCGTTCGTCGGCAAGCATTGCACGACCGTTTTGCGCGTTGCCGTTGGAGGCCGGCTTGTGTGAAGCGGTCGCCGTTGTGCGCGCTGACAGCCTGGCCCGCCAACTGCACCCTCTCCGTCTGATGCAGACTGGCATTGTCCCCGTCCGGCCGCAAGCAGTCGACTTGTGCTCTTGTGCAATTGCGGCAAGTCGTCGCCGTCTCGTCACACTTGATCTTGCGGGCCCGGCAGGTCATGCATCCCGTACGTGTGCGGGTGCGTGTCTGCCGTCGCGTCGTCCTTGTGCTGTCCATGTAGGGTGTGGATTTGCCGGCATTGGCCCGGTTGAAAACGAGTCGTCAATGTCGACTGTTGTTTGTTTCTGGCCCCTGATTCCTGAGATGACGCGATTGTGCGGAGAGTGACATCACGTGCACCCTAAACCGTGAACGCTCTTTCTCCATCTGTGCTTTGATGATGCACCTTTCCCTTTCCGCCCTTTGTTCCAAATAGGAAACTGCACGTAGTTCGTTTGTCACTTTAGCTTACAACCAAAGCGCCCCGCAATTTCAGGTTACGTCTATTACATTTATGCAGTACTCCACGTCCGTCGAAGTGAGATAGCACAGAATAAAAACGATGCAAAATGACGAAAAATCTATAACCACGCGATCCGCTGTACGCTGTCCGGCATCTAGCATAAACTCAAACCCAATCTTCTGGCCAATTCTCCCTTTTTTGGCAGAGATGCGCCGACACACCATCTACGCTGCCGTCGACTCGGTCCTGTCCCGCAGCGGATAGCTGCTGCTCCCATACAGCGGCGTCGACTTGCTCCTCTCGATGGAGTGCGGGTCCATCACCTTGCTCGGGTGATAGACGCCAAACAGGACGGCCACGACGAGCATCAGCGTGGCGTCAAAGACGTAAATGTACACCTCGGACTTTTGCAGCGCGCCGTCGGATCCGCCTGCGTACTCGGCGACGCGAAAAATGGACCGCACCATGATCATGGCCGAGACGCCGTACAAGGCGTAGAAGAACGTCGGGCGCCGCGTGGCGAAGCCGGCAATGCGGCGGTGCACGACGATGGTGACCGCCATGAAGACGCCAAAGAACAGAATCTGGAGAATGAGTCCGCCGAGAACGACGTTTTCGCCGAGGCTGACTTTGTCGGCTGTCTTGGCCTGGGCGATGATGCCGCCGCCGCCGCCCTGCGTGAGGAAGGACAGGACGTCACCGGTCACGAATATCTTGGTGAGCCAGGTCGTGCGGATGGGCGAGTACTGCTCGGCCTGCAGGAAGCGGACGAGGCGGCCCAGCGTCATGTAGATGGACGCGGCGAGCAGTGTGGGGCCGAGCAGGAGGGTCAGGCTTTGCAGGATGTAGGGGCCGGTGGTCCAGTTGGGCGTCTCGCCGGCCGATAGGGCACGGCCAACATAGCCGACAGCTTCAACTGCGGCGGGGCATTAGTAGGAGGCCAATAGTGACCACGACGACAACGGCAGGGAGGAACACACAAACGAGACCGATGACAAACGGCACAAAGTACCACGTGCGGTGCCGGACCATGAAATAGACATGAGCAATGGTGGCGATGCCAAACAAGATCAAAAAGAGGAAGGCTGCTGCTTTGCTCGGGTTGTAGTTGTAAAGCACAAAGTTGTGCACTCCGTCGGTGGAGTTGGACGCCATTATGAGGACAATGGACGAGGACGACAAAAGAAGTCGAGTCGAAGGGAAACCGGGCAGTGACTGAGTTTGGGCGAAGAAATCGATGCGTTCCGACAATTCACAGCCGAGACGAGACCGGGCAACAGACACCAAACCTACATGGAGAAAAGATGGCGGCCATTGTTTATATATTCCAGGCCAGACTCATCACGATGACAACAAGAGACAATCAACGGCCGGCGCCAATTCAAAACTTCAAAACGGCTTCGGGCGTAACAGCGCCTAGAGCCCACCACGTCAAAGCCTGTAATCGACGGCATTGGGTCTGCCGTATAGAATACGCCCTATACGGTGTACGGAACTCTCCGAACGTAGTTCACGTCTCTCCATTTTTCAACCCCGTCTTGAAAGTTTATTTTTGCGTGCCCCTTTCCTGGTCTTGGTTCGTTTCTCGACCTGTTCTATTTTTATTCCAGTTTCAATTTCGCTCTTGGATTCATCGCATGTGGAGATCGGTTGGGCGACACGCGTATATTGGGCTGACTGATTGGGTGGTTCCTGACTAATTCAGGGGCATATCTGGACGGTGGATTGCGGAGGCTTTGTTATATGGCTGCCTGGTGATGGGAGGCCTGGCTCCAGTTTCGAAGTCAAACAGCATTGTCGATACTCGACGCCGAATCAATCCAGCTCTGAGACTCGGAGTGTTCCAACCAAGCCCATGTAGGTTATTGAGCTTTTGCTCGCGGCCTCCTTCACTCCCTCCATGAGTTAAATGGTCGCTGGTCACGTCTATTGAAGCTTTGATGTTTTCCAGCTTCACGGCCCACCACGCTAGATGCAGCCGATTCGACTTGCGTCCCACCGTACCGGATCCGCATCTCGCATCCAGCTCGGGTTCTCGGATTCGACGAGGTGTCGTGGCTCGGTCCAAATCGAGCCAACGTGCCTTTTATCGTCAAATAAGGGGGCGATTGGGGAAGACAGCGCCCGGAGCGTCTGAGCGACGGGAAATTGCCTGGTACGGGCAAACGTCCAAGCCTCGTTTTGTCTCCACCAAATAAGGTTTTGAGTTTCGCGTATTCTTCGTCGTCCTCTTTGTCAACAAAGGTGAAGTAAGCCGGGTCAATCTACCTGTCTGTCAGCCAATACGATGGCTCTCGTAATAGACACGATTCGTTTGGTCTAATTTGCGAAGCACAACAGTAGGGTCATCCTTGTCAGTGCCATTGCGACACCAAAAAGCAGGTCAGATTCTTAAATGCGTCTGCGTTGAAAAGGAAATATAATTAAAGATTCACCTTGGGTAAAGGAAACAGTCTAAATAACGATGCATCCCAGACAACAAAACGTCGCCCATTGCAACCAAAACGAACAAAAAAGACACCAGACGAATAAACGCGAGATCGTCGATCAGAAAACACCAAAATATTAACCACCCTCACATTCTCTCCCCCCAACTATCCCCCAACTCTCCCCTAACCATCACCGCTTATTTGTCCCGCACGATGATCGTCTCGCGCACATACCGTCCCTCGACGGCCACCTTGACCAGGAACTTGGCCACGCTCAACAAGTGCGCAGCGTTTGACACGCCCAGTTTGCCGCCGCCGTTGCTGGGCAGCACCTCCAACTGCGTCTCCTTGCGGGTGTCAAAGACGATGCGCATGGGCCGCACCAGCGTGTACTGCGCCCCCGTCCTGGGAAGCTCGGCGTCCAGCAGGTTGTGGTCGGCCAGCGTGTACTTGACATTGGTCCAGCCCATGAACATCTTGAGGAACGTGGGGAATCCGGCCCACGAGTCACCGATGCCGGCCGTGGACTGGATGACGATGCGGCTGACATTGTGGCTCGCCAGCACAGACACGGCATTGGCGGCCGAGTCGGCCATGAAGCGGGGCGGCGACACCGGCGCGGCAAAGGGGCTGTCGGAGGTGCGGATGCTGCCGAGGGTGAAGATGCAGCCGTCCAGGGGTGTCGACGTCGCGGTGACGGCCTTTTCGACGTCGTCCCGGTTGAGGGTGGAGCCCTTGACAATCGTGAGGCCCTTGCGGGCCTTCAGCTTGTCGGGGCTGCGGACAAGCGAGACGGCCGTGTGGCCCTGGGCCAGCAGCTCGTTGACGACGAGCTGGCCCGTGCGGCCCGTGGAACCGAGGAGAAGAAAATGCATAGTGATAAGGTAGGTGGTGTGTCTGTGTGTGAGAAGGAGAAGGCTGTGTTGGTCGCGAAGGTTGTGTCTTGTGTTGACGTCGAGAGAGAGAAGACGATTGTCGACTTTCCTTATTCTTTCATGGGAAGACACCGTCCCATACTTATAAGTGCGGAAAAAAAAGTCTTCTTCACGACACCGTCCTTACCGTCAATCTTCGGCGTGGGCGTTCTGGTGCCTGGCACAGAGCACGTCCCATGCGCAAAGCTGTGCATGTGTAAGGGGACGGCCCAGCCCTGGCCTCCGATTGGCCCGTTCGCTCAACTGTCCAAAAAGGGGAAAGCGTGTTTCGGTCACGCTAGTTCAGCCGCCGTTCTGGGAAATTTTGGTTTACCAATCACCGCCCTGACGCCCATCAGCACGCACGCGTTCGCCGACGATGCTGGCAATGCTTTGTAATTGCCTGTACTCGTCATCCAGTATCTCCGAGCGACTGCCTTCTGTATATCCGAGGCCTGCGCCATCCGGGACGTCCCTCGATGCACTGAGAATGACCACGCGTACCGTCTGGTGGAAGAACCGCAGGAAGAGGATCGACAGCAGCTCTGCGCGGGCCGTGGTGAGCTGCTCACGCTGCAGTCTGGCGTGCCACGTCGCGAGGGATCGCAGCAGATACTCTTTCTTCGACGAAAGACTAGAGACGGGTGCCCCCGCCCTGACGCCGGCCAGGAACGAGAGCGACTCCAGGGCGAGGCGAATCAGCTCCGCGCTCAGGTCGGGGGCCAGCGGACGCAGTCGCCAGCTGCTGGCGGAGCCACCGCTCTCGCTGCCGTCCGTGCTGGCCGACGACGGTGTCGTGCCGGGACTCGAGGGCGTCTCAAATGTAATGTCGGCGAATTTGCACGGCGCCGCAAACAGTTTGATCACAAAGACATCCAGCGCCGGGAGGTCTTGGGCGTCGTCGTCTTTACAGGCACGGGGACGGGCGTGGGCGGCGTTTGGATGCTGGTGCTCATACAAAATGCGCAAGCCCTGCACAATGTGCTGTGCCATGGCGGCAAGGTCTCCGCGCATCTGCTCGATGCTGATAAAGATTTGGCAGCAGAGCAGCGCAGAGCGGACGCTAGGTGTTGGGCCCAAGCTTGCGGATGACAAAGACAGATGTGAGGCCAGCCCGCCCAGGGCCAAGCAGTACTGCTGCAATCCGTAGTCGCGGCTGGGCGTGGTGCCTGGGGCCACCGCGTACGCCGAGGTGGCTTGGGCTAGCAGTGTGGACTGTGCGGAGCCCGCCCTCTCCGAGGATGCCTGTGCCGCCGCCTCCAAGTCCGCGCGCAAGGCCCGCAGCGACGACACGGCGTGCCGCACCGCGGGGTCGGTCTTGCTCGCCTGCAGGATCTGTCGGGCCTCGTCGTCGCAGGACAGCGTGACGGTGGGGAAGAGCGTCTTAGTGGAGAAGCAGCGCTGCAGGGCATCAATGTCGGCGGCAGTTATATCCGAAGCCGTCGTGTCCAGGTCCGGCGCGATGTCGTCCGAGGTGCCGTCCGATGGACCGTCAGACACCGTCAGAGCGATCGGTGCCTTGACCACGAGTGCAGGCGGCGCCGTTTGCGCCATCCCCTTTGGGGGCTCGCTCTGGTGCTCGCCGGCCCAGGCGCGAAACGGCGAGGCATACCCATCACAAGTGCGCCCTGTCGACACACACTTTTGGCACGCTGGCCGGCCCTCGTCGCATTTGACTTTGCGCGTTCTGCCGGGGAATCAGTCATCTCAGCATCCAAGCGATGCATCAGCCAGCGTAAGCAGGTGTGTTACCTACCGGCACGTAGCACAGCCCGTCTTGACCTTGCGGCGCGAGGCACGAGACTGGCCGGCAGTCTTTGGAGCGAATGCCATGACGGTCTCCATGGTGCAAAAGGGGGTCGAAATGCAGAAACAATTCCGAGCCGGCGAATCAGAGGTCAATCGGGTCGTCGCTTGCCGGCCTCGCGTCAATGTGGCTGGGGCTGTATTTCGTATTACCAAATCATTCAAGACAAGGCCCTGCGCGGGACATGGCGTACGAAGTTAGAGTCTTCGGGTGTTGGATCTGCAAGGGACGAAAGCGCGGGGAGCGTGAATGTTTGAGTGCTGAGTAAAGCAAGCTGAATCACACGGCGATCTCACCTGCCGTGCTTACGTCGGCATTGACGCTGCAGCGGGAAAGCAGGCAACAGCGCTAAACCATGTCTAGGAGAAGGAGCGAACGGGCGAATCACTGCCCTTCGTTCTCGTCGTTTGCGCATTATGTCTCCACTTTTTTTCTTGTCGGAGCTTCGCCCTTTTCGGAGCTTCGCCCACCGCCAATCCTCCGTCTACGATGCTTTTCGAAGCTTTCGATGCCCGACAGCGACGCCGACGACCGAGGGCGACAGGATGAAGATGTTTGCGACTGTAGATGGTAGATGGCCTTTGGTATTTAAGTTGGTGGTGAATTGCGAATGCGAGATCTCTAGATTGTATCTTTCGCAATAGTTACTTGTTTTCTTTTGGAAAAAAAAAATCTTAATATTGCATTTCGAAAAAAATCCATGTTCACAATTTCATTATCCAGGATTCGATTTCGGCCGAATTTGCTCGAACATTCCAATCTCACCAGATCTCACGTTTTCTCATCCCCCTTTCACAGCAAAACATTCTCCACCTCTTCCGCAATGCCCCAGTTCACTTTGTACGGCGCCCGCGGGTCGAGCAACACCGACCGTGTTCGTCTGACCCTCGCCGACGCCGGCTTTACCGACTACGACACTGTCTTGCTGAACCTCGCGACGGGTGAGCAGAAGTCGCGGGACCACGTGCAACGCCACCCATGGGGCAAAGTGCCGGCCGTTGCGTTCCCGGACAGTGACTTTGTCCTCTACGAAAGCCGCGCCATCTGCAAGTTCCTGGCGCACAAGTACAACTTTCCGCTGCTGCCTGCGACCACGGACCTGCCGGCCACGGCGCTCTTTGACCAGGCCCAGTCCGTCGAAATGCAGTATTTCGCCGAGCCCGCGGGCCGCATTAACTTTGAAACGGTGGCCAAGCGGTTCATGGGCCTGCCTGCGGACGAGACTGTCGTGGCGGCCTCCCTCAAGGCCGTCCTCGCCTACTTTGACGTCGCCGAGACGCTGTTGCAGAAGCAGGAGTACATGGCGGGGCCCACGTTCACGCTTGTCGACATTTACTACATTCCGCTGGTGACGCGCCTGTTCGCCGCCGGATACGGAGATCGCGTCATGGCCGACCGGCCGGCGGTGCGGGCGTGGTGGGGCCGCGTCACCAGCCGGCCGGGCATCCAGGCCCTGCTAGCAGCGGACAAGAAGGCGGCGGCCGCGGCCGCTGCAGCGAAGAAATAGACGCACTGTAAGTAGGTCTTACAACGGTGCGTGTATGTTTCCACGGGTATCGGGAGAGGGTGGAAGGGAGAGGTTGAATTTCTCGTTGTCGTCATTATCTCGGATTGACATCGTAGAAGAGGATACTCAAAGGGGCGTTCTGTTTTGTTAGTGCAATTTATTGATAATCCACAAAGTTGGATGTGGAAGCCTGGCCTCACTGTGCTTGCCATGGATATGCGTATTTGTCTGTCTCATACCATAGTCTTTGAATAGCATTGCTATAAATGCCTTTGCATATAACTATCGACGTAGCTTTGGATGTCTGCGAAATATTCGGGATGGGTATATCTGGCCATCAAGTAGTAGAGCGTGCATGATGCGAACGTGCTGTATCCCATTCAAATTTGACAATTGCTGTTATTGTCAAATGTCAATGATTCTTAAATTCGGTGTGGTGCTTCCGTTCTATACTACTCCACGAACTGAAATCGTCTTGGTGAACTATATGGTGTTTTAGGCCTGGTAGCTTTGAATCTGCGTGATGGAGAAATTCAAAGCGCTATAGAGAATTCTCCGTGCAGATTACTATCAGCACCATACCGGAGGCACCAACACCGACGTGATGGTTCAGCCTCGTCTCACAATGGAAGCAATCGGCCGCATACCAATGCGTAAGTTGACGGGGGTGCATCGTGGCCTACGCTGGCCGGCCTTCCCGTCCGTGGCTAAATTGAAAAAGGACAAGAGAGCAATTATCACTAACTGCATTTGTGATGGGCGTCCTGACGATGCTCTCGCCGGTCGGTCGTGTGCATCTTGGTGATGAACTAATAGAGAGCCGGTTCTCTTGGGGGGAGAAGTACGAGTGATTGTGCAGCAGGGTCAAATATAGTCCGCACAGAAACATGCCTACGGTACTAAGTCAAAAGCAAGCATGAGCTCCGTACATAGTAAAAATAGCAGGTCGACGGTAGGAACAGGTATCGTGCACATCCGTCCGGCCCGGGGCGTGAAGGCCTTTTGGAGGGATTAATCATTTGAGACTCAGCTCTCGTCATGGGTTTGTAAAGGGGCATGCATCTGGCAATGTCATGATAGCCGGGGACGATTATATGCACGAACGTGGATAATTGTGTAGCAAGTACTTGGACGTGGCACCTTTATTTGGGTTGTCACTACAGATTCTGCTGGATCTGCGTAAAAGCTGTGCATCAGTGGAGGACATTGTGCATCGTCGGAATGGCCGTCGGTGACAATCGACTAGAAACCTAAATCTGCTTTCAGGGTCCATCGTTGTACATCGTTGTGTCTCTGGCTGAGTAGTGTGACATGGTCTGCAGCCTGCAGTCCCCAGTCTTCAGACTCCGGTTTCCGTGTTCTCCATTCTCCGAATTTCTGTCTGCAGATATGCATGGCCCGTCGTATTGTTTCACGGGCCGTCCCCGAGCTGCTCATTTTCCCTTGGAATGTCTGTCCCTGGGACGCCCGTCGATCCACCCCGGTCTAGAAATATTTAAACAATTACATGTAACAATCATGGCGTCTTCTGGATCTTAGGGGATCAACAACATCTTTCGATTTGGGAGAGTGGTCGGAGGACAGAAAACTAGTTTTTAGCTGCTTAATATTTTACTATTCTGATATTCGGCAGAGTGCTCTGTACGTCTCAGGTACAACGTCTCAGGTACACGCAGAGATGCATTTGGGTGCAGAGAAGAGGCTGCACATGATGATTTGCGTACACATTCACACTTGCGGTGCATACCCTGCATGCAACTTGGGGTTTTACGGGCCAAGCTTTTGGCCTGGCTCGTGGCTCAGGTGGTACTGGTGACTCTGGTTCTCTTCGTTGAATTTTCTACGAGTCCTGCTGTCGTCATCGGCCAGGGGTAGAACATGCGAGTGGAGGACGTGGCTCGGTGGGTGGACGATGTCCTGATCAGCTGATGTTTGCATCTGTCAAAATACAGAATACGCCTGTTTACATTGCATTCAACGCCCCTGGCATCGTATCCACCTTACCACACCAGTATCCGCACCTCTCTCCACCTCCGTCGCATTTAAATTTTCCTCCACTTGGTATTGACAGGTAGTGGCCGGAGCCAAATTCTGTTGTCCTCTCAGACCTCGGACGAATTAAACTTATTTGTTTCGTTATTATGCACCTCGTTTTGCTGTGCCAATGTTACCACCATTGCGACCCACTTCCACACCATTCCCCGGGAGGCGTTCCTTATGACGTCACTGCGCGGCTTTTACTTTGGTCCCGTCCCCCCCTTTGTGAGATTTTCAGTTCCTTAACCCGACCTAGGTTTTGCCATTCACTTCCACTTTCCCCATTGGGTTATGGTTGAACTGTTATTGTTGAGCTGCAGCCGAAATGTATTGCAGCGCCTAAAGGTGTGGCAGGGACTGGCATTTGGATGGCGCATTGCCTTTTTTTCGTTTACTTTCCCAGTGCAGAATCAGAGAGGGTATCCAGGTCGTGATAGACGCATACACCGGTCAAAGACTGTTGGGTAACATCTAGAATGAGTTTGACTCCGGAGAATGTCAAAGGGACGAGGGCATCTTGCATAGCAGTATTTCCCTCGGAGTACGCGCTCTCGCGCTTTGGCGCTGAATCTGACATGGGTCATCCCACACCCCGTACAAGGGCATCCTCCACCTTTACCAACCTCCAGGATGTGCATGGGTCGAAAAACCCTGACCCAGAAACACTCCAGAGCACATGAAGAAAGCCAAGTGGAACGACCTGGCACCGAGACACTGCGAACCAGAGTCAATCGGATATCGCGCGCGTTGGCAGCTACTGCAAAGAAGTAAGATATATATCTTGTTAAGGCTCTCCGCGATAGCTGGCAGGCTATCGTCAGCTGGATAGACAACAAAAACACTGGACACGGGATAGAAACATAAATACGACGAGCGGTATTTGTACTCGTTGTCGTCCACCAACGTACAGATGCTCCGTATTATACGAGATAAGACACCGTACTGATCGACATTCATCGACATTTAAAAGTCAGCGACCCCTGGACCAAGTCCCTTTTCCTTGTGAGAACAAGACGCGAGCGGAAACGCGAGATTTACTTTGGCGACATCCCCAACCTTCGTATTCTCTTGAAAGGATACGGTGTAGACTCCCGCTTACGGTTAGACTGAGCGCGTGTCGCGGATGCAACAACAAAACCTGCGCAGGTCAAGAGCAGAGACGAGATGACAGAGTAAAAGGAACAAAGCCATACTTTGTAAACTTTCACCTTGTTTCCTCAAAAGAGCACAACTCGACTTCCAAGACACTGAGCGGGGCCCCACCTCTTGGCAGTCTTCCACCAGCGCCATGGAAAGGACAGAGGAATACGACAATAAATACGGAGCAATCTCGCTACCGTCATTACGTGTTGTGATGGAATGCTGAGTGTCTCATTCGACAGCACATGGGCAGAGCAAAACGAGGACGAAGAAGGACAGAAGAGGCAAAGAAGACGCAAAGAAGACGTGGGGGAGAGACACAAAGTCATGACGAGATGACGCAGGATGAGACACAAGAGCTTCATCCGGATTTCCGTACTCGTATGTTGTATGTTGTGCAGAGTTTTCTTAAACGCGGCTCTTCAGTCAAAAATTTCCACTTTTTCAACTTTTCGATTGATTCTTGAGATGTCTCCTGTGTGTAATTGTTCCCTTTGTTTCAGCTTACGATTTAGTGCGTGGGCTTGCCTCCCACCAAAACGTTAGCTGTCTTCCACTGCCTCTTACTGCCTTTTAGGCCCCAGGGTACCTACGAAGTACAACATAGTCTGCATCCCATCTCACCAAATGCCTGCCAGACTGCTCCTTTGCGTTTCTGGTTCCAGGGGATTTTGGCCACGCCGAGGAAGAAAAGTGGACAGCGTCGGTGGGTGAAATTAGAGGACGTCAAGCCTTGGAGATGGTAGAGACCATTAGTTGGCGCGGCGTCCTTTGCGACCCATTTATTTTGCTGCGGTCCTCTCGGTGGTTTGCTATGGTGCAACCAACTGCAGCTGTCCAACTGACAGCCACCGCAACAGCGCCGTCCGCCGCTGGGGCGAATGGCTCAGCCTCTCGGAGTGACCTCTGCAGGTCTTTTTATTTTATTTATTTCTGCTTTATTCTTCGTTTACTTTTTATATGAAATTTCTGCCAATGGCTTTTAGGGCCTCAGGGCCTTTCAGAATCGTACGATATCGACAGAAGACCACAAAAAGTCTTCGACATCGACCTCGCCTCAGGAGCCTCACGTGACGCACTATGAAAGCGATGGATGTGGAATCGTGCTGAAGCAGTCTCAACCCTCCTCATACTCGCAGCAAACTGCCCCATCGGTTCAGTGCCCGAAGGGACTCCGTAGCACCGGGCGACTCAAAATCCGCTGTGTATCCGTCAGCGACTGTACTCCCAACGTTACGCCCACAGGCCCCTGCTAGGCCTGCACACACCTGCAGCTGCTTGCATGGGAAATGACGGTAGGTTGCAGCTGGCACATGTGGGCAGGCATGGAGCATGGGTGCCCGGAGCACAGGGGTCCACTGGCACCACTTTCAGCGGACATGGCCCCGCTTCCCAGTTTTTTTGTTGTTTTTTACCGCCTTGGAGCCTCGCTATGTCAACTGAAAAGCTAGTGAGCCTTCTGTCCTTTAGTGCGACACACAAGGCCAAGCATGGGGGCGTCTTTTACTTTAAAGGCTTGGCAGGCGCAAGACCAATGCACCACCATTGGCTCGATGAGTAGGAGGGAACAAGGGCTGGTTGCTCGCGGCCAATGGGAGGCAGGCACGACCGGGGGCGAAATGTGGCCTTGGGGGCGGTACGACAAAGACGGCGTACGCCGTGAAGGACGGCTGCGGTGCGGTTCACACTACGGTGCACGCTACGGTGCACGCTACGGTCTACGCCACGGTGGCCACCGTAGCCTGTAGCGCCGCAACCACCGTAGGCTACGGCGCACTGAACGGTCTCCTACAGTGGGCCGCCTGCCAAAATGGCGCTACACGGAAGAGGAAAGCATGAAAACAGTGATCTCAAACAGCCACTGCGAAGAGGCAAGATCCTCGGTCGCGGCAGGTGGTCGTGTGCGTTCCCGCTCGCTCTTACCCTCTTTGGACGTTTCTTCCACTTTGGCCTTGCCTCTCTTCCTTTGTCGCTTCTGCTCGCTGGCGCCGCTGCTGTCTCTCGTTTCTTTAGACGGCTGTTTCTGAGCGTCGCTCTTTCCGTCTTTTGGTATTAATCTTGGATCTGCCCTTTCCTTTCCGATTCAAGTTTCCTTCGCTCCTTCTTCTTTTCCCTTCTTTTTTGTTTTCTTCTTTCCTTCTCTTTTCTGTCGTCTTTCCTTCCTTCCCTTTTCTTGTATTTGTTTTCATTCCTTCTTTCCTTCTCTTTTCAGGTTCAACTTCCACCACTTCGACGCACTGGCCCACATGTCCTGCTTCTCTCGTCGACAGCCTTGAAACGTAGAGGCTTCTTCCCCCACCGGACTTGTTTATTCTTCGTCACTCACAGCACACTCATCCTGAATAACCTCACCACCCTCATTCTTACCTCTTACCCACAACATCCACGCGTCCCGTCAACCCCACCATGTCTCCTCCCAAGTACGAAGACGACGGCGGGCTGGCCCCTGTGCCGACCAACGACGACGACGTCATTGCGCCTGCCTACAGCAACAGCGGCGGCGAAACGGACCTCAATGACAGCAAGGAGACCAACGAGAAGGTCGGCCCCCGGCCCTCGTCGCCCTCGGTCGGCGACATCCGCCGCAATTCGTCGGGCGGCTCGTCCGCCGACCGCCTGGTCGAGAATAACGCCAACCAGCTGCAGCGCCGCCTCAAGAACCGCCAAATACAGCTTCTGGCCATTGGCGGCTCCATTGGCACGGCCCTGTTCCTGAGCATCGGCAACGGTCTTATTCGCGGCGGCCCCGGCAGTCTGTTTATTGCCTACACCATGTACAGCTGCATCCTGGGCCTGGTGAACAACTGCATTGCCGAGATGACCGTGTACATGCCCGTCAGCGGCGGTTTCATCCGTCTGGCGGGCCACTGGGTCGACGACGCCTGGGGCTTCATGGCCGGCTGGAACTTTTTCCTGTACGAAGCACTGCTCATTCCGTTTGAGATCTCGGCTCTATCGGTGGTTCTATCCTATTGGCGCGACGACATCCCCCCGGCCGCCATTTGCGCCGCCGCTATTGTTGCCTACATGTGAGTGCTTTACTTCTTTTCCTTTTCCATCTATTTCTTAAAAACAAATTCGTCCGACGACCTTATTTCATCGTATTTATTCTTTTGACGACTTACGCTAACAATATAGTCTGCTCAACATCTTTGCGGTCAAAACCTACGGTGAGGCAGAGTTTTGGCTGTCTATTGGCAAGCTGATTCTTATCTTCATCCTCTACTTTTTCACGTTTATCACCATGGTCGGCGGCAACCCCAAGCACGATGCGTACGGCTTCCGTTACTGGAAGAACCCAGGTTCGTTTGCCACGTACTTGTCCGACGGCAGCATTGGGCGCTTCGAGGGTTTCCTGGCAGCTGTCTGGTCCGCGTCGTTTACGGTCGTCGGCCCCGAGTACATTTCCATGGCCGCTGCCGAGGCCAAGCACCCGCGTGTCTACATCAAGACGGCCTTTAAGACGGTCTTTTGGCGGTTCGGCGCCTTCTTCATCTTGGGCTCGCTGTGTGTCGGGATTGTCGTCGCCTACAACGACCCGCTGCTGTCGGCCGGTGCCGGCTCCGGTACCGCCGCTGGATCGCCCTACGTCGTCGCCATGACCAACCTCGGCATCCGCGTCCTGCCGGATGTTGTCAATGCCCTCTTGTTCACGAGCATCTTCTCGGCGGGCAACACCTACTGCTATTGTGCGTCGCGCAGTCTGTACGGCCTGGCCCTGGAGGGCCGCGCGCCGCGGGTCCTGACCAAGTGCTGGAACGGCAACCCGCTCTTCTGCTTCGCCATTGTCATCTGCTTCTCGCTGCTGTCGTTTCTGTCTGTGAGCAGCGGCTCCAACGTCGTGCTGACGTGGCTTGTCAACCTGATCACGGCCGGCGGCATCATCAACTACGTCGTCATCACGATGACCTACATTTGCTTCTACCGCGCGATGAAGGTCCAGGGCTTTGATCGCTCGCGGCTGCCCTACATTGGCTGGTTCCAGCCGTACGGCGCCTACATTGGCTTTGTCTGGATGTCCTTCGTGGTAATCTTCTACGGCTACTCGGCTTTCCGCCCGTGGAGCGTGGACAACTTCTTCACCTACTACACGCTCGTCCTTCTCGCGCCGATCCTGTTCTGCGGCTGGAAGCTGATCAAGCGCACGCACTGGCTCCGCCCGCACGAGGTGGACCTGGTCTGGGAGACGGAGGCGATCAAGGCGTACGAGGCGCAAGAGACGGATCCGATTATGGGTCTGTGGCAGGAGATTTTGGAGATGGTGGACATTACCAAGCTGCGCAAGAAGAAGAAGTCGGAAGTGTAAAGCGGGCATCAGTACGACTTGACGGCTTGCGCTTCATTTTGGGAGAGAGACGCATTTTTGGATTCTGGAAAGCCCAAAACAGAAGTGGCTACATACTGCATATTGCTCGATACCCATGATCATGATTCACCATTGTTTCAAAAATTTGGTTCTTACATTTCAACGACTCTTGTTTATCATTGATGTTAAGCTGTGACTGCGCGATGAGACTACGGCTTAATCTCATTCAACTTGGGAGCGGGCTGTCCTTTGTGCCACGTGTACTTGCTGCCGGGGTGGTCCGGCGGCAGGTGTGCCGGCGACACGGGCGACGTGTGCTCGGTGTTGCCCAAGAACACCTCGCGGGCCGACGTGCCCGGCACCGGGTCGTCGACGCCGCGGAACCGACCCCGTTTTCTCAGTTCGGGCAGCAGGTAGGCGATGATGTCTTCAAACGAGCCCGGGTTCGTGACGTGCGCCAGGTTGAACCCGTCGATGCCGCCCTCGTCGAGCCAGTGCTCGAGCGCATCGGCCACGGTCTGCGGCCCGCCGACAAACTTGATGCCGAGGCCGCCGACCGTCAGGAACTCGACAATGGCCCGCTTCGTCCACGGCTGGTTGTCGGTGCCGGGCACGGTGGCCGACCACCGCGCAATCAGCGACTGGATGCGCGGGTTGTCGCCGGCGAGCCGGAAGTCCTGGTCGTCGTCGTACGTGCTGAGGTCGACGCCGGTCCAGCCGCCAAACAGCGCCAGCGCGCCCTCGGTGTTGGAGTACGCCCGAAACTCCTTCTCCTTGGCGGCGGCGTCGGCGTCGTCCTTGCCCACAATAAGGTGCACGCCGGCAATGACCTTGATGTGGTCCGGGTGGCGGCCCTCCTTGGCCGCCACGGCGCGGATGTTGTCCGACGTCTGGCGCAGCAGCTGCGGCGTCTGGGCGCTGATGAAGATGGCCTCGCCGTGCTTGCCGCCAAAGCCGTTGCCGGCGGCGGACGTGCCGGCCTGGAACAAAAAGGGCGTTCGCTGCGGCGACGGCGCCACAAAGTGCGGCCCCGGCACGCGAAAGTACGTGCCCTCGTGCGCAATGTTCTGCACGGCGTCGTCGGCAATGTAGACGCCCGTCGCCCGGTCGGCCAGCACGGCGTCCGCGCGGAAGCTGCCCTCCCACAGCTTGTAGAGCACCTCGAGGTACTCGTGGGCGCGCGCGTAGCGCTCGTCGTGGGGGATCTGCTCGTCGAGCCCGTGGTTCTTGGCCGCGCTGTCCAGGTAGCTGGTGACAATGTTCCACGCAAAGCGGCCGTTGGCGTAGTGGTCGACCGTCGACAGGCGGCGCGCCAGCGCGTACGGCTGCTCATACGTGACGCTCGCCGTGACGCCAATGACCAGGTGCTTGGTAACGGCGGCCAGCGCGGGCACGAGGTACAGCGGGTCGCTGACGGGGAACTGGGCGCCGGACGCGAGCGCGGGCACAAAGTTGCCCGGCCCGCGGTAGACGTCGTAGGCGCCCAGCGTGTCGGCAATGAAGATGGCGTGGAAGCCGGCGTCGTCGAGCAGCTTGGCCAGGTCGGTCCAGAAGCCCAGCGTGTTGTACTCGTCGGTGCGGTTGGTCGGGTGGTGCCACAGACCGGCAGCCTGGTGGCCCGGGGTGTTCATGACAAACGCATTGAGGATCATTTGCTTCTTGGCGCCGGGGCCGGCAGAGGCCGCGGCGGTTGTGGTGGCGTCGGCCATGTTGGTTGAAGTGCAAGGGTGAAGACGGAGGGAGGGGAGGAGGTGAGTGTTTTCGGCCGAGAAAGGATGGGTGGAATGAGAATCAAAAGGGCATATGGTGACGCCGTATGTCGAGCTTTATCAAGCTTCCCGTTGGTCCCCTGAATGCCGTGAACCACTCGATCCCGTCATTATGTTGCTCTATTTCACAGCAACCTTTTTGGCCGATCTCTTTTGTTGGTCCCCGACGATCACTCTGGAGATGATCCGAGACAGAAACCAAATGCCGATGCAACTGCCTGGGATCGGCAACGTATGTATCTTACGTTCGTAGGTACGTTCGTAGGTACGTTCGTAGGTACGTCCATATTGGGCCCTGTTTACAAGGAAGCTGGTGCAGAGCAGAATGTTTTCTTGTGTATGCAAGCGTTCCGTGGTCGCGTCTTCGTAGTGAGATACTACTCTGGGCAACTTGTCCCGATTGGCACCAAAATGGTGTAAGTCGAGCACGAAATGGTGGACCGTGTTGACGCTACTCGCACTTCACAGGACCGTCGCCACTGGCACGTGACAGGAAACCAGGAACGATGCCTAAAGTGCATGTGACAAGTTCGTTGTGTTATTGTTTGTCTTAGAGTAATGCACCCTGTGTACCCTGGAAAGAAGTTTGTCAACAATAAGTCTTGCGTCACGTATTCCATCGCAGTACTATAAATTCATTGGTCAATTTTTTACATAGGATGTCGATTTTGTCCGTGACCTTTCCCGACGCCAAACGCCGCACCTCTCCTATTCATCCCCTTGTTAGCTTGACATGTGTACAAAATACATTATTATACGGAATATATAAGCAGATGTATCTAATAACGTAGTTTACATGAGGCCTATCTCGATCCTATCTCGTTCTCTATAACACTCACACCTTGAAGGTTCCATTTACAGTCCCTCTTTCGGTTCTCTATGGCTTGCGTGTCTCTTAAACACGCGAATTTCAAGTCTCTTTGTGGCTACGTATTTTCTGGGAGAAATCTATTTATGGGTTCTTTATTTGTGAACCTAACATAATGTTTCGGAACTTCCTTGCCACTTCCCTCTACCTCCTTGTACGAGTCTCTCTCTATCCCACCTTGGTCACCTGCTTTTTCAAGCTTGAACCGATACAACAGGACGTTTCCTTGTCCTCTTTTCTTTTCACCGAGTTCCTCTATTGCCAATCACACTTTGCCGGAAAAGCATAGACGTCTCTTTGCAGCTCGCGTTAGAGGGACCGACACCTCCGGCGGCGCTGCTGGGTGCTTTCGCTTCGTTTCCTTCTTCGCGACGCTGCTTGTGGTCGAAGCAACCGGAGCCTCGTCTGCCAGAGCTGTTGTCGGCTTTCTTGTTTTGTCCGCCTCTTCTCTGTCTCCGTCGTCTTGCTCATCACCTTCTTCAATGGCTTCAAGAATTCCGGAGGGCTGGGAAACCGCCCTCTCGTTTGCTGTGTGAATGAAGCCATCGCGGTACGTTTTGGCCAAGTCTCTGGCATTCCTCAATGCGGTGGCCCCTTGGACAAACGTTTCGCGCGTGTTCGTCATGTCAAACCCGTGCATTTTTGTTATATGGTACGCGGGTCGTCCTTCACTTGTCGACGACGTAGCGTGGTGAGCAAATATTTTCAGCGTTCCGCCGTGGTAGGTCGAGCTAAACGAATAAGCTTGACCATCGAACGTGCGTTCGTCTTCCCCGTAGTTCTGTAGACTGTGCATAGCGCGGGATCCAATTGCCCCGTCGTAACGAACTTGCCGGTCAAGCACGGCCAGAGTTCCATCGGGACCTTTTGCCTCAATAAAGAAATTTGGTGCCAATGGCTTGTTTTGTACGGTCGATGGCATAATATAACGGCCGAGCGCCTCACGTACTGGGCGGGATAGTTCTTCAGGACGGGTTCCATAATAAATGTCGGGCTTCGGTTGCGCGATGGTGCCGTCTGTGAGCGGTGCGACGTTGTTGAAGAGAATGTTACGTTCCGATGCTGGACGGCCCGTGATAAGAGCCCCTTCGCCTAAAATAACGGGTACAACATCGGTCATTACGGTATACTCGCTCGTAGCGCGGGCATTGTTATTTTGGAACGCATCGAAAGCACCCTCAGAGAACTGCGACAACGTCAGAGACGGCCGCCGTTGATTCAACGCGGCTCCGATCTCAGCCCAGTTGGTTGGCTTTTGCGACTCGTATACGGCTTGTGCGTCGTGATCTTTCAAGTGTTGCTCGAAGTCGGCATCGTACGGCGTAGACTTTTTATTTTTCTTCGCCATAGTCGATACGGTTTGGCTTGAAAGAGATGGCTCGTCGATATTAGTAGGAGGTGATGTCGGCGGCGGATACTTTCCTTTAATTAGCACTTTATTTTTAAAAGATATAAAAGGAGGGAGAGGGCAGAAGTTGTACAGCGAAAAATGAATATTACAAAAAACTCATCATCTTACATTTTGGACTTCCTTGAGATCGGGGCCGCCATACCGCGCAAACCGACCCAGGTCTTTCTTCCTCGGCATCGCACGTAAAAGAACAGATACGGTTTCGTGCGGTCGAGGAGGCCTTGGACGCTGCTGTATAAGACGGTTACGGCGATCGAGCTCCGCAAGAGCGCCTTCTGTGAGATGGAACACGGAGAGTCTGTCGTAGAACTCAGAAGGATAGACCCAGTTCGCCCATGCCTCGTGATCATCTGCCTGCGCTGCTTCTATCTGTGTCGACTGAGATTTATGGATTGTTTGGTTGATCTTCTCAGCAGACCGTTTGTTCCTCGTGGTGTTGTCTAGGCTGTCATGACTGCTACCGTTGTGATGAGATTGATCTAGCTGTACTCCAGCCATCGCAGCAGACGACGAGAGGGCGTCCCAGGGAGGGGAGATGGGGCGGTGAGGATGTTTGACGTTTAGGTCTCGGTTTGTTTGCAGAACGAAGTTTGCTGAGGCGTGTTGGCAGCTGTCTGTGGCAAAAGGCAGACTTGGCTTTATGTATCTTCTCGTCTTCGCGTCTTCCACGTACAGGAGAACAAGCGACAAGAGAACAAAGACTTGACAAATCAAAATCGTACACAGGAAAATAAATGAATAGTAAAAACCCTGCGCCTAGAGACTGTAGTATGAATTGCGATAAAAATGGAAAGAGAATAAAATAGGGCCAACACGACAATCCGCAAACGGAATAAGTGCAGCGCTCCCTTTGTTTGCGGCGACAAAAGACACCACAACCACAGTAGTTCCCATTGTTGCCGACTCCAACCAACTCATGCAGGGAGGGGCCTGGGTATTATCGGCCGGAAAATGAAGAGCGCGCCCAATATTGAATAGTGCATGGAGTTCGGACAGCACATTCGTTTCTCACATCGTTTCTCAGCAATAGACTTATGTTGCTTTCTTGTTTTCAAACGGGATGATCACAGAATCCCCACATTGACGTTTTGGTGTGCCCGATGTCTGTAGACCGGTAGCATTTTCACGGCTGGTTGCCATTGCTGCCTAGGCCTGCCACACTCGGATTTTTATCGCGACGGAGGGTGAACCGTGTGAGGATGCAAAGTATTGCTCCGTCGTCCGCAGGTAACTGCACAGTTGAGGAACCCACAACTTATGGCGGCCCGTTCCCGTGAGAATTGCCCCACCCACGTCACCTTCTGGGGCATTTCTAGCGGCTAACAATAGGCTGGCGGCGTCGGACAAATCCGTCGCCGATCCGCATAAATTACTCCTCCCCAATCAAATGTCCTCGACGACTGCACAACAAGACGCGACCATGACAGCTGGTCCGCGACCTGCCCTGCGACCTTCTGCGACCTTCTCCGCGACGGGACTCTTCCCCCCCCACTCTCTCTTTCGCTCTCCTTTCCATAAATCACGCTCCATCTCGTTTCTAGCGACGATGCACTCATGGCAAGACAAACGCGAAAACGAGCGCACGTCGATGACGGGCCTCGATCTGGCACGCGGCCTCCAGCAAAGAAGACCAAGATACGCAGCGAGACTGATCGCGAGGCTTGCGTCAACTGGACATATCCTCCCGAGTTCTACGACGGACTCTCCAAGATCAGTCTGACACGCAGGGCCTTGGACGAGCACAATCGCCGCCTCTGTCTCCAGCACCATCCTTCGTCGCCCTCGCCTGGCCCGAAAGAACGAGTGGCACATCTTACGGATACGCGTCCTATCGGGGACCTTGTTCGATTTGCGAGACAAGGCGGTCCTAATCTCTGTGATCTGCGCGGGGTAAGAAGCCAGTATTGATGGACTTTCTTGAGATGTTGTTGGGACGTTCTTTTACTTTTACTGACGAGCCCTTTGTTAGTATCCGACAACGAAAATGAGTGCGAGCCAAAAACCTTCTCGAAACCGGGTGACGGAGTCCATCGATCTAGCCTCTAACCGTCCTACTTCGACAACGACGAAGACGACCAAGTCCAAGTCGACGGCATACGACGCGAATTTCGATTTCCATCTCACGGATCATGGCGTTCTCCCACTGTATTTGTCGCAAGCGCCGGACTTGACGGACGTCCGAGATGCACTGGGAGTGCCCAGGCCGTCGCTCTCCCCGTCTCGGATTTCTGAAGACGAATTTAAAGCGTTCCAGATGGCCAACGCCCGCGCCAAAAACGAGGCGGAGGTGACGACCTACGTTATGCCAACCATCCTCGGCCCGTACCATCCCGACCACCCGTCTGCTCTTCAGACGGGGTTCAACAACCTCGAGCCGCTCACGAATGGAACCATCGGTCCGCCCGTACCGGACATATACTACGGAGCCGACCCTGGGGAGCTGGCGCGACCGATTCGGGACACGCTCAGCCACCACATCATGCCATCGACCGCAGAGGACAGGCCCTGGATACCCAACTTCTCGGTCGAGGTAAAAGGCCCCAACGGCAGACCGGTTGTGGCTACACAACAAGTACGCTACTACGGGGCGATTGGCTCGCGCGCCATACATAGCCTACAAAACTATAAAGAAGAGCAACCAATGTACGACGGCGAGGCGCACACATACAGCGCGACCTACCATGATGGTATGCTTAAGCTGTACGCCCACCACGTCACGGCGCCGGCCGATAACGCAGACCGGCCCGAGTACCATATGACCAAGATACGTGGGTTCGAGATGACAGACACTCGCGAGACGTTCCTCCAAGGAGCCACCGCATTCCGAAATACCAGGGACTTGGCAAAACGGCACCGTGATCGCTTGATTCGGGCGGCCAACACCAAGGCATTTCAGTCCGGACCATCGGTGCCCCAACACGGCGAAACACTCGAAGGGGAGCCTGCCATGGATAATTCACAGTGGCCGGGGGGCGATAAGGAGCTCCAGCAATCCATCGCCGACGCCGACTCTGTGGCGCATGGGGACGACCCGTCCTTGGAATTTGCGTCGAGCGCCACGTCCAGCGTGAGCAGCGCCAAGCGTCCTCGGCAGCCCGTGAGCCCACCCTCCCAGTCGAGGCGAAGTCGTTCCTCCAAGAGCCAGAAGCGGCCGAGGAAGAGACGGACAGCAGAGTCGCCGCCGACCATCGCAGCGCCGTGGGAGGCAAGCGAGGCGTGGGAAGATACGTAGGAAGATAAAAGAGGCGTCTTATTCATCTACGGAAAGGCTGGGCCAGAACATGGCACAATGCGTCATCCTCCACGCCTCTACTGGTTCCACTACTCGTCCACACAACCATATATATATATATATATATACTTCCCTCCCATCGTCGACACCATCCGCCATCGACCATCGTCCCTCACTCGCCAGGCTCCGGCCGGTCCGTGTCGTCGTTCTGCGGCGTGTTCTGCTTGGGAAAGTACTTGGCCACCCACATCTCGGCCAGCATGCTCTTTGTGATCTCGGTGAGATAGTAGTTGAGCGGGACGCCCGACTCGGCACTGGCGACCTTGGCCACATAGTCGTCGAGCGCCGTCATCAGCGAGTTGATGTCGAGGACCTGGTTCTCGGCCTTGTCGATGTCGCCGAGCGCGGCCAGCGAGGCCGTGATGCCGCTGGACTTGAGCGACAGCATCTTCTGGCCGAGGCGCGCGGCCTCGGCGGCCTCGCCAATGGTGGACTGGCCGGCGGCGGTGGCGTTCTGGATGCTGGCGAGGGCCTCCATGCTGGACTTGGGGTCGAAGTCGGCAAACTCGCGGACGCCCATGGCGATGTTGTTGGACTTGATGGAGGGGATGATGCCCATGGAGATGAGGGTCACGTGCGAGGTGATGTTCTGCGCGCTCAGCAGGCTCTTGACCTCGTCGCCAAAGGACGCGTTGACGCCGAAGCCGCCCGACGCGTCCTCGAACCAGGCGCCCGCCGTCATCTGCTCCTGCAGCGAATCGACCATGGACGACAGGCGGTGCGTGACGTCGTCCGACTTGGTGTTGACAATGTGCACCATGCCGACGAAGCTGGACCCGTACGTCATGCCCGTGAGCACCGAGAAGTGCTTGTCCTGGCCCGCGTCGCCGGGCGGCCCGTCCATCAGCGCCTTCATGCCCTTGAGGCTGGTCGGCGTGATGCGGTCGGCCGCGTCCGGAAAGATGCGGTTCCACGCGCGGATGCCCTTGTCCACGTTGAGGATGCACGGCGCCAGCACCGACGCGTTCTTGTGCGTGCACGACGCCGAGATGACGAGCGTGCCCGCAATCTTGTGCTGCGCGTACTGGTTGGCCGTCTGGCTCTGCGCCGTGCCGCTGGCCTGCTGCTGGAACTTGCTGCCGAAAATATCCAGCGACGACGACACAAAGGACGCCACGTTGCTGGCGTGCGCCGTGCCGTGCTGGTCGTTCTTGTCGACGCTAAAAAACTGCACGTTCATGTTCATCGAGTCGGACGCGAGCTGCATCGCCTTGACCTGCGTCTTGTTGTAGTCCACGGGGCTCTCGGCCTGCGTGTGCACCGCGTGCAGCTTGGCCCGCAGCGGCCGGATCTTCTTCTCCGCCTCGATCTTGGCGTTGGCGTAGTTGACCGCCGCCGCCTTGATGTCGGGGAGCAGGCCGTCGATGGCAGCGTCCAGCGGCCCGACCATGGCGCCGATGTCGTCCTTGCCGAATCCCAGGTTGGAAATCTCGAGCCGCGTGCTTTCTGGGACGGCGAGTGTCAGTAGGCTGTGGCATTGGAGAGTAACACGAAAGAAGGGAGAAGGGACAAGGGTGAAGGGGCTGACGACCGACCGAGGCTGCGCTTTGTCGACAGAAGCGCATTGAGCTCCTCTTCCGCCGAGTCAACATCGGCCTGGGCGACGGAGATGTCCTGGACGATTGTAAGGGTTGCCGGTGTGACAATGTTCGCCAGCACCAGGCTGGGGTCATAGGGAATGGACGACGGCATTGTGGAAGGTGGAAGGCAGAGATGGCAGAACAAAGAGTACGACTGAAGACTTGGCTCTGGACTCGTACAATTATCAACGACGACTCGCGGGCAAAGAAGCTGCCTTCATATATGTGCGCATGTGCGCTGAAAATCAGCAAAGTTGACTTTGGTTTTTTTTTTTTTTTTTTTTTTTTTTTTTTGTTACATACTATGTAGACACGTGGAAAGGAACATCGTTATGCCATTGTCCAATTCGGGTGCTCATGACCTGCACAACACAGTTCGATCTTGCACATGTCGACGCGAACTGCATTCACATCGCACTCTCCATGTAAGCGCCGTGGCGTCCAAAATGAAACTTTAGTCTCTAATGTTTTGCATTTTATGTTCTGATTTTATCGATGATTCTCTTTAGTTTCTGTCACACGGCCCTCCTCAGCTGCTGGCTGGAGGACAATGAGACCAATGCATCCAAATATTGGCTTGTCGTTCCCAATTCTGGTCGTCGTGTCTTGTTTAGGATGCGATCAAACCTAATGGAGACGAGTCCCCAATGGCACGCGCGTGCGTGACTGCCAATAAGTCGAAGCGATGCAAAAGGGGCAAAAGGGAACCGACCCCATTGGCACTGCAAAGACGGGTCACGATGTCAGTCACCGTGTTGGAGGCAGCCAATGAAAACAGAAACCAGCCAAAGGCGACGTGAGGAATGAGTCCAGAACGGGACGTCCCGTCCTGTTACGGCAACAACCGTCGAGCTAGCGGGGTGTTATGAGTCGTTTCGACGGACGCTCCTCACCAATGCGGAGAACACAGGCCAAATTTGGACTCATTGTTCTTGGCGCCGCGCCGTCGAGCTGTTGCCGCCATTGCTTGTTCTCGGCACCGGCATGTGCAGCATGTGCGCTGCGTGGATCGAAACAGGCACAGATCTTGCGAAGAGACATATTAGGACCTGGGGTGGCCTCCCATTCACCACCAACACATGTCCAGCACAACTCTTTCTCCAAGCACCAACTTACGCCGATCGTACCATAATTGTGACAACGCACGGCGTCAGATCCCTTTTTGAGCATGCGCCCTGCCCTTTTCGCCCTGTTGGCTCTGGGGCCTGTGTCCCCGGCCAGCGGCCACCCGCATTCCAGCAGCGAGGCGACCGACGTCGTGCCCCGCAGCGTGACCAGCCTCCAGTACCTCGACAAGCTGCCCGATTGGACCGCAGAGCAGCGGCACCTGCTGGACATTGGCTTTGACGAGGCCATTGACCTGGCCAAGTACGCGCGGTGGGAGCTGCTGCCGCCGGGGAAGAGCCAGGTCAACAAGAACTCCAAGATCTTCAAAAAGTACTTTCGGGCAGAGGACGTCGAGACCGTGCTGGGCGTCTTCCAGTCCCTGCTGTCGGACAGCACCACGGGCAGCGACCGGCTCCAGGCGATCCACTTTGGCAACATCGACCCGCAGGCCGCCTGCGATGCCGTCCGGTCCGGCGACCCGGTGCCGCCGGGCACCATTGCCCTGTACACGACGCCGTGGACGCTGCACGCGGCCGACAAGGCCAGCTTCATCTTCGTGTGCCCCGTGGTCTGGCAACTGGGCTACCCGCGCACCATCCACGACATCCAGTGCGAGGCGACGTGTGCCAACGCGGCCAAGAAGGAGTGCTGGCCGTCGGCACGCATGGCCACCTACGGCGGGCTCATCCTGCACGAACTGATGTAGGTTACGGCTCTTGTTAAGTTTGTAGTTACTGTCTTACATCATTTGTTCTCGATAATTAACCATCGTCCAGTCATCGAACCTCGCAAATTAAGGACCGGTGAGATTAAGATTCTGCATCAACTTATTCTAAAAACGAATACTCAAACGAACACTAACACACACAGACCAAAGGGCCTGGAAAGCGGCATCTTCGACGAGTCCTTCAAAGACACCGATGGCAAAACCGTCCTCGCGTACGACAGCTATTATACGCAGAAGCTCGTCAAGGGTGCTGAAAAGAGCAAGGCGCTGTACAACGCCGACAACTATGCCATGTTTGCGAGGGTAAGAACGAAGAGAAAAACAAAAGAAAATCCCAAATGTGGCATGTCGCCGTACCGTGGTACTGACAATTTACAGGAGGTGTGGTTCACATTGAAATGCCCGTTGATCAAGTACAAGGACCCCGACCACTGGGAGTCGACCATTCCCAACAACCTCAAGCCGAAGCCCAAGTCCGCCGGCGTCGGGGCGGGGGAGCTGTGAGGGGTGCTGAATGGGGTAAATAGAAGCGCTGGCCTGCCCAGGAAAGAGATGCCACAGCCGTTGTTGTCACCGGAACTAGGTGTCTCTGCGGTAATCGGTCCAGGCAATGCTGGCGGCGGCCTCCTTTGCGGAGAGACGGTGCGTGGGATCGTGGCGCAGCAAGCCCTGGAGGGGCCAGAGCAGGAACTTGACGGCCCAGAGATCGTACTCGGTGAATTGGTCCTTTTCATAGACCTCAGAGGCAAAGCCAGCGCACTGACGGACAATCTCTTGGCGACGGGCTTCGAAAGCGTCCTCGAGCAGCTCCTGGCGCGGGGTGGCGGCTGCTCAGAGACAGTCTTGTTAACAAAACAGTTGTGATAAAGGAAAGGAAATGAAGGTCCAAATCAATGCAATTCACCAACCATTTTCGTCTTCCTTCTTGAGATTGGCCATCATCTCCTGCAAGCGGGCATTCTAGGCCGCTGGCAAGGGGCCAAACTTGGCGACAAGCTCATAAACAATGGCGTGGTCAGGTGCTGTGACGCTGGCAATCGGTGCTGCCTGGAAAACCATGGAGTAGATCTGTCTGCGTTAGCAAATGGGACTGGGAAGTGACAAGGTGTCGTTCACACACTGTGCATCAGCAACGTACCACGCTACCAGCCATCCACAGATCATGGGTGAAGTTGACGTGATGCTCGAAAAAGGTCTCTGGCGGGCGGAGTCTGGCGGGCTGGGCCGGGCGCGTCACATTTTCGGCCATGTGGAACGCGGAGCCCCAGTCCAAGATGCGGACATCCGTCTCGCGGTCCACATACCAGGCGTCCCAGACGGCGCATGCGATGAGCTGCTTGGGGAGGCTGGCGGGACGGGGAGCATCACTCTCGTAGGCGACGGTGCGTGGGTTGGCACCGACTGTGGCAAGGAAGGTGTCGGGGTTTTTCTGGGCTTGGTCGCAAGTCAAGGCAATGTTGGCGGGACAAATGTCTGCCAGAATGAGCCGCTGTTGTCAGTTATCTGATTCTTTTAGAAACGAGAGGGCGAATGAAGACCTACCACCGTGGGCAATGCCAAGGCGGTGCACCATGTCAAGCCCCTGCAAAAGTTGCTGGGAGTAACGAAGCACCAAGTCGGGGGGCAGCAAGTCACCGTCGGCGGGGTAGCTGCTGAAGAGATCCTCCAAGGTGTGGCCGAGCACTTCCGTCACAATACAATTATGTATTCCATTGGGACCGGCATGGCGGAAGGCGTCGAGAAGCAGGAGGAAAGTGCGCGGGCCCTGCTGGTTGGTGCCGCGGTAGTGACGCTCCAGGATGCCGAGAACGCCCACTTCGCCGTCGTGGAAGAGGCTGTCGGCGGAGGCAGTGGCCTTCTTGATTTTCACAGCCACCCAAGGGCGTGCGTTGCTGTTGTTGGCATGCTCGTTGTCCCAAGCCAGCCAGACGGTGGACTGCTGTCCAAAGCCGAGTTTGTGACGGATGACATATCGTCCGTTGCAAAGAGCGTCGCCCAGGGTGACTGGATGAAAGCCACCCGAGGTGTAGCCCTCAAGAGGCTCGTGAGGTTGGATCCTACCAGATTTGGGATAGAGATCCCAGCTGATGCCAGCAGAAGAAGACGATGCCATGGCTTCGTTCGAGGCAGGGGAGTTGCGTACCGTGAGATGTTTGATGCGTTGGCGTTGGCGACCTTCGACGGTGATGGCAAAAGAAGAGGATGTGGAAGAATGAAAAAAAGAGAAGGTGAAAGTTTCGTGAATTATTTTCGGAAGAGAAGGGAAAATACCGGAGCTTCATTGTGAGTTCTGTTGTCGTTTATGGCAGGAGCTGTGGTTAGGTAAGCTTCCAGCTCGCCGCATCGTTCCTTCCTCTTGCAAATAACAACAATAACAACGCATCATGCGTCACAGTTCAAATATCACAAGTGATTCACATATGTCTCAGGTGGTAATTTGGAGAGCCTGACCGTATTGCCAACCGCCGACACCGTTTCCATATCTTGCCGCTTTTGATATCGACCATGAGCGTGAACTTTACTGCGCTCATAGCGTTGGCGATGCACCGTGCGCAGGCCATGCCCGAAGTCGTCGTACTGGATGCCGCGATGCTGCACTGTTTAGCAACGGCGAGGCTGGCGAGGCTGGCAATGCGGGGAGGACTGGTATGAACGTCGTCGTTTGTCATGTCTGGGTTGTTGATCCTTTTGACCTGCTGTGGCAGAGTGAAGTGACGGTGATGAAGATACTGGGGCGTCGAGAATGGCCGTCTCTTCCGCCCGAGGTTGGATCAGCGTGCAAAGCCAGGTTGGAAGATTGAGGCGGCAGATGGTACACGATGAACACTGATGCGAAAAAAAGACCTCTTTTATATTGCGGCATGGCTGATCGCCGGGGTGGTCAATTGTCAATGAGATCAATCGTCGGCGTGGCCTTTCGTCTGTGACTTGGCCGTGACACACAATTGTCCGGGTAACTGACAATGACGATGTTACCAGGTGAGTACTACACTGCTACAGGCCAGAATCTCAGCTAATTACTGTTTCCCCGGGAAACATCAACACCTTCTCATGCCTGACTGTATCAACCGCGGCCGATGCAGAGCAATTACTCCAGTGTCGACGCCGACAAGGACAGCTCCAGACTCCGCTGGGCACGTACGACGGGCGGTCCGTCCCAGTACTCTGCGACCGATGTGGAGACGGAAAGTTTCAATAAAACAAAAAGGAGAAACCTTCCAATGTCGCCGGCTTCCTCTTGTCGACGCGAGCAAGTTACAGAGACCCTGATCGCCGATGCAACGGCAAATGAATGTCCCGGCCAGGCCACATTGTCAATCTCGGCCAAGAGAATACTCTTGTTGGACATGAATGACTCGACGACACGGCCTTATCGTCACCGTTGTGCCATTTGTTATTTATTGTGCATCCTCAACGTTGTTCGCGCCTTCCACGCACCATCCCGGCAGACCTTCCCGATTAGGCAATGAGACGTATTAGCAACCGCTCCTTATGACACAATTTGCAGTGGGTAGTGCGCATCCGCAAACACTGCTATTGTGGGTCTCCCGCACCATCACGGCAGCACTACAGCGGTTCGCTGCAGGCCACTCTCCGCTCTCCACTGCACGTCGCAGAGTGATTCTCTTTGATCCGCTGCATTCTCTGCCGTGCAGTCGTGCGTCTGCGGCAGAATGATGCAATGCTTTCGTTGCGTACTCGGAGCCTGAGCAACGACAGCAGACGGCGTTCCAGCTCGTCAGTTGCCGTTCATATTCACTTCTCTGAATCACTCTGCGCATTCCTCGACCTGTTCCTCAAGTCGAGACGTCAGCTTCGATCGCGCTTGGCAGCGGTAGCATTGTCGAGTTGGTTTGTTGCTGCGACGGACTCCTATCGCATCACCTCGAACCCGGTCACTTTATCAACCCTCCTCAACTTCCGGTACCTCGTCACTCGTCACTCGCCACCACGTCATGGGCTCTGTCGACAGCACGGCGACCCCGCTGGGCGGCGTCCAGCTCGTCGATCGTTTTATTGACGAGCCGCGTTCTCTGCGCGTGGCCGTTGTGGGCGGTGGCCTCTCGGGCATCACCGCGGGCATTCTCCTGCCGGCCAAGGTGCCCGGCATCCAGCTCACCATTTTCGAAAAGAACAACGAGCTGTCTGGGACGTGGCTGACCAACCGCTACCCCGGCGTGCGCTGCGACATCCCCTCGCACGCTTACCAGTCGACGTTTGCGCCGAACCCGCAGTGGACAGATGCGTTTTCGTTTGGCGGCGAGATCCGGGACTACTGGCAGGGTGTCGCCAGACAGCACGGGGTGTATGACCACGTGCAGCTCGGACGACGTGTCGACGCGGCCGAGTGGTCGCAGGAAGCCGGCGAGTGGACGGTCACTGTCAGCGATGTGGCCACCGGGGCCACGTACGTCCACACCTTTGACATTCTCATCACCGCCGTCGGCATCTTCGACAACTGGGCGCTGCCCGACTACCCCGGCCTCGCCGACTTCCAGGGCCACCTGCGGCACGCACAGAACTGGGATGCGTCGTTTGATCCCGCGGGAAAACGAGTGGCCGTGATTGGCAACGGCGCCAGCGGGATCCAGCTGACGACGAACCTGCAAAAGACGGTGGCACGGCTCGACCACTACGTGCGCCACCGGACATGGATTGCGTCGTCGTTTGCAGCGAATGGAGACAAGAATGACGAGGCGACGGTCACGACGCAAGAGGACGGACAAGGCGCGCCCCGCGAGCCCGGCGACCTGGGGAGCGACATCTTCCACCACGAGCGCAAGGCCACCCCGCAACCGTACACGGAGAAGCAGCGCGCCGCGCGCGCCGCCGACCCAGAGGCCTACCTGGCGTTCCGCAAGGCGCTGGAGATCAAGTACTGGCACCGCTTTGGCACCGTCTTCAAGCACGCGCCGGCCAACGACACGCTTCGGGAACAGTTCACGGCCAGCATGCGGGAGCGCGTGCAGAAGAAGCCGGCACTCCTCCACGACCTCATCCCCGACTTCTCGCCCAACTGCCGGCGCCTGACCCCCGGGCCGGGCTACCTCGAGGCCCTGGCCGAAGACAACGTCGACTACGTGCGGACGCCGATCCGGCGGTTCACGGCCACGGGCATCGAGACGGAGGACGGCGTCGTGCGCGAGGTCGACGCCATCATCTGCGCCACGGGGGCCGACGCGTCCAAGTCGGGGCCGGGGCCGGCGCCGCCGTTTCCCATCACCGTGGCCGGGTCCACCAAATCGCTGGGCGACGTATGGACCGCCCACGGGCACCCGCACACGTACCTCGGCACGGCCACGCCCGGGTTTCCCAACCTGTTCTTCGTGCTGGGCCCCCACGCCTCGGGTCCCTCGGGCACGGTCCCCTACTCGGTCGAGACGCATGTGGCCCACCTCGCCCGGGTCCTGCGCAAGGTCGCGTCCGAGGGCATCCGCTCCATAGTGCCCTCGCGCCAGGCCGCCCTCGACTTTGAAGCCTGGGCCACGGCGTTTTTCCAGACGACCGTCTTCTCCGAGCCCTGCCGCTCGTGGTACAACGCCGGCACGCCGGGCGGCTACATCAGCGGGCTGTGGCCGGGCAGCATGGCGCATTTGGCGACGATCCGGCGGGCGCCGCGGTGGGAGGACTACGAGTACACGTACCTGGGACCAGCGGACGAGACCGGCAGCGTGAACCGATTTGCCTGGTACTTTGGCAACGGGTGGACCAGGAAGGAGACGGATCCTGCGGCGGATCTGGTGTCGTATCTACACATTCCGGGGACGGTGCCGTTGAAGGACCTACACGATGTGGAGTAGCAGATGGAGCAGGTACTGAAGTAAGCTGATGAATTATGAACCAATATTCTACATTGTATATTTGAATGTACGATGTGTCATTACTTTCGTCAGCGTCGCCACCATGGGCAGAATGGACGCCTCACTGTTTATGTGCGCCCCTCGAGCCGTACCACCAGCCGGCCGCCGCTGATCTCGCCAGCGCGCAGGCGGTCCAGGCCTGCATTGACGCGCTCGAGACCGTCCTCGACGCCCGCCACCACGGGCGGGACCAGCTTCTTGGCGGCCAGCAGGCGCTCCAGCCAGGACGACAGGGCCTCGCCCACTGCCGGCACTTCGTGGAAGAGTTTGATGGGCACATTGTGGAAGACGGTGTGCGGGGGCGGCGTGCCCTTGGGCAGGCCGGTCAGCCCCACCAGGTGGCTTTTCGGGGCCGGGGTCTGTTCCACAGCAAGATCGTCCGCGTCGGCCATGTCGGAAATGGGGGCCACCACATTGTTGTCGCCCCGTGGCGTGGCCGGCGGCGACGGCGGGCTGCTCCGTGGGGTGGTGCGGCCCGAGGCCGAGGTCGATGACGACGCCGTCGCCTTCTTGTTGCTTGCGGCGGTCGGGTCACCCCCGGCCAGGGCCTGCAGCAGCCACGCCGCCGTGTCCCGGCCGCGCGTGTCGAAGCCGAACCGCAGGCGGCTGCCGAGGTTGGCCCGCAGCACCGCGACCGCCCGTGCCGGGTCGTGGCTGTCCACCACCCAGTCCGGCTGCCACCAGCCCTTTTCCTTTTCGTCTTCTTCGTCCGCGCCGTCTTTCCGCGCCAGCCGCCACCCGTGCTTGGCCGTGTCCACGACGGCGGCCACGCGCAGCCCCGCCAGCCGCGCCAGCTGGATGGCCATGTGCGCCGACGTCGACGACGCGCCCCAGATGGCGAGCCAGTCGCCGGCCCGGGCGCGGTCGGAGGTGCCGATGCCGCGCACGCACTCGTCGCGGATGTCCGCGGCCAGCGCCGCCGGGGGCAGCCGGCGGACAATCGACAGCAGGTCGGGCCCGCCCGCGACAGACGAAAAGTCGACGCCGAGGTTGACGCCGAGGGCCAGCACGGCCGCCACAAAGGCCACGCCCATGGTGGCACCGGCCTCGCAGGACACGTGCGGCGGCAGGCGGACCGTGTTGTAGTCCCACACGACGACGTACTCTTGGTAGGCGCCCTTGCGGAGGTCGCGGTAGTCGGTCGAGATGGCCAGGACGCGGTCGCCCGTGGTGATGCGGCCAGACGTGGATGTGCTGGAGGACGTGCCAAGGGGAGCGCCTGTCTTGTCGTCCACCTCGACAGCGTTGACGACAGACACTCTCTTCGCAGCCGACGCATCGTTGGTCAAGAAGGTGTGGATGATGGGCTCGACGGCCGGGATGGGCGTGTCCTTGCCATGGACGTTGGTGGATGCCGTATTGTCTGTAACGTCGATGACAACGTCCGCCTCTGCATCTTCTGCGGCGGACGGGACCTCTGGTGACAGCAAGCCATCTGCCTTACTTGCCTCGCTCAAGCCTTGGACACTGCTCGTTTCGACTCTCGTCTTTAGCTGCACAACCTCCCCGGCACACTCCCGTCCCGCAATGTACGGCAGCTCGGGAATGGCAAAGTTGAAGTCGGGCGATTTCCAGTCGATGGGATTGAGGCCAATGACGGCCGTCCGCACCAGGATCTCGCGGTCGTGGTGCAGCTGCGGAACGGCATAGTCGTGCGTCACGTGGTACGGCTGACGAGGACCGTGAAGAAGCAAGACTCGTTGGGACGGGGGGATCTCGCGGGCGGCCTTGTCTGTGCTGGCGAGTGGGTTGCTGGTGGACATGGTGAATGTGGTGGTTGTGCGTTTGTGCCGTTGTGCAGTTGTGATGTTGGCTGATGGTTGTTGATGGATGTCGATGGATGTGTCACGGACAACATACGATTCTTCTATGATGTGGACAAGGGATTGCGAAAGACGATAAAAGTAACAGACAACATCCAAGATCAATGGGAGAGCAACGAAAATCAAAACATGTCAACAAGTCCTGCTGGGGGCGCCGAGATGGAAGGGAGAGCGCTCTAGACAAAATGTGACATACAAAATGCAAAATGAATTAAAATACTATTAAAGATGGAGTCGCGAATCAAATAAACAATAAGTTGCGCGAAGTAGACTAGCAAAAGTACAAAGATAGAATAAAATAAAAGAACAATTAGTCAACAAATGAACAGGCCACTGTGATGAAATGTGATGAAAACCATCCGAGCAAAACAGTGAACGTAGTGCAAGTTGACAAGAATACAGGGCGGCCCGACATAGGATTTGGCAAGCTACAGCGTATTTTCTACCTGCTCGACGTGTCTTTGCCCTCTTTCGTCAGTTCGGTCTCGGTCGTCGAAGAGTACAATGGTGCATCATCTCCGATCTGCACTCTAACTATGGCGTCTCATAATTCCGTGAGGCGTCCGGACAACGACATTCATGTTTTCGATAGCGATGATACCTCGGCAAACGCAGCTGTACAGGAACAAGAACAACCCCCACACTTGGCCAGGAAGAAATGTTGGCAGCAAGTCAAGACGATGTCGATGGCGTCTTCAACAAGGTGCCAATGGATCGAAGCGAAGTGGAGGTAAGTCGCCGAGTGTTGAGAGACGACTTGACATTACCAACTCACGACATACTACTGTAGCCCCCTGTAGTCACTGTAGTCCTGTGGTCACTGTAGTCCTGTAGTCACTGTAGTCACTGTAGTCACTGTAGTCACTGTAGTCACTGTAGTCACTGTAGTCCTGTAGTCACTGTAAAGGCTCACTTCGCCCACTGTAAACGCCCACTTTGCCACTGTAACAGCACCCTGCCCACTATTCGTTCCTCAACCCACTGTATGTTGTCGCCACTGCACTCCCGAATTGCCCCATCCGGCCCGTCGTTTGGCCCCGTGGATCCCGGTGTCTGTGGGCCCCGCGCCATTCTCGCTAGGATGGCGACAGCAGCAAAGGGCGCCGCATAACCATAACGCTTGTGCTTGCTGTTGTTCTGGCTTGCATCTTGCTTTTCCGTCCATTTTCTTGACCTTTTCTCGTCCTGCCCTTCTCTCCCCTCCGTACTCGGCTCGCGCAGCTCGGGTGTCTCGCGGAGGGTTTGTTCCTGTCGACGTTTGTCTTTGTCATCCTCTCGTTCCGTTTCCTAGTAGCGATGTGGACGTTATGTCGTTCATGGTCACCATGTTTCGATCTGATAACGATAATCGTACATTGGACCCTGATTCATATACTGTCCCACCCTTGCCTCGACAACCTCGTCTCGGCCGAGACCATAAGTCGTTTGGGTGGTCGTTAGCTCGTTGCTCTCGTACATGCATAAATCGTATGTCGAGTACGTCGAGGACGTTGTGTATGTCGTGTACATTCGTATCATCACTTGCGTCACCCGTCGTATGTCAATCTGTGCATTTGTTCGCATTTGCCCAACTTATTGGCTTGTATTCCATTTCCAGTCATAAATGAACAATATATATTCAAAACAAATCCAAAACTATCGTAACTAGGTCATTATTACGTACTTGCCCTCCTTCTATGACTTCCTTGCACCTCCCGGCCGCTACTCCGCATCCAAGGGGCACACCGGCGGCGTGTCGTCCACCTGGATGCCGCCGCGCTTCAGCTCCTGGCTGTCGGGGAACGGCAGCGTCCAGCCGCCTTCGGTCTCGGGCGTCGACAGCCACAGCCGCAGCAGATGGCGCCGCGGCGCGGGCGCCGGGTAGTCTTTGTAGGCGGTGCGGGCGTGCAGCAGGTGGCAGTTGCTGACAAACTGGATGTCGCCGACCTCGAGCACCATGTGCAGCGCCAGCCGCTGGCAGGTGTCCTCGAGGACCTGCATGGCGTGGCGCTGCGCGTCGCTGAGCGGCGGGATGACGCCGGCGTCCGAGTAGCGCGCCAGCGACCGCACGTAGTAGGGGTCCCACTTGCTGTAGACGCGGCCGCGGCCGCCGGGCTCGAGGTAGAAGACGGGCTGGCGCGTGTAGGGGTCGTCGCCGGCGGACACCTCGCCCTTGCGGTCAAAGTACCAGACGGGCTGCGTCAGGAGCGCGGCGACGTCCGGGTGCTCGCGCTGCAGCGTGTTCCACACGTGGTGCATGCTGACAATGTCGCTCTCGCCGCCCTCGAGCGCGCGGTGCACGCAGAGCAGGCCCACGAGGTCGCCGTCGTCGGCGTGGAAGAACTGGCGCGCCGTCGTGCGGTAGATGCGCACCTTGTGGATCTGCGTCGGGTCGTCGCCGACGTCCTTGACGTGCCCCAGCACGTGGCCGCGGCCGTTCTGCGACACAAAGTAGCCCAGGTACGTCCCCAGGCCCATGTACGCCGCGGCGTTCTTGAGCGGCGACCACCGGTCCGCCGGGAAGCCCTTGAAGAGCACAAAGCCCTTGCCGTCGAGCAGGTCGCTGCGGACGCGCCCGAGCGCCTGGGCCAGCCGCGGCAGGGGGAAGTTGTGCTTGGCAATGCCCGTCAGCGGCGTGCCGCTCGCGATGAAGGCGTCCGCCGCCGCGCTGAGCTCGTCAATCTCGGCCTCGCTGAACCGGTGCACCCACCGCTCGGGCTGGCCCTCGTAGTCTTCTTTGCGCCAGACCGTCGGGCCTGTGATCTCCTTGGGAAACGCCGCATACGGCTTGAGCTGGTCGTACAGCGGGTTGTGCTGGCCCGAGGTGCGGATGCCGTCGGGGAAGATGTCCCGTGGTGCCTGGTCGTTGCGGCGCTTCTGTGATTGGGCTGGTGTCTGCTTTGGGAGGGAGGGCGTGGGGGTCGAGGAGGGCGAGGTGGCCTCGGCCACGAGAGCACCGGGTGCCATTGCGGGGAAGTGGGATGTGATGGATGTGGTGGGATGTGTCAACCTGAGGCTGACAATACGCAATGTTATTTGTTGAGCGTAGTTGCAATGCGATATCTGAACCAGAGATCTTAACCGGACTTGTGATTTAAGATGGCGATGAAGAAGATGAAGAAGATGAACTCGTAAAACGGTCAACAGCTCAACGGACCGTCCTGTATTTATCCCCTCCCCTCAACGCAAATACGTGCGCACGACGGGACATTCGATGCTGTCATACGTTTTCTCCCTTCTTTGCCCGTATTCCACAGGGCAGGTCGTCGTCAGCAATGCGCCATCGACCGAGACGGCGTTCAAGACGGCGTTCTCAAAAGGTGTCGTTTTGCGCATTTCCGCCCTTCCACATCCGCGTCTCGGCCACTGAGGGGGAGCGAGTCATATGAATCTGCCGTTTTAGGCACTCCTTTTGCCCGCTCGCTCTGTTTTTACACGCAATTGTCACTTTTGTCAGGCGTCCGCATGGTTCCTTCAGATGTCGCAACAATGTCGACATCGCATGACGTGATTCGCTAACAACGCACTAACACGACTAACACGGCTGGAACGCCGCTACAGGGGGACGCTACAGGGTGACTAAGCGGGGTTCCCGCCACTAACGTTGCTGCTTGGGGTACCCCGGCGCACGACGTCCCTCCGCACTCTAACGCACTTTCATGCCTGCCCTCATGCACTCGCCGCAGGCGCCTGGGAGTCGCCGTTTGTCGTCTGCGCCGTTGTCGTCTCTGTTGTCTCTGTCGCCTGCTTGGCCTTCTCCCTGTCGGCAATGCCCTGGTACACGCGCGGCAGAATGTATCGCCCGTAGTCGACGGCGTCGTGGTAGTTGTCGTAGCCGCGGATGGAGATGAGCTCGGCGCCCAGGTCGACGTAGTCGAGGATGGCCTCGGCCACGGTGTCGTAGGAGCCCACGAGCGCCGTGGACGCGCCGCGCGCGTTGGTGGCCGTGACGGTCGGGTACCACAGCGCGCGGTCCTGCACGTCGCCGCGCTTGGCAATCTCGAGCAGGCGCTGCGAGCCGACGTTCTGCGGCGCGTGGCCGCCCGGCGCAAAGTTGGGGAACGTCTTGCGGAAGGTCTCCTGGTTGCCGTTGAGCACGTCGAGCGTGCGGTGCGCCTTGGCCCACGCGAGCTCCTCGGTCTCGGCCACGATGGGCCGGAACGTCACCCAGATGCGCGGGCGGTCCGTGCGGCCGGCCTTGGCGGCCTCGGCGTAGATCGTCTCAATCTGCTCCTTGGTGTCCTTGAGCGGCTCGCCCCAGAGCCCAAAGATGTCCGCCAGCGACCCGCCCACCCGGTACGCCTCGGGCGACGACCCGCCCACCGACACGGGGATCGTCGTCTTGCCGTTGGCCGGCCGCACGCGGTTGCTGTAGTTCTTGAACTGGTAGTACGTGCCCTCCCAGTCAAACGGCGCCGCGCTCGCCCACGCCCGCCGCAGGATCTTGATGTACTCCTCCAGCCGCCCGTACCGCTGCTCCTTGGTCAGAAAGTCCCCCTCCCGCGCCTGCTCCGCGTCGCTGCCGCCCGCGATGAAGTGCACCACCGCGCGCCCGTTGCTCAGCTGGTCCAGCGTCGCCAGCGCCTTGGCCGCCACCGTCGGGTACACCGTGTTGGGCCGCAGGGCCACGATGACCTTGAGGTTTTTGGTCACGGACGCAATGTACGCGCTCTGCGTCCACGGGTCGAATCCGCCCGCGTCGTACGGCAGCAGCGTGTACTTGAACCCGTAGTCGTCGAGCGTGCGCGCGTACCGCGTCAAGTACGCCGGGTCCGCCGGCGCGCCGACTTTGGGCGCAAGCTCATTGCTGTCGTTGGGGAACGTGAGGGAGATGAATTCGGTCGGCATCGTTGCGGTGTCTGCGTCAGGTGGAGGAGTGTGTGTGTGGTCTAGGGGTGAACGTGTGTACGTGTGTCGGTGTAGGTGTATGTGGGTATGAGGGTATTTTACACAGTACGATTGACGACGTGATGCATCACGACCATCAAGCGCCTCTTATATCGTCGGCTCTGCAATTGTGACCGCGTCCCACGTCTTGCCCGCGCAACGCCCGCACCTTGCCCACGTATGATGCCTTATGGCTGTCCACCTCTTGAGCTGACCCCCCTCCCAGCGATGGCGTCAACGGCCACTGGGTCGCGCCTTTGATGGTGTCAACTCAGTTGGGGCGGGTTTCCCCCCGCAATACGCGAGCTACGGAGAGAATACGTGACAAACATTGAAAACGTCAAAATCCGATTTATAATTGAAAAGAGAAAACAGAAAGGCCAAGCCAAAAAAAGGTCCGAAGGCCGGTAGAGCTGGCTGCACGAATTGCGCGCTCAGAGCGGGCACGGAGAATATATAGACGGACTTGTCGGATGATATAATCCAACGCCGTATCTTGTCTCGGAAGCACATATTGGAAGACCCTGGATCGGCCCTCTGTGCGGGGAAAGACCACGTTTGTTTCACATACACGCAGATGGGGGTGTGTGACTTACAGTCTCATGTACGAGGAAGTCGACATAGATCTTTATACTGTTTTCAAGGACAACTGAAGGCAAGTAAGCTTATTTTACTGATTACTCAAGTGGGGAAGAAACAAAACAACTAATAGTACTTCGTACATGTAAACTCCTTCACGGGAGCCTAACACTACGCCACGTTATACCGCTGTTTAATAAAACCGCATAGCGAATATATAAAGCCTTTTCTCCAACTTAGCCACGGCTCGCCTCTGCCCTTCCTCCTTTGCCCCTTGCTCGGCCACTTGTCGCTCTAGTCGATCCTTTTTTACTTTCCCTGACAGCGTGAAGATGTTTAAAGAAGAGGTATTAGTCGGTGATGGTGCGGTGGGCGAATGTTACCATCTTAGAGGCACAGGTGATTCTGTCAGAAGGGATTAGGTCCTAGAGGGCCTATGTTGGGGATCAAGGTAAAATGTCTCGTTGTATCTTTTATCACGCCGAATGGGAATATTCAAAGTGAGCCCTTTTTTTTGTAAATTTCTCTTTGACCTCTCTTTCGCTTGTTTCATTTTTTTATGACCAAAAAAAAAAAAAAAAACCTACACGAGGTGATGATTAGTAGCTGGCTTCGAGAAATTCGCTTCACGTACTGAAAAGACCCCCTGGCAAATTGAAATAACAAACTACCTGTGTAAGTGATAAAAGACTAGCATCCATGTATATTGAGACCCCCCTTTTCTCGACCAATTCTTGCTAAAGCTCCCATCATCGAGAAGAAAGGGGGCGGAAAACGGCTCGACGCGGCTCCTGCCGTTAGCCTATTGGATGACGGCCGACGTCACGTGAGCATGCAAAAGGAGACGACTCCTGATCAGCAGGCCGAACTCTCACGACCTCTGATCAGAGGTCATGAGCGTGAGGATGGGAAGAAAATGGAAGTGTTCTACTGACTCGAGGACTCCTTCGTTGCCAATTACACCTGCCAACAAAACAGGGTGCGAGTAGTGAGGGCGTTATAGACCGAGAGGGCACGACTCGCCACCCCGTTTCACTAAGAAACCCGCTCTTCGCTTCGTGTAGTAAATGCGGCGACCAATCTTGTGTTGGCTCACAACCTCCCCGTTGTAGGTATCTGTTTGCCAGTCGGTCTTCTTGGTCGAGACAACACGATGTTTGCTATCGCGAAAGAGGTACTTGTCTGCAGCAAAGCTGTGCTGTTCCTTTCGTACACGAGAGACTTCTAGTTTGTTAATATTCTTCCTATTTTTTTTAAACTTGCGAGTGATTCCTTTTCTTTCTCAAAGGCAGTTATGAATACTGGTGAGGATTTTGGCTTAATGGGGATACATATGTTCCTCGCCAGGTTTTTTATTAATAAGCAGAATTCTCGCATGATCCACGTGGTATAACGGAGCAGGACGTTTGTGCTTCTCCGCATTCTTGATTCTTTCATTTCATCTACAGTCAACGGCCGATCGCCGTTATTATTATCGTCAATCATGGCTGATGCTGCCATCCAGCCATCGCAGCCGGTGGCGAATCCGCCGGTCGTTAAAAGAGCTCGTCGTCACCGGCCTGCATGGCACCGCCCACCCGAGCAGTACCAGAGCCAAAGCGTGATGGCTGCCCTCTTCAAGGCTCTCGAGACAAACGATCTCCATACGTTTGACAAGGTCATTTCCGCGTTCCTTGCACTTGGTCCGGCCACAGGCCGCGACGCACGAACCATCCACTCGCTTTCCTCCATTATGTACGATGTGCTGCGTGTCGACAACGTCGCGTTTGCCGAGCGGCTGCTCCAGCGCGGTGTCCCTATCCGGCACGATGTTTTCGGGGCCGCACTCGACGAGAGCGCCCTCCGCTGCCTGGCACTGTTTCTCCGGTCGGGTTACGACGTGAACGAACCCGAGGGCGCCACCACGCCACCAGTCTGGGCCTTCTTTTCCGATGACGAGGAGCTGACCTACTGGCTGCTAGACCACGGCGCCAACATGAACGTGGACGCGCCGTACTGGAACATGACGGCCATGTCCAATGTTGTCCAATGGGGCACGCTCGAGCTGGTGTGCGACCTCCTCAACGACCCCCGCCACCTCGTCGACATGAACAAGGGCGACCTGCTGCACTACGCACTCAACCGCGAGACCGACGACATCGTGCCGGTCCTGGCGCTGCTGCTCGACCACGGCGCTCCGATCAACGAGGGCCTGTTTGCACGCCACCGCAGCTGCGCCGAGAGAATGCACTTCATGCCGCAGGGCCCGCCCCTGCACACGGCCGCCGAAAAGGGCAACCTAAAGGCCGTGCAGTTCCTGCTGTCGCGCCACGCCGACGTGTCCATCCGCGACACCAAGGGCGAGACCGCGCTGTGTGTTGCGCAGACAAACGGGCACACAGAGATTGCCGAGGTGCTGCAAGAGGCCATGGCCAAGTACAAGGCGCAGCACTTGTAACGGTGCTCGTAAAGGAAGAGTGTGGGAGGAGTGTAAGAAGAGTTTTTTTTTTTGTGCATTAGATTGTCTTGTCACGCCAGACAGTGAAAGTGTGGTCCGTCGTCGACTCCGACGAGCTCCGCCAGGCCGTCGGCACCTGGCTCGATTTGTACCCCGACGCCGCGTGAGGACGCCCCTGCTCCCCGTCCCCTCCCCGACGAGCCTTCCCTGTTTTTTGTTCTTGTGTCAGCTCTGCTCTTTTATCCGTATGTGGTTACACGGTTCTCAGTGTCGCTGTGTTTGTGGTTCAAAGGCTGCCGGCCTCCATATTGTACAGTTTGGATTGTTACTGTGTTCTAGGGCTGTTGCGGGTGTGTGGCTCTGAAAAGTAATTCGAGCAAAGGTGGACAAGAGATAGAGACACATTATATAACTATCGAATGGTTTTTATATCCGTAGTGCCAGTAAATCAAAATAAAATCCCCTCCCGAACCAAGGATAAGAAGGCCAGCCTTCTTTCTTAATTTTTATTCAAAACAATCACGGGTCAACAAGTGACCCGAAAAGAAACCATATCGTGTAGGGTCTCTTACGCCAAATGGCAGAGTCGGACAATTTGCGGGATTGTATCTATAAGTGGAGATGTACTTCGAGGGAAAGAAGCATCACCGAGTGTTGCTTTTAGCTCCGAGAAAGAATAGCTGCTTCAGCCGAGGTTCTGTCATGGCCATTACGGCGGGAAACAACTTACCTGGCGAAAAAAAATAACGATTTTTGTCAGTATGCCAATATGAAAAAGAGCCACCAAGTCGGGCTGCGGATGGGACTTGGGTGCACGGCGGCCCCTCGGGTCTGGCCTAGTATGCCTGTTACAAGGGAGACCGGCTCCGAACTTCCCCTCCAGCACCCTGAGGTGGCAGTCCTTCTTCCTTTTCTCCCCAAATATGTTTGCGAAGGAGGCCTCGCCGGTGGTGCGGTATAAATGCTCGGCCGACGACTGAGGTGGGCGTTTACGCTTATCAAGAGGTTACCGTTCGCGCCGTTGTCTGTCTTTTTGATTCGCGTATATAAAGATGTTGTCGCACGGCGGAGCGTTGTGTGTGCGAGGCTGCAAGGAAATGAGACTGTCTTGCTTTATTGCACTTGCAGAGTGCAGGCTTCTATAAATACGGCTCTCTTCTCCCTCCGTTTGGGCTTCTGAAACCCTTCCAAGAAACGAGACACCCGTCACTCGCCAAACCTTCCCTGTCCGAGAGATTTACGCCATCAACCATGCCATCTCCCGTTGCAAAATTGTGTTAAAAATATAAAAGGCCCGGCCGTTAAATACGACCGTGGGGAAAGGATAAAGGGAAACGTGCGGATGTAGCATTCGAGAGGAGAAATTCTCGAGGAAAGTCCACCCATGAGTTCCACTACCTCAGCCCTGCCGGGGGAGGCGTCATGAAGAACCCATTCTCGTACAAGTCCGCCAAAAGCAGGCGCGTCAGGGGTTTGTGTTCAGAAGCGGCGTGAAGACTCTCGGCTGTCTTGATTTTCGTCGTCAGGCGGCACAATGGACGGCATGCCCAGTGACTGTCTGAAGGTTTCGGTTCTGCGCCTTGTTTTTGTTGCTGTCCTTCCATCGTTTGCTGCCCATGGTAACTACCTGGAGTGGCATGAAAGGGACTGTCTGTGGGAGAATAACTAAGGTTCGTGCAAAACACATGTGTGCCATAATGGTGCTAGTACTTGCATTCATTTGTGACCTTGCTGCTGATTTGCAATGGTTCGCCACGACCCGCCATTTGCAGAGGTTTTCTCCTGCTTCGTACGGACGCAAGAGCTCCAACGCTGGAGCCAGGTCGCCGATGAAAGTGCTTTCCGCATGCACCCAAATGGACGGGCGCTCCTCGTACGAGAACGCTCAGACGAGGAAAAAGACAGGGATATTGTTCAAATTCAATTTTCCTCTGTTTTGGACGTAAGGTCGTGGTGTCAAATGGCGAAGCCGAATGGCCTCAAAACCGGCCGATCGAACGATGAAATCCCAGCGATACGTCTTCTTTTCACCCTTGATCAGCGCTGCTGGAGGGAAGGTCCAGATCGAGAACAGTCCTCTTGAACCAGGGCCAATACCGTGTGAGTCCGTCGCGGACGAGATACTGCAGCCCGCGGATGATCTTATACAGCCCAATCACACTCTTCGACGAGCCAAACAAAAAATCGGACCACAGGATCGTCTTGTCGCCCTCGCGCGTCGTCGCCACGAAGTACCAGTCGTGGCCCGCGATGATCACGCCCGGCAGGAACGCGCACCCACCAAGACCACCTCGACGCGGCGCCGCCATCTGCTGCAGCATCTTCCACTGCGCCGCGTGCCACACGCCGATCTGCAGCTCGGCGGCGTCGCTCGAACGATGCTGGCGCTTGGTCTCGATCGAGGTGCAGATGGGCGCGTCGTTGAGACCCTGCAAGTCGGTGTGGTTGATGGACAGCAGCGGGCGGCCCGCGCGCACCTTGTCAATGGCATGGCTGACGGCGCGCTCGGGATCGTCGGCGGCGGCAGCGCACGACGCGGGCCGGCAGTGCAGCACAAAGTCGACGCGCTTGGAGGGGATGGGGAGGTAGCGGTACTCGCGGATTACGTCAGCGTGGGTGCTGTGCGTGCGACGGGGATGGTTAGTGTTTTGTTTGATTGTTCGTTTACACGAGCCGGCGGACAACAACGAGATGAGTGGTTTCTTTTGGGAGGGGAGGGGGAAGAAAGGGCGCGCCTACCACATGTCCACGTTCATGAGCTGCGGCCGCAGCTGCGTCCCGTAGACGGACAGGGCCAATAGAGGGAAATGCACGTAGGTATTGCAGGTATCCTCGTGCGCGTTCGACTCGCTGCAGCGCCTCGCCCAAGCGGCAACGTTGAGGACCGCGTCCAGCGGAGGCGTCGGAGGCAGGCCGTGGTCGCGTGTCGGGCCATCGTCAAACATGACGTCTCGCAGTTTGGGAAAGGTGGGATCTGTCGCAGCCCGCGCCTCGAATTGTGGCTATACTTGTTTTACGTGCGCAGGTCAGTGAATCGCAGAACCTCGCTTACAACACAATCTCTGCCTGACGGGCCCTGGGGGTGCATGTGTGTATCACATACCTTATCGGCTGGAGAGATGATACCGTAACCGTCCGCCACGTCTTCGAGGGCGTCCAACAATCGGTTGAGTGCGTCGGGCACGCCGGGGACGCCCTTCTGGAGGGTCTTCTTCTCGATGCCATCGTCCTTGAGCGCGATGCCCTCGAACTGCTTCGTCGGAGATGACGTCCCCGACCCGAAAGCAGAACTGCCGCTCGGGGCTTTGTGCGACGACGACGACACCGCCACACTTGGCGTCTTCCTCACACGCGGCGTGGGTTCTCCATCTACATCGTCATCATCTCCAGCGATGACCGCACTCCTCTCGTTATCTTTATCCTGATGTTCTTCCGCTGACGTGACTTTCTGTCTCTTAGATCGGGGAGTGAGCAGCTCGGGCCCCGCATCATCGGACATGCTCCTTCTCGAAGCCGGCGGCGACCGAAAGGTGTTATCAAGATGGGTAGAATAGATATGGGCATCAGGGTAGGTATACGTGGGCAATCCACCGCTGTTGCTACTAGCGGGTCGCCGCCGGCGTTTGCGTGTCGGCGAGGGTGTCCGTGACGGTCGTGATGTGATGCTACGCGAGGAGGATGGGCGCTCGGCGGTGGAGTGTCCGGGGATGTCGAATAGCCACGTAATGATTTGAAGGTTGCTGTCTATTTCATAATTGCGCCTCGCTGGTACCATGGTTATGAGGTACAACGCTCGTAGTAGAGGTGGGCTACTACTGTTTGTGCTGACGATGCAGATGGTTTGACGGAAAGTGAAGATACTATGAAAGGAGACTGGTGTTGTTTAGAAAGTGTTTGTTTGGTAGAGTAACCGATAAGATAAGAGTACCGTGGGCCAATCAGAGTAAACCTCATTAACGGTCAATTACTCAACCTTCCCCTGAAAAATTCTTACAACATTACTATCACGTGACTTCCTGTTAGTGCCACGCGTATGATTTACGGGTGACACTAACAACAACCCCTAAACCCTTTATTCTCGTCGTCGACGACTATGGTCGTCGTCGATAACACCGTTGGGCCGGTGACCCTCGACCGTCCGTCGTTAACTCGACCGGCGGACGGTGTTTATATAAGTACACTAGTTTTGGACACGGTAACGAGAGTCGTCGTAGGTCGGTAGTCTTTTAAAGTCGTTACGATTATCGTGTTTTCTTTTAAGATTATTTAAAAGGACACTTTAAGTATAACGTTTAACTTTTAATCGGTTATTAAAACCGTATAAAATAAACTATTAAATTAAAAGACCGATACGTAAGTTTTAAAAGAGTTAAGTACGTACTTTAACGACTTTTTTAAATACTTTATTATAATCTCGTCGGTATATATATACGTAGTTACGAAGTAACTTAAAAAAGTAAAGTATTATATAATTATAATTATATACGTTATAAACTTTAAACTTAATAAATAAATCTTATTATTAAACGGTCCGTTAAAAACCGTTTTAATAATAAACTTAGAATCGTTACTCGTCCCGATTATTACGGTATTAACTTTATCGTATACCGTAATAATTAATTAAAGTATTATTAACTTTTTAAAAGTATTCGTTTTACGGAACGGTATAACTTATTATAATCGATTTATAATTAAAGGTTACGAATTAAATAACTAGGTTTATATAATAAAACGTAGTATAGTTAGTCCTTAACCATACGTTAACGTTACGTTAATAAAAAGCCTTTCTCTTTAAATAAAAGGACTCCCTTCTTCTTAAAAAGAAGAAAGGGTAAGAATTAATCTTTGTTATAATATACACCAACCTTCGTCCTCGAAACTAATGTTTTTTATTAACTAATTTATTATAAAGACCTATTTTATAATTACTTATAATAATTCTAATTCTTCTTTTTACGGATACCTTTTTACGATAGTTAAAAAAAAAGAAACGATAAACCCACTCTTCGTTAGGTCGAGCCGAGTTATACGTTCGTGTTTATAAGGTTTTACGAGTTTTTTGTAAGTAAACGTCGACCTTATCTTTAAAAACCTTAACTTATAACTAATAATCGAAGACCTAATTAAATCTTCGAGTATTAAAGTAGTAATAATAGTACCGATTAGTAAAAAAGAGGGAGAAAAAGGTAGTAAGATTAATATTATTACGGAAGAATAAGTCGAAGAAAAAGACGACGAAGAAAAAGTGTTTAAAAAAAGGTTAGTAATATTTAAAAAGAAACGAACTTTTAAAGAAAAGATCGTAGTTTTAAAAAACGTAAAACGTTAACGAGTCTTTTATCGAAGTAAAAAGACTAAGGATAAATCTACCGTTTCTTTCTTTTTAACCCCGTTATTTAAAAAAAATTCTTTTAAGTTAAATAATAACTCGAAAGTCGACGGAGAAACGTAAAAGGGTCGTAAGTCGAAAGATTTAAAAATACGACTATCGTTTAAGGTTTATAAAAATTATTTTACTTTTAAAGACCGGGAATTTTAAATCTTAAAATTAAAAATAATATTTAAAGTTAAACCGTACGAATTCTCGAATTCTCGTAATTAAGTCGTCGTTACTTATAACTATATAAATAAACCGTTTAAAAGGTAGTAGAATTAATATATACGTAACGTTAAAGATTTTAAAGAACGTCGACGACTCGAACGTTTTTAAAATAAATTTAAAGAGTAAATAACGATACTCGTTTTTATTACGGACGACCCGTTAATATAAACTTATAAGTTATATAAAAAGGTACGTTTTTAACTTAATTAACCGTTATTTAAGTTTTTAAATTATTTACGTTTTTTAAAAGAGTAAATAACGTCTTTTTTTAATAAATTTAAAAAAAAGGTTTTTTATTTTAAATTAAATAATTAACTTAAGTATACGTTAAACGGAGTTATCGATTATAAAAAGATTAACCTTCGAGACTTATACGTAAAAACCGAATTATTATTTATATAACGAGTAAGAAATCGTTTTATTAATAACGTCCGTAATTCGTAAAAAAGTCGTAAACGACTTAGTAATAAACCGTAAAAAGACGTATTTTAAAAGAAGAAACGTTAACGTCGTTCGAACGGTTATAAAAATCGTAAAAACGAAAAAGGGAGGAATATAACGGGCTTTTAACCTTTTCGTTTATAAAATAAAAAAAAGTCGTAAAAAAAACCCTCGGTTACTTACTTTAAGTATAATAAAATAAGATATTACGTAAATAACTACTTAAAAAACGTATTTATTTAAAATACTATTATTAAAAAACCCGTTAAGTTAAAAAACCCTTAGTTACTTTTTTTAAGTTTAAAAAAAAAACGATAAAAATAAAATATAAATTATTAAAGAACGTGTTAGTAATATATCGTAAAAGAGTCGAGGAAAAGACGACTATTACTTTAAACACTACTATAAGGTTAAATATCGTAAGTATTTAATTCGTAAAACGACTTTAACTACGAAAAACGAGATATCTTACCCGTCGAGTTAAAAAACTTTACGAATATCTTTAATATATTTAAAACGATAATTATTTTACCGTTTAAGTAAATTAATTATATTATAAATCTTTTATCGAATACGTAGTCTTTATATAAAACGATTTACTCGTTATTTAAACGGGAATTATAAAAGTTACGATTTTATATTAAAAAGAACTTATAAAACGAACGTATTTACCCTTTTAAGTTATTAACCGACGTACTTATATTATTTATATTAAAAAAGGATAATACGTTACGACTTTACGTCGATTATCGTAGGTTAAATAAAGTTACCGTAAAAAACCGGTATACTCTTTTATTAATTTCCGAGATTTTAAATCGGATAAATAAGGCCTAGTTTTTTTTTAAACTCGATATTAAGAATATTTATTATTAAATCCGGATTAAAAAGGGTGATAAGTAAAAGACCGTGTTTCGTACGTAATATAACTACTTCGAGTATATAGTTCTTCCTTTCGGTTTAATTAACGTTTTTATTATCTTTTAATATTATATTTATATAGTTTTATAAGGGTTAATTAATATTATATATATAATATATATAAATAACGTTTTAATATTCTTTTAATTTTAAAAGTAATACGTACGATATTTATACCGAAGTATTAAAAAGACTTAAACGAGTCTAGTTATATATTAATTTATATAAGTGTAAATTTTTCGTAAATAAAGTGGAATTCTTAAAATTTATCCTTATACGTTATAAAGTTAAAATAAACCCGGAACGAATAATTACTATTATAAAGTAGTTAAAACCGAAGTCTTACCGTAATATATAAGTATTTTTAAAATTTTATAACTTTTATAAACGATTTATCCTTATATATTCGTAAATTATAACCTTATTTAATAACCTTTTAAAAAGTATATAAAATAAAAAAAAGTCGGGAATAGTTACGTTTTCGACTTATAAACGAGAAGTTTTCGACGAGTTTAAAGTATATTTTAAAAAAACGTCGTTATTAAAGTACTTTAATTTTAAGTTATAAACCCGACTTAAAACGAACGTATTAAAAAAGGGTAGTTTTAAAGTATTATTTTAATTAAACGAATAAAGTAAATATTACTTAATCACCTTTTAATTAAAGAAATAAAAAGGGTTAAAGTTAAACTATAATACCCCCGATTAAAAAATAATAGTAATTATAAAAAGTTTTAAGTATTAATAATAATACTTAAATAAAAGTCGTTAAAAAGTTAAAGTCTTATTAAACTACGTTAATTTAAAAACGTTTATAAATTAATAAAAGTTAAATAACCGGTAAACTAAATAGTGTATATTTTTAATACTATTTAATTTTAAGATTAAATATTAAGTAAAGAAAAGAAACCCCGTCGACACGTCGTCGTATCGTTCGGACTATAAGTTTAATAACGAAGATTATAATTATAAAGACCTTTTATTTATATTATAATAAAGGTTAACAGTAACGTAATAAGTATTAATTTTATAATAAAAGTATTAATAAGTTTATAATTAAAACTAAAAGGAAAAGGTCGTATCTTTATAATAAGAGTTAAACGAGAAGCCTTTATAAGTTTAATAAATTTAAACTCGTCTTTAAAAAAGTTAAGTTTAAACGAGGAGTTCGAAAACCTCGTCGTTAACTTATAACTTTTAATCGAAACTACTTATAACGTAGTATATTTTAAAGACTTTAATATAGTCCGTAACTATATATAAAAAGGTTACGTTAATAAATCCTTTTACCCCGTTATAAGACTTATTATTAACCTTATAAACTAATAATTCGTTTTATATAATAAAACGAAGTGTTATACGAACGGGAAAGTTATAAGACTCTCGATAAAGACTAAACTAGGACGGATTACTAAAGTACCGTTATTATATTTATATCTCGGTAAAAAGTTCGGTACGTTAAAAAATACTTAACCGATATTATAATAAACCTTTAACGGGTTACTTTAAAAGAGTTAAAATAAAAGAAATAATAAAAAGAAAATTTTATTAATTAAATATAATTAAAAATATATATAAATTTATCGATTCGTGTCCGATTTATTAACGAATCGTTACGAAAAGATATAAATTATATAAAAAGTTATAACCCTTATTAATTTTATAAAGACTTTAATAAAAGATTTTTATAAATTTTATTATAAAATTACTTATCGTTTATTATTAAAAAAAACTAGTAAATAATATCTTAGTAATAATTAACCGATATACGAAGATATATCGTTTCTTTTTAGTTTTAACTATTATTACGTTCG